CAAAGACTCTCAGGGTATATTGAAACACTCCCCCTGAAGAAATTGTTTCCATATTGGAAAGTTTCTACACTAAACTATATGGCCCCGACCCTATTGACCAATCAAAGGCTTTGTCTTTTCTAGACGGCATTGCTCTTCCTCAAATCGATCTCGTAGCACTCCAATCTCTTAATGCTCCTATATCTCAATCCGATATTCAATCCCGCTATAAAAACTCTAGCTAATGGTAAAGCCCCTGGCCCAGACGGATACACTTCTGAGTTCTATAAACTCATGGCTACAACCCTTTCTCCTACCCTGCAATTAGTTTACTGCTCTATTCAAGAAGGGGGTGCCTATATTCCGTCTGCCTTTCAGGCACATATAAAAATTGATAGCAAAGAAAGACAAAGATCCGTCTGACCCAGGTTCCTATAGGCCGATCTCCCTTCTAAATTTAGATGCCAAAATTCTATCGAAAATTATCGCAAATCGTTTAGCTATTGTTTTACCTTCCATCATTCATCCCTCTCAAGCGGGCTTCATACAAGGACGCTCTGCTGCCTCAAACATCCGCAAAGTACTAGCAGTGTTAAATCATGCTAAAATCAATCCTCACCTAGATCTAGCGATAATCTCTCTTGATGCTGAAAAGGCCTTCGATAATGTTAACTTTCAGTGGCTGCAGATGGTTTTACATAGATTTGGCTTCTCAGGCCCTTTCACTCATGTAGTCCAAGCTATGTACTCAGCTCCTACAGCACAGGTGGTTGCTGCAGGACACACATCTACCCCTATTAAACTGCATAAAGGAACAAAACAAGGGTGCCCCTTATCCCCCTTGCTCTTCAATTTGGCCCTAGAACCCTTAGCCCGCTTCCTTCTGTTCCACTCACAGCTGCACGGAGTCCAAATAGCTCAACAAGATCTACGTTTAGCCTTGTTTGCCGATGACATTTTAATTTTCACTGCCAACCCAACTCACGACTTGCCTTATATACAGGATATTTTCACAGCCTTCAGGCACTGTTCGGGTCTTCGTATTAACTTCACGAAAAGCGAAGTCCTTCCCTTATTCCATGCACGCACTCCCTCATGGGCTCATAATTCTCATTTCAAAATTGCTCCTCATCATATTACATACTTAGGAATCAAAATTGGAAAACTTGCCTCTTCTCTCTACTCGCTCAATTTTTCACCAACAATTCAAAAAAAATTATAGGCGAACTAGAGGTATGGAAAGAGTTACCACTGTCACTTGTAGGAGAGAGCCCACCTCTTCAAGATGGTGAGCTTCCCGAAATTGTTATACCCTCTTCAGACCATCCCTCTACTACTTAAGCATACGGACATTCTTAGACTAAACAAAGCGCTCTCTACATTTATTTGGAAAGGACATCGGTCACTGCATTGCCCTGCATAAGCTATATCTGCCTAGATGTGAGGGGGGAATTGGTCTTCCAAATATCAGAGTATATAATCTCTCATGCATCTTACGGGTGTGTATAGATTGGCTGACCAAATCCTCCAACTATTCTAATCTGCAAATAGAATCTGCCATGGCCCATCCTTTCGATCTTGCAGCCCTTTTACATTCAAACCCTAACTCACTCTCCCTCCACACTTAAAATATAATCCACTCATCCGTGATACCCTTATCACATGGAGGGAGATCAGACGTAAATTAGGCGTATCCGCATGGGTTTCCCCGTTTCCTCCCCATACATCATAATCCTGCTTTTTCTGTCCTTCAACAACACGCAGTTTATGATCTATGGTTGGAAAGGGACCTCAAACTAGTTAGCCAATTATACGATACGGCCTCTGGCTTTCCTTTATCTTTTTCTCAGATTTCAACTTCTTTCAATCTACCGCCTCATCATTTTCTGTATGTTTTGCAAGTTTGTAATTATGTGAACAAGATAACATTGGTTAAATCTAGTCGCTTCCTTTCCTCGTTCATAGATATCTTAGTTAGAAATCGGAAATACAAGATATCCCATATTTATGGACCATTAAACCTACACTATGTACACCCTCTAGAGGCCTCCACTCCTACTTCTCCTTGGATCAGAGACTTTGACAATACACTCTCAATGGATCAAATCCTCACTGGTTTCAACAATACCTGTGCCTTCAACTCCAATGAGTTCTGGCGGGAGCAACAATTAAAGTTAATGCACCATGCCTATATGCCATGCCTATATGTCCGTGGGAATCCCTCGGTCTCTACTTGCCCTTTGTGTGGGCACTATAAACCTTCGCTAAAACACAGATTTTGGGATTGCTAACTAATATCTACTTTTTGGTCCCAACTACTCAGCTATATCGCCTTCATCACTTCTCTACAACTACCAAGGGACCCTTTACCTCTTCTCTTCGGCAACTTGGAATCAGTCTCCACAGGGGCTCATCCACTTCAGCTTGCCATTCTCCGAGCCACAAAACTGTGGCTGTCCTCTTGCCTGATGGTCGCGAGGAGAGCCATATTGAAAAAGTGGGTCTCCAACAGTCCTCCTAATATCTCGGATGTCAAGTCAGCTCTTAATGCACTTCTTCGTCTGGACCAGCTTAACTTCCTCACCTCATCCCTCCAGCACAGTGAGGATCAATATAATCGAAAATGGAGACTCTATGTTCAAAAATCCTTTCCAACCACAGAGCTTCAGTTTTTCCTTCATGGCTCTTCTGTGATGCCCCAATCTGGAAACATGATCCAGTAAACCCGGACTTATTGTTTTGAATTTATGAGGATTTAAGGTGTGCATGACTATATCTAAAACATTTACAATACTCGTTTGTTGCTGCTCTCACACCGCTTCTAGCCAACCTAGGCAACCAAGCCACATTTCCTTTCATCTATTTCCTTTACCATTTTCTTTATACTTCATCTTCATCGCACATTCTTTTATAACTTCTCCCCCCACCCTTAATCAGCGAGGACTCACAACACGTATATCACTTTTTGTTACAGGGAGTCGCCTCTCTATTTTTCTCTCAAACCCACAGCGCTTGGCTCATTACCAAATATTCTTAACGACTTCTTGGGAGGGGATCCTCTGGCCCGTTCCAACACATCATTTTCCCACCTCTTTCTTTTTTTTTCTTTTTCTCCATCTTTTCTCCATCTTTTCTCCATACTAGCTTCCTTCTCAACTTTTTTCTCCTTCTGAATAGATCTACCTATCTCCCTGATCCTTCTTCTTTGATTATCTCCTCTACATACGCTTCTTTCCTACTTCAACATTCATGTCTTACGCATGACAACTGACATACTCTAAGCACCCCAGTTCTCATTCAAAGTTCAGTGGTATGTCCTGACCTTCTTATCTTTGGATATATATCATAGCTTACCATTACACATTCCCTACACTCTATACTGACTTACAATGCCTCCCATCTTTTGTCTCATTTGCCTTCAGAGTTTCTGTTCAGAGGTTCTAACTGCTGACATATCGTGAATCTTTCTGATCAGTTTTCTATGCAAAATTTTGTATTGCTCATATTGGTCAATCTATCAGTACTGTTAAAAAAAAAAAAAAAAAAAAAAAGGTTACTTTGTTGCCAAGAAGCATCTTTGGAGTGTTTCATCCGCTGAGTTTATGTAAATTGAAAAATTCAAATAAAGCTTTGTTTAAAAAAAAAAAAAAAGACAAAGAGAAAGCAAAAAGAACTCAGCTTTATTCACCACCAGTGTGCTTACATGGAAGAAGGTATACAGACATCCAACGCTCAAAAGGCTGTCTGGGTGCTTCCAGTTCTGGCATTTTATGTCACCTACTGACGTGTTTTTGTCCATAGAGTTTGTCAAAGGAATTATTTAGCATATGCAATTGTAAAACAAGCCATGTTGCAATTGAATGCTATTAAAAATTACCTTTTCTTTTCAAAAAAAAAAAAAAAAAAATTGCCCAGAAATGGCTGAATGGTGGGTTCAGTGATTTGTATTGGTACATGCACCAATATAATCAAAGCACTCCTCAGAAAAAGCAAAAATGCATACAACAAACATCCATTCCATATCAAATACAACAAGCCAGGCCAAGATGAATTTTGTACATCATTTTTATTATGTGTCTCTTTACTCAACAGCCATATAAAAAAGTTTACAGAGGTGGATAATGTCTGTCATCTGTATCTTAGGTATTGTGGCTAAAGCTGCTGAATAATAATGAAATATGCCACCCCAGGGAAGGTGAATGCCAACAATAATTCTGAACAGAAGACAAACATGTTTCTATTGTTGTGAAACTTTTTTATTACCATTTATTCAAAACCATTAAATCTTTGGCATAGTTTTAGAGTGGAAACATGTTAGCATTTAGCACCATGATGTTTCATCTTTAAACTTCCCTTCTACTTTAGTGGTCTTGGCCAGCAATAACAGGAAAGTATGGAAAGCACCTTTGAAGACTGAATGTCTTTAATCAATCTATTCTGGACAATTCAGTCTATAAAAACAGTATCAGTGGACTACATTCAGGAATCAGACCTTTATTTGGTAATATTTTTGTTTCATGGCTATACCATGTATTTTATTAACTTTTTGCCTCATCAAACCCTACCATCCTCTGTCCATGATGAGGTAGTTGAAACAGGGAAGTTCTTTATGCATGATGTGAACTTCATCTTGGTTAGAAAGATGGGTGGAGCTTGACAAATAGATTGATCAGTGCTTTTTAAATTGGCCACAAATGTAAAAAAATACATCACACAGTGTTTTCAATATTGATTTTAACCTTTTTATAGCACCATTCAGATCTCTTCAAAATATGGAATTTGTACAAAAAATAGAGCAAAAGCATTTAGTTTGTGTTATTGCAAAAAAAAAAAAAAAAAAAAAAAATTAAAAAAATTAAAATAAAAAAATTTAGCCCTCTCCACCAAACTATCCCTTTTTCCTTAACGGTTGGAAAATAAATTATTGGAACACAGTTTTTCTTTTGGGTGACAACATTTCAAAGGGATACAAATTGAGTGACGATCATTTGATGTGGTTTACATTTCAGAAACATCCTAAATTACAAGAAGCATACAGGGCCGACTTCAATTCCAAATTCTTGATCTGGTCCACCGATATCCATTGGTGCAATATCTACAATAGGCAACCTCATTGTTTTGCGTGTTCTGTATTCAAATACTGTTCGACCCCCATTCTCCTGTGTGTTTCTGTTGGCAGAAGAATATGAAAAGTTCAGCAGATCAATGTAATAATATTTGTTAAATAATACTTTTATATTAGTGTATAGCAGGTCATTAAAAGCTAGTAAATAGGCACACACTACTACAAAAAAAATCGACTGGTGTCTGCAAGGTTTACTAAATGTAGGTGGGTGATTTAATTCACTATTTCTAATAGTAACTGTTAATTCGTTATTAGTTAATTCAAATTAATTTGTGGGAGGAGGCAGAGACACAAACTGCTATCGGGGATAGTTTGCCATTAAAATCCCTGAGAGATGTAAGAAACAAGTTGGTGGTCTTTAGGGTACCATGAACACTTAGATTATCACTTCTGTGTCCTTTCTTTCCTATCTTTAGCATTCTTTTCTCAACAAATGCATTAGTTCCTATCATAGTCCCTCTTGTAAAATGTTGTTACTTTTTTGTAATTTGCAACACTTTATAAGCATTTTAGGAATACAAAGTACCAAGTTTAGGAAAACTTACAGTGCAACCATCTTCCAAAACAGTGTATATAAATTTGCTGTTTCCTTCAGCTTTGAGCTCACTTTCGGTAGAGCTCATGAATTTCACAGCCTTCTTAACATTTCCGTTTTGTGCATCCATGTATGCAATGCTGTTTTTGCAGTGGTAAGTGATATTCTGGTGACCTCTGCTGGACAGAATTCTAAGGAATGCCATTTGCACATCAGATATATCTTCTGGAAGGTCTGGGTCTCCATAGCTGAACTACAAAATCAGAAATACCAATTGTTAAATTACTACTCTGTTGAGAGAAGCATTTTTATTTCTGCCTGTTTTGCTGTTAGAGTCTCCCTCATTTCCCTTCTAACACAATGTTGTCTTCAGGACAGGAAGTGAGGGGAGATCTCTCTAACAGAGCCATGGAAAGCAATAAAAAACTAATAATCCTTCCTTGTTTAATTATAAACTAAGAAAAAAATGTTGGCTTTATATACAATGTAATGTGAAATTAAGGGCAAATGCAGTGAGGAAAACAGTACTTTTACGTTACCTGGAAACCGCCATTCATAGACTCTCCAAACCAAACATATTTTTTATCAGTTCCAGAGCTGGTGTACCATTTCTTTTGTGGGGCGCTACTTGGATTGGCATTTATACAAGTTTCGCCAGTTTCCATGTTGCAGAAAACCTTAATAGCATCCATTTTACAGCCTTGGTTGGGGTCAACCCAGTATTCTCCTACAAAAAGTCAAAGTGTTACAAAATACGTCAGCAGTGTTTACTTTTTAAAGCTGTGGATGTTAATGGTTGCAGAATTGGAAGAATCTAAGATAAACATTTATAGAATAAGTAAGAAGTTGTAAAAAATCAAGCTTATTGCACACTATTGCTTCATTTGCATATTCTGTTTAGAATATTATGCACTTGGACACATTGTTTATGAATCAATGAAAATTGAACAATGAACAATGAGAACACAGAAACCGAACATAGGAAATCAGCTACTAGAACATAGATGACATTTCTTGATGGGTCTTTTGGTTTGGGAGGTTTAAAGCAAGCTGGTGGAGTAGTGGTTCTTTTATACCTTTATTCTTACATTTATTAGGAAGTACAGATGTTCAGGTTAGTAAATCCACTACACATTGAAACTTAAAAGAATAGTGTGGAGGGAGGTAAATCTAGGCAAGATTGTCAGCATAAGAATCCTGAGAAGACCAAAGCCCCTCCCATAGGTATTTACCTTGATTCTAACAGAAAGGGTGTACTTCTCAGAGGGCTGGAAAGATTTTTATGTATTAGCAGCTCACAGGGAATAGGATAAAGCTAAAAAAATAAAACCCATACTTCTCTTTTAAGTGTGTATTTCCTACAGGAACCTAATGAGCACTTCTTCTTGGATGGCTTTTGTAAGCACAGCTCGTTTGCTAAACATGAATCTTAATTAAGACAAGAATAAATAGGGCTGTGAATAAAATCAGTGTGCATGTTTGTGTTTTACTTACCACTCTTATACTCTGGGTGGCACAATTTAAGATCACGACAGTTACGGGCAGGGTTCTTCCTTGTGCCATCTGGACTAATAATGTTTTCTATTTGGCTGTTGATTGCTTTAAGGGAAGTCATAATTTCAGTAGTGGTAGTTGCATCAAATGCTTGGTCGCCATAGTATGGGGCCCCAGCTGGTCCTTTCTCTCCACCAAATGATCCAAGATGTGCTCCGCCACCATCACAGCAAGGTCCAGGTGGACCAGGGGGACCAGGCTGTCCTGGAACTCCAGGCTGTCCAGCTGTACCCTGCGAAAAGTACATGAAATTTTAACCTAAAGTATTATTTTGTAATATATTCTACTACTAGCTGCTCATAAACAAAAAAAGACATAGGTGTTTAGAAATTAAAAGATATATGGGTGGCAAATACATTTTAATTTTGATTTTCCAAATCATTTGAAAATTTTAAGATTTTTTGAGATTCTGACTTTAGTCATCCAATCGTGATTTTGTACATTTTTCTTGCAGATAATCAGGTATTTTTTGAAAAACTTTAATTTAAAGTTTCAGTTTTCATTTCGGTTTACTTCACTAAGCTAAGTGAAATTTGACTTTACAAAGGGAATGTGCTCTACTCTTTTAGTCATTGTGTTCTGCAAACAGAGGGGCCTGTCTGTTGTTTGCATATTTGTGTCTGAAAGTACCTCAACTCTGCAAGGCTCATGAATTTAGCCTTATTTATGTTAAATGATGATAAGCTAAACTATCTATTAAAAAAATCACCTCTGAGCCAGTTTCTCCTCTGCTACCACGAGGACCTGGAGGACCAATAGGTCCTGGATATCCGGAAGTGCCATCTTTGCCTGGAGATCCATTTGATCCTGGAGGACCCTAAAACATGAATGTACAATGTTTAAAATATAATTCATCATTCTATAACTGCATTCAATTGTATAACTGGTTTTTGTACTTGCAAGCAGCTGTTATTTTAAAGGGGGTACATACCCGAGGACCTAATGGGCCAGGAGATCCAGCAACACCTTGTTCTCCAGAAGGACCCTGCAATGAAAAGTTTGATTTGTCAGATTGTTCACTCACAATAAAACATGATGCCAGAACAGTACTTATTTACTTTTCCCACTGCAGTATATAATTATTTTCAGGGAATTTGATTATCAGCAAAAAACCTATTGTAATCCTTTGCTTGTTAGGCTTCATACAAATGCCTTTTAACAAAAGATAACTAACATGCCACCAAAAAATGTGGACATGTTCATTCATATAGGTATTCATTCATTTAAAGACCATCTTCCCAGTGACACAGATAGCAAAACAAATTGACAGGAGCCATAGTCCTTTCCTAATCTATCCAAAATAAAATGTAATAGTTTTGGCTGGAGCTGGTATTTAAAGGCAAATTTCACCCCTTTTCAGAAATGTAATAAATGCACCCACATTAATAAAAAAAGTGTGCATTTGTTGAGTGCATGCATTGGAGCTTGTAGAGCATTGCAAATGTGATCAGTGGTTTGAGATGCAATGCACAGGCTCCTGCAGACTCTTCCCCGATCTCCAGATCTGTACTGAGGTATGAATCTGCACTTATTGAGCTGACAGTAAACAATGGACTACAAGTATAGTGACATCACCGCACCTATGCTCCATTTCGATTTATAAGTCCATCTGCTGCAGTGGAAGATGGGATATATTGTCTCTCCATTCACAGTAATCTGTAAATGGATGACACGGTTGTGTGGGCAGAATCACACACAGCCATGCCAAATTCAGACATAAACGGAAACCTACAGGAAGAATCACCCTGATTTGGGTAGTTGGCGGGGTGGGGGAATTGGGAGCAATTTGGATGAAGAAGACTGAAGAATGTTATCATGTTTCATGTTACATCCTACATATGGGTGTAACTTGAAACAAAATTGTTAACACTTGTAAAAAATAAAACTGCTAATAGGTGTTAATTTTAGTATAATTTGTAACAATCTGCCATATGTGATCAAATAATGTACTAACAAATTTAGAACATTTGTCTGTAGTTAACTTGTATATCTTACTGTATGCGTAACCCCTTCACGCCTAAGGCTAAAACAAATCTAAATGCCTAAGCACAATTTTGCAACGTTGACATGTGTTAGTAAAACCGTACATATCATCACAACTGCTTTGTACAGCCACGTGAATTATACCGTATTTTTTTCAGGATAAATTGGGCTTTCATTTGGTTGTAGATGGTAATGGATATCTCCTGATTTTTTTTATTATCAAAGGAAAACTGGCCCAACATAGTAAAAAAATGTTTTTTTTTATTTAGCTGTGTGTTTCTTGTTACTACCATAACCTACCACCAAAGAACAACCCAAAATAAATTCTCCAGCTCGTGACGATCGTAGTGATACCATATATGTGTATGTTATTTGTTGTTTGTACCCGTAGTACAGCCCAGAAACAATAGTGTGCATTTTGTTTTTGTCTTTTTTTTTTTACCTAAAACACACTGACACTGACATTGACACTAACTGACACTGATACCAATTTTGTTTAAAAAATCCTGACCTTTGACCCTGACCTTTTGACCTTGATCTTTGACCCTGACTTTGACCCAAACAATAACCCTGGCACTGAACTAGATCAAACCTTGATCTAGGTATTTTTTCTTTATTTTTTTTCTTTTATTTTTTAATCTTTATTTATTTATTATTATAATTTTTATTTTTTTTTTACAAAGACAGGTACGCAAATATGCGGCCCCATGGAAAAAAGCCCAGTTCCGGGAGGCTGCATATTTGTGTGACGTCAATGTCAAAAGGTTAAGTACGTCTTTAAGGAGCCAATATGATGTTTACTTTCAACTAGTACAACGTAATGAAAGTTAAAATAAAATTGCAGTTACAAAATGATTCTTTCCATTAAACTTACAGAAGAGCCAGGGGGGCCAGGTTGCCAGGGAATCCACGATGACCTTTAATTCCATTGGTACCACGTTCACCAGCTTCACCTTTATCACCACGTGATCCTTGTGGCCCCTAGAAAAGTCATGTGTGTATTATTAAGAAAGGAACTCACTACAATATCAGTTTGATTGTTCATGACTATTAATTGGAGTAAAGAAAATATTCCATGAACCACTTTTAAGAAAAATATTGGCCAGAATTCCATTATCAACTTACAGGAGCTCCACGTGCACCAGAAGGACCAGAAGGGCCAGCAGGACCAGCAGGACCCTAAATAGAAAAATAGAAATGAAAAATAAACATGCACTTGATATATGTTGGAATCAAGAAAAACAACAGAAACTTGGAAAAATACAAAAGGAAGTCATATTTCACCAATGTGTTGTGACAAGTCACCATTTGACAGAGCCACAAATTGCCACATGTCGTCACCTAGGAAGAAGGGGAGTGAGACATGCCCTCTTAGTGCTGGTGGCTATAGAGAATGGGTGGGGGAGGGAAGGTAAATGAGAATAAGCTGCTGCAGGACCCAACATTAAACTAATCCTGTTTCACTGTACTGCATTGGCAAGGCATGGTTTAATGCAGGCCTACTTGGTGTATTCATTAAAAAAAATACACACAAAAAAATCAGTAATGCAGCAATCAGCAATGGCTGATAAATGTTATAAGCCAACACAGATGCATTGTATGTTGTCACTGTGTTATATTTTCTTTGATCATCCCATCCCCATTACTTCAAGCATGGAGTGGCATTAATGTTTAGATAACTATTCTAATAAATCATTGGTGTCTAGAAAAATATATGTCATGTGGTGTGTCTTTTACAAATATAGAAACACTTGCCCTCCAGAGGATTTACCCCCTTCCTGACGAGGGCATTTTTTGTGTTACGGCGTTGCGGTATTTTAACTGACAATTCTGTGTTTATGCAACACTGCATCAAAATGAAATTTACGTCCTTTTTTCCCACAAATAGAACTTTCTTTAGGTGGTGTGCATTTTTTATTTTTTGTGCTATAAAAAAAAAGATTGACAATTCTGAAAAAAAAAACTATATTTTTGACTTTTTGCTATTAAACATGTCCAGTAAAAAAAAATTAAGAAATCAAATTTTGTCAGAAATTTAGGACAAAATGTATTATGTCTTTGCTAAAAAAAAATCCCAATACGTGTAAATTAATTGGTTTACGTGAAAGTTATAGCATTTACAAATGGCAGTATATATACTGGGATTTTTTAAAAAATTTTATTTTTAGTAGTAATGGTGGCAATCAGCGACTTATAGCGGGGACTGCGGCGGGCATTCTGACACTGTGGGGGGGGGGGGGGGCTGACTTGGTATCACTGACATCCCCAGTGACACCAATACAGTGATCAGTGCTTTTGCACACCCCTGCCACCCTGTAACAGTATATCTGCTATAGGGTGGAGAGAAAGTGGTTAAAATCTAAAACTGAGTTGACTCAGTTTAAAATCAGCTGCAGCTTACATTCTCATTCTCTCCTCTGTCGCCATTCTTTCCAGCTTGGCCAACAGGGCCTGGGGCACCTGGGTGACCAGGAGATCCAGAAGCACCAGGAGAGCCATTTTCACCACGGTCACCCTGTAAAAAATAGAAAAAAAAAAATAGATACCACAAACACAACAAATATATTTATAAAGAATGTTTATATTATGTAAGGAGAACTACAAAACTAATATTTACCTTAGCTCCAGGTGATCCATCACGTCCAGGTGCTCCATCGGAACCAGGGTTACCCTAAATTGAAGAAAAAACATTTTAGTAAATGGTGAAACAGTGATTAGCATTGCTGCCATGTGCACCAACACACTATTGGTATATTTTCCATGTGTCAAGACTTTATCTCCATGTAGTTTAAATGTTTTTCCCAATGGGTCAAACCTGCCAACAGTTCGCTTGCAAAGGAAACGTGTCTGCACGTTCCACTGAAGCATACATGATATGAATTGTGAAATGCGTTCCATAAAGTGTTTTCAAAACACAAGTCTACTTTCATTAAAAGTACACTTTGCCCACTTGCCCACTCTGCCTAGGCCTCCACGGCTTAATGGTTATATTCAAGAGCTTAGTTGCTTCAGTAGTACAGCGTCAACTGGTTCCAAGCCACAGTTTTGTTTTGACCTGGTTGAATCAAAATCTTTTCATTGCTGGCCATGACTGCACAATGGACCCTAATAGATGTGTATAGGGACAGCTCCTGAGCCTGGAGACACTAGGAAGACAGACTTATGTAGCACTGGCATAACTAGAACTTTCAGAGCCCTAGTGAAAGAAACCATGAAGCCCCCCCCCTTCAAAAAATTATGAGTTTGATATATTTTTCCAACATATAAAACAGTAAAAACATTTCTGTTTCTGATGGGGCGTGTGATCAGTGTTAATTCTGGGGTGTTAATGGGATCAGTGTCACTGCTGATGGGGGGGAGTGTGATCAGTGGCAGTGCTGGGAGAGTGTGATCAGTTGCAGTGCTGGGAAGTTGTGAGCAGTGGCAGTGATGGGGGGAAAATGTAATCAGTGGCAATGCTGGGGAGTTGATGGGATCAGTGACAGTGGTGGAGGGAATGGGATCAGTGGTAGTTTTGGGTAGGGATGGGATGAGTAACAATTATGGGGGTTGGGATGAGTGGCAGTACTGGTGGGGGAATGGGATGAGTGGCAATGCTTGGGGGGATCAGATCAGTCAGTACTCGGGTAGATGGGAACAGTGGCAGCACTTGGGTAGATAGGAACAGTGGCAGTGCTGGGTGGGGATGGGATCAGTGACACTCACTTGCTGTCAACTGTCAGTCAGTGTCCACTCCCCCTGCCTGCATGCAAGCTGTCAGCTCTATGTGTCGAGATGGATCTCCTTGAAAACCTCCCCCTGCTCCTCCCCCTTCACTGTACTGGCTTGGGTCAGCTGACTCACAGTTTCTACTTACTCCCCGAAGGCATGCCCCATCTGCTTAGAGCTGCAAATGAAATAGGCGAAGAGACAGGGTGGGTGGTCCGCTGTATAGTTACTATGGTGAGTGTGTACTATCTCCTGAGTCCCGACTCAAGCAAAACTAGTTCTTCTCTTCAGTCAGAGGTCCCTCCCACAATGGCAGAACACCAGGGCCCAGTCACAAGTGCAACCTTTGTGACCTGGTAGTTCTTCCACTACTATGTAGCTCTATGAAGGATAACTTTGCAGGTGCTGCCAGCAGAGAAGATGACTGCAGAGGAAGAGAATCAAAACAAAGGTGTGGTTCAGTGCCATTTTGTTTCTTTGAAAGCTTCCACATAATTAAATATGTTGTCATTTATAAAGCAGCAGAAATATAGTAAACTAGAAAATGTACTAAAGTAACAGTAAACTCAGATGTACCATAAGATAAAATCACCTACAAGTATAATAAATATTCAGACTAGACCGACCCCCTTTATTTGCTGTCAGGATACTAACATTTTATATGATCTAAGAATACTTTACAAAAATCTGACTTAAAATGCTAGTCATTCAGCATTTTGGATGAAGTTATATCGGTGTTATCAACATTCCTGAAGTTACCTGGAGTTATATTATACAAAATTACAAAACTGAATGCACATTGTGTTTTAGACTTAACACAGTGAAATAAGGAAACTAAAATGCTTGCGTGACTAGATGTCCACTTTTAAACCTTATCATACCAAATGAAAGCTCTCCAACCTGTCTGGATTTCCTTAGCTTTGCAATAGTGCTGTGTAACACTAAAGAAGAGTTTACCTTTTTGTGCTCTGGTGATTCATCTGCTTCTATGTTATCCTGAGCAACAGGAGCCCCAGCATACTGCCATAAACTGTATAGTGATTCATATTTATGATGCCATAATAAGGGTAACTGAAAGCCTTACTATGTACATTAAACATTTGCAGAGACCTCTATATTTCCTTCAATGGCAGTTCATATGTTTAAACTAGCTATGCCTCCTATAACTGCCACTGGTTAAACCAAAAAACAAGAGTTGCCATGCTGTTGGTTAACTTTGGCAAAGCAAGCTTTAATTCACTTACATCTCTTCCAGCTTCTCCAGGGGCACCATTAATACCAGCTGATCCGGTGAAACCGAGAAACCACGTTCACCTGGAGATCCATTGGTGCCTGGTTTTCCATCTTCACCCTATAAAAGGAATGCAACAAAGAATATTTCAATAAAAAGAATCACTGACTGGCTGCAATGTTTTACTATCTTATACTTTTTCCAGAAAAAGTTAAAGAAAGGCTTAATAAATTATACCTTACTGCCTGGAAGACCTGGACTTCCTGATCTACCCTGTAATCCAGGTAATCCTACAATACCGCGAGAGCCAACTGGACCACTAATACCTGAAGGACCTGGAGCACCCTGTAAAATAAATATATGTAAATAATTAGATTACAATTCAAAATAAAGTTTTATATTATAAGCACACAAGTATAAAGCATCATTTTTCTTCCATTTATATTCACTTTTTATTTTCTTCATACTGAACAGAGTGATATTATGAATTATTTGTCAATAAAATGGTTCCTTACCAAAGCAAACAAACAAATAAATAAATACAACTAATAAAAAAGAGAGACTATTGATACCATTTTTTATGTTTTCACACTTTTTTCACACATTTTTTAATGAAAATAACTTAAAAATGCTTACTGGTTCTCCTCGATTTCCTGGTGTTCCCCGTTCTCCTTGTGTACCTGGTTCACCCTTTGGACCTGCGGCACCTGAACCACCCGGAGGACCAGTGCTGCCAGCTGGACCAGCTGGACCATCCTTTCCAGGGCCTCCGGGAGGACCAGGAGAACCAGCATTGCCCTGATAATTGAAAAAACAAGAATTTAATAATTGAAATAACTAATCATTGCAATGTGCACTCTATACCTTAATGCTTGTGTACATTATGGAAATAAATACATAAATTACTGGGAAAAATAAAATATAATAGAACAACATTGAGGTGAGTACAACATTATATAACCACTAAAAATAATAACAAATGTCCTAGTAGCATGTGTCCTGAGAAAACTACTAAATAATGCAAGGAACCCTGTGTCTGGTCTGAATATAATGCTGCCCTATATCTGAGATTATTTATATATTTTTAATGTAGCAAATGTGTACCCGTTCCAGAATGGAAAAAGCTAAGGGGTATTAGAAATAATGTTTAAGAACTGTTCTATTGGGTAAGACATGAAGGAGAGATGTGTAGATGGTATCACAGAGGGCAATATGTGCATGAGAAAAATGTTATCTGTATGACAGTGGACATCATGTGGTGACTGGGAGGACAGTGGAGTGGTGAGGAAGGAGATTCAGGGGTGTGAGTTAGACAGGTTGAGAGTTGGTTGTGGATGGATGTCAGCAAGCAAAGGTAGGTGGGAAGGGAGGATTCTTGATGGCACCCAGGCTCCAGCACAGTAGCAACCTGAGGAGGGTGTAGCACCATGCACAGCAACAGTAGCTACAGCTATTAAAAGCTGACTACAGGGCTCAGGAGCCAGCAAATGTTTATTGAAGTTAAGTCCAGTGGTGGGACAATCTGTACATCTGGATGCAAAGCTACCAGGCTGATTGATCTCTGCTGCTGGCTGCAGAGAATGAGGAGGGGGCAATATTTAATGCCCTGACAGCAGAGGGTGGGGCTATGGTAATTTCTGTTGTAGGTGCTGGCTGGGGAGTACAGGGTCAGGCCATTGTCACTGTTGCTGCTCCCTTTCCTTGTCTGGAAAACTACACTATCCATATTTGGAAGGAATGCTGGCTCCAAGGCAGCGGGAAGGTGGGGGGGGGGACCTACTGCTCAAAAGTAAATCTGCAATAGCTGAAGTTAGGGTGGCCAAGAGGTACAAACCTCCTTTGCACTTTTGTGCAGAAGGTGAGAGAAAGGGTGATGCTGGATGTTCTTCTCACTTCCTGGGTTCTTTTTTACAATACGTATAGGATATATTAATTTTTTTTGGCAAGGGTATATTCAAATACTTACATTGGAACCTGGAGGTCCAGGTAAACCACGAGCACCAGGGAAACCAGCTGCTCCCTGTAAAAAAAAACAACATTTAATGTGACTTCTGCAAATATTAAGGTTTATATCACTACATTTCCCTGCTAAAATTTGCAACAAGAATAAATTATTGTTTCATTATAAAACCAAGTATACATCTTACATTCTGTACTCTTGTGGGCTTGGGAAATGTGATATTATACTCGTACAAAATCTGTTAATCTGTATAAACTAGAAAGTTACATTAAATCTTTTAGGACATACCATTATGTTTGCTAACGATTCTAGCAATGTAAATTATGAAATTGCCCAAGAGCTTCCTACACTTGGGGGTCATCTGCATTTGATACAAAGAGAAGATTGCTCCAATGTCTCCCTACAATTATTATGTACCTTAGTAAAGTCAATCCTGTAGCATTTCACATATTGATCAGAACTACCAGCCCTTTCCTAATGAGGCACATTAGGCCAAAATGTACTGTTCACACATAGGCATTATGATTCAGCAAAATTCATATGCTTGTTTTAAAAAGCCAATGGGTAAGGCAGTGGCTTACTAGCTTATCATGCAAAACAAGGCATTATCCAGAAGTCTCTTCACCTTTGGTAGTATATTACTATGGATCCTAGAAACATATTTGGATCTGTATCTGTCACATATTTTCAGATATGTGATAATGCTGGGCTGGTTCTGAAACAATATGTGGCCTATCTAAAAAACAGTGGTACAGCTGTGCTGTGGCTAGATAAAGACCAAAAAAGCCCAGCAATGTGTTGTTATGTGTTTGACAGTTTGAAGCACGAGAAGTGAAATAAAAATTAATTGGAAAGTAAAGAGAGAAAGTTCAAAATTACATAACTGCATCTCCTGTAGTTAAGGGGCTCTATTTACTGCATTTACCAACAATCGAGCACCACAGGCTGGGAACTGCGGCCCACATTTTATTAACAAGCTCCTTTCATGTGGCTTTATATTTTGGAGTATAATGGAAAACAGATAGTAGTATCTGTTCTCCATTTTAAACTTCCCCTTTGGAGACACATTGCCTCAGGAGGTCAATGTATAAAATATGTCCTGTATGAAGCAATACATTAAATGGCACCTTTCATATTCCAAGGAAACGGTCTTCAGGTACTGTATGGGCCATATTTGTCTCTCATTTTGTTTTTGCTTTTGTTTAATATGCTTCAATTTGCCCTCACCAGTGGTGGTTGTTGCATTATATCCAACTCACGTACATATAATAAAATATTGAAATAGTTTCATTAAATTGTTTCATGCGCATACAAATAAGATTTTTTTTCTCTAACTGTTTTGGCTCTGTTGTAGAAAGGATTAAGCCTTTGATAAGGATCCATTACCCCAAGTAACAGTAATTACTGTCACTGGTACTGTAAAATTGCTGTGATGGTGAATACATAACTATAAGCTTAGGGTTAATACAATGTCACAGTTGCATAATATAATCAAAATACTATGAATATCTGGTTGGTCACTTTATTCAGTGAACAGATATATCATAATTGTCACACTTATGCTGGACTACTTACAGGTGATCCTGAAGCACCACGGTCTCCTTTTGATCCCTGAGGACCAGGGTTACCCTGTAGAAAAATTCAAGGAAAAAATATCAGTTTTACAGTCTTTTGTTTGGATGATCTGCATACTATTCAAAAAGAGAGGCAAATTATAAATAGTATGGTACATAGGTACTTACAGCAGGACCAGATCCACCTGGAGGACCACCAGCACCTTGAGGGCCAGGTTCACCTCTTTCACCAGAACCACCTTTTTCTCCTTTGCCACCAGGTTCTCCGTTTTGACCCTTTATGAAATTCAGAATAATTAAGTTAGCACAAAACAAAGTCAGAATGGCATTGATTACATGACATGAAACAGAGATAACTTCTTATGTACTTACAGGAGCTCCAGGAAAGCCAGCTGGACCAGGGGGGCCAGTTTCACCACGTTCCCCCTATAATTAGATAGATAGTAAAACATTTACCAAAACAGGCAACATATATATAAGCTATTCAGAAGATATTAATTTGTTGCATAAAAAGCATATCTAAGGATTAGGATGCAAGTTTTGCAACTAAATGCAAGAAAATCATTTTAACATTTCTTTGTCTATTGATCTAGTGCTTAAACTAACCAGCCACAGGCCATATAAACTATAAAGCGCATCAGGAACTTGTAAGTTTGCTAAAAGTACTGTATATGTCAATATAGAGGTGGGGGTAGAAACAAGAGGCCAGCTTATGAGGGGGGCACAATGGTTACTAGGATAGTGGGGCATCTTAAGTAATAGACTAAATATCAAAATGTTAGAATTACCTGGAGACTCAAGCTAAACTGTTTATGGAGATTCTTCTTTCCAGGCAACATATTGATACATCCCTGCTTTATTTACCATGTTGATAGAGAAAGAAGCACAACTGTGCCTGACAGTGTTTATGTAAGATACAAGCATGTGCAGAATGTAAGAAGTAGGGGTGATACACAGATCTAACATTTTTAATTCTTCACTAATTACATGCTTGTTCTGGGCCAGTAATAGGCAGGCTACATTTAGGCAACCTGCATTTAGTTATTCAATCAATTCCTACAGAATCATGGATTTTAACTTAAAAATGTTATGTCATTATGAACAACTTGCATTGTTACAAGCCCCAAAGACTTGCTTGGGAAGAGGGTGGAAGAGAAACTGATTGGAAATAAATGTTGAAAGTGTATTCAGGTTTTTCAGGTTAAACTAAGGTGTACAAAAATTAAAGGGTATCCTTAAAGGTATTCAAGGGGAACAACATTTTTGGTCTGTAGTTATGGCAGTCAGTTCCCCTAACCTTGCATTGGTTACAATAGGTACTAAGGAGCCACCCTTTATGCACTGCCTGTACTGCTTTGGCAACAGACTCCATCTGCTTACAATTGCATGATCCCTTATAAAATGACAGGCAGGTGAACTGCTTTGGTTTACTATAGCAGCATGAAGGTTGTAGCCGGGATCCCTGAGCATCCACTGGTTCCTAGGCTCCTACCTAAGCTGTCTTGTAGATGATCTGTCTCAAGTTCAGATTGGCCTCTACAAATTCAGCAGTGCCTATGGAGAGCAATTAAGCATGTGCACAGTAGAGTGAGACAATGTATTCCTGGATTTTAAACAGTATAGGCACCTTTTTAATGTTTTACCTTAAAAAATATACCTGCAAATTGGCCGCCTGAACTGATTTAGCAGAACTAAATTTTCTGAATAAGCTCCACTTTAATTCTTTCAGTCACTAAGCTTTACGAAAAAAAATGGTTTAAAGTACTTACAGGACCACCACGTGTACCAACAGGTCCAGAAGGTCCAGGTGGACCACCTTCACCCTGGAAAAGCAAATACATAAAAAAACATAAACACACCATTGAAATTGTGCAAAAAAGAGAGAGCAGAAGGGGTACATACCACCTTTGCCGCCAAACACTGACAGATTTTATTGGCACAACACGAGTTACATGATTAAAAATATAACAATTTTAATACAGTTCACATAAAATCACAAATAGACAGTATAAAATATTGGGGGGAAAAATATAGTCCCCAAAACATTAAAATGTTCATTAATACCCAAATGCAAGATTGGAAAGCAAGATACCTGTAATCTTATTATAAGATTTTATTTGTATTATTCCTTTTTTTCAGTTGGTCATGGGTCGGCATGCACTTCTCCATTGTTTTCATTTTCTTTTACTTTTTCCCCTTTCTCCTTTTAGCTAGTTTGCTATACAAGTATTTTACAATTCTCTGTTTTTACCATATATGAGAGCTTTTAAAGTTTCCTAATTTATATGGTTTTACTGTAATCATATCGCAGAGCCAGGTGACCATTTTAGTCTTTACCAGTTATCTTGTATGGCTCCTCCTTCCTGCTCTGTTTTATATACAATATATAGCAGGTCCCTTAGCAGGTCCCTAGGCTTGAGAAAGGGGCAGTTACACTCTGAAACATTCAGCCACGTTCCCCATATTGCGGCCCTCCCAGGTTTCACAATACTTCCAGTCTTGTGCAGTCCATGTGCTCCAGGGTGTCTCCAAGATTTCTGGTTTCATTTCTTTCTGGTGTCCTTCAACACACTGAGGTTCAACAGCCAACCACACTGGGTGGATGACATGCTCTTATCTTCAACCACTTTGTAAGTTGCCACTTGTTATTTTTATTAAAGTCTTTTCCTATATACTACACTTAGTTTGACGCCCTCTGCTGTTTCCTTTAGACATTATTGTTATTACCTATCTCTTACTGAATTATGTGTTTTTTCTATACTTCCCTTTAAAATAAAATATTTGCATGTAAATATATATCTTACAGATGACAATTTAATCTAGAAAAAACATCCTTAAGTTAAAATATGGTTAAATTAAGAAGTCAAATTTGCACAGACAAATTACCTTGTCTCCGGATGGACCAGCAGGACCAGGAGGGCCAATGGCGCCAGCAGGACCCTAAATATATATTTAAAAAATTAATACACTTAAAGTATACTGGATCTCAATAATTTGTAACTGTGCCTGATAGCTGGATGTGCCTGGATTTTTTTTTTATCGCAGGCTCTTATACTTATTTTTTAGATAAAATATATGCAGAATGTATTACCATTATTTACCTACCTATGTTACACAATTCTGGATAATTTTGTAGATTATAAAACAATAATTAATAATTCTTCTACACTACCTATCACCCCTAAATCTATCAATACCAAACTGATACAGTATATAATGAACCAAATTTATGAATAAGTCAATAACAGTATTTTCTGCAGCCCTGTAGTCTACTATATTCAAGATTCTCATCACATGAGAGAAGCGAGTTCAGAGTGAGTTGGTGATTGGTTAATCTCTAGACACCGAGCGGCCGCACATTTGCGTTCTATTAAAAAAAAAAATATGTGCTGAGAGCCAGCACACATGTCCAGTACTCACGGAAAGGTCACAATCTCCTATTTCCCGATCATGTGACCGCTGTGACGGCGTGTCACGGCAGTCACATGACCCTAAACCCGCCTCTCTTCCCGGCTTCTGAAACCCTTAAAGGGCCGGGAGGCGCAAGCGCCCATTGGTTAGCACTTCATATGAACAATACTAGTAGTGCAATTAGCATATACATGTTGTAAGTGGATCTGTTTTCTTCTAGTTTCATGCATTTTTCACTGCCTGTTTTCATGCATCTACATGCATTTACATCATGCGTTTTATCAAACTATGTGTTTAGCATTCAGGGATGTGTGAAAAAGACCTGTTATTTTCAAATGTTGGTAGGCCAAGAGCACATGGCTTGTTGTGAGATCTGAATAATCATTCATTTACAGCACAAAAAGAGCATGATGCTTTTATGCACTCCCATTGACTTCTTTGGGCCTTCAATATACATTGACAGAAATACTGCAATGGTGCATATGCCTCATGTAAAAAAAACATTCCCAATATTAGCTCAGAGTTATCACAGAGAAAGAGAAAGTGAGCCTAATAAATATTTTATTTGGCTCTGTGTATAAACAGGAAAGTGGTGCTGATGAACAATACACAGAAGATTTTAGGACAATTGCAAATGCACCACACTCAACTTTGATAATGTTGAGAAACAATTACAAGAAACTATGAATAAAACACTTAGATAAGATGCCTTATATATGAGTCCTGAAATGTTGAGCCCAACTATTTCTAAGCCAATATCATTCATTTTTAGATATTTTTCCAATAATTGACTTGGTATCAAAAGATTGGCAAAAGGCAAATGTTCTACCTATATTTAAAAAAGGATTTGCAGACCTGTTAAGTTTAACACCTGTGTAAGAAAGATATTTCAGGGTATGGCAAAGGACCACATACAAGTGTGCCTGCTAGAAAACAATGTCATAAGCAATAACCAGCAATGGATTTTTGAAAGCCAAAAGCTGTCAAACAAAACAATTTTCTTTTATCTGAAGATATTAGCAGAATTTTAAACAAAGTGGTGGTGGTTCAATGTTGATAAACATAAACTTAGATACTTGGAAGCTAACTCATAAATCATATACCATACAATCTTTGTCAATTAAATGAGGTAATTCAGTAATGGAGAAAGATCTGGATGTCTTGGTAGATCATTTAAAAGATCTAATCAAGAACAGTATGCAATGACAAATTTAAGAGAATCTTGGCCCTTTAGAAGGCAATAGCAAGCTTGTCTTGAACATGTAGGTTAGCTTTAAGTACCTGTTAAAGCTGGTATTTATGATTTTTTTTATACAGCAACAAATATATTAGTTATGTCTTAATAATGTTGATCACACATGCAGGCCACTGCTTATGGTTAAACTCTACCCTGCAGGGTCTCCTTCAGAGCCTCCAGATATTGCCCTGAGCAGCTATTTTCCAGGGATCTGAGCATTAAGAGCAGTCGCTGCTACTGAGAAAAGTTGCACTGTTTGTGTGAGAGTAGTAATATGAGAGTTTTTGTGAACAGCAGAGAAGGAGGAAAGGTGTGGGACATTGGCACAGCTTTTGTCAGTAGCAGTGTCTGCTGATAACTTTAACATCCCCAGAAGATAGCCACTCAGGGAAGTATCTGGTGGCTCTGAAAAGGCGTAATGAATGGATGTTTTGTTTGCCTCAACCAGCTGCCATTACACATTATTAATGTGTTTAGTTCTGTATCCCAACTAAAAAAAATCTAAACTTTGGCTTAACAAAAGAGGTTGTGTAACTGGAAAGAGTGTAGCAAAGTGCAAATAAAATAAATATAATCACAAATATTTAGAATGTTGGGGAGTATCTGATTGCCTTTGGGGATCCCACAGGAAATCTTTCCCTGTTGGAAGAAATTGGACAATGCTTTATAGGGATTTTTGTCTTCCCCTTGAATAACTACAGTTATGGGTTTTTTGTGTTTGAACTCGATGGGCACATGTCTATTTTAAACTTGGCTTACAATGTAAGTATGTAAAAAAAATTTTCTGCCATTAGCTGTAATCAGAATAGTCTTTTTATTTGCACAAGTGCATCTGCAAAATGATGTATCGGACAATAAGAGTACTTTCCTTGAGGACATATTTTCTTTATCAGACCTTTCATCATTTTAGAAAAATAACAGGAAGTATTAATAATACAAGGGAAGAAGAGATTATTGATCTTGTATAATCAAATAATGACAATTATTAAGATGATAAAATCAGCTTTATGGTCTGTAATGTTTTTTATCTATTTAATACATACTATTTAATGCCCAGGGTGGGTGTCTTCTTCTGTCTTTCTGTGTCTGCTAAAATAAGCTGCAAGACTGACTGCATACCTTTTTTTGCTTTGGGACTTTTTCAAGTAGTTTAATCTAGTGCATGCTTTATAAAGTATCCACTACTATAGATTAAAAACTGAACACTTTGAAAGTTAATGAAGGCTGATTTGAAACACATACATTAGCTTACATAAATCTGACAGCATAAAACATGTTACTTACTTGCGATAATTCTAAATTAACACATGTGCTATGTGTACATCATCATGTACATTGCTTGTGTAGGACCCAAAACACACATCTGAGTACATATGGTTTCTAAAATATTATACTGGGCTATATAAACTCACTCTTAATCCATCTTTTCCAGGTAATCCATCTCCACCTTTGCCACCAGGTTCTCCCTAAAAACATAATATTTTGATTATTAAATTAGGACAAAACATATCTGTATATATTGTGTGAAAAATCTATACATAAATAAAAGCTTGATACTGACCTTCTCACCTTTTGGCCCAGCACTTCCAAAACCTCCTCTTTCTCCAGGCATGCCTTGAAGACCAGGGGATCCCATTGCACCAGAGGGTCCAGGTGGTCCAGCAGGTCCCTGTGTGTGTTCCACATCAGTGAGTTTATAATGAGTTGTAAACAACATAAGCTACACTGCCTTGAGAGAAATCACTAGTTTTTTATTTATTTTTTTCTCTGTTTTGAAGAAGGTAAACAAAATGGATTAAAGGGGTGCAGTATTTATATTCTACCTTTTAAAGCCTATTTCTGTAGATAAATGTCCAATTTCTTTTCAAAAGAAAGCCCTCTCTGCTAAATCACTCTGCCACATCCTGCCTATCAACAGGATAAAGCTGCCTAGCAAAAACGTTTATTTTCCGTACCCTCTATACAATACATAAGTGAACATAAATTGTTCAAAAAGGATTTAAAGAACCTATCTCTGATGTTATAGCTATGAAGAGGAAACATCAGTAAATTCAAAATTCAAAATGCCCATAGCTTACATGGTTTTACCCCACCTACAACATTTATGAAAGGTTCAGTAACGCAGCTTGGATTTTTATATTTCTGTTATTACCTTTCCACCATCTGGACCTGGAGGACCAGTACCACCTCTAGTACCAGGAGCTCCAGGAGAACCTTGCAAACCTCTTTCACCGGGAATGCCATTTTCACCCTATGATGGAGAATATTAATTATTTATTATAATTGACATATAATTATTTATATTATATTAGTGCACTGTAACATGTTGCTTCTATACTTAATGCTTGCTTTCTGTATGGCAAAAGTAGTCTACATTATCCCTTCTTACAGTAAGCATAATTTTAAAATGACGACTTCTATTGTTTCTTACTGTCTTTGTGTTTTGTGTCATTCTCATAACCATTTAGAGTATTTTCTGCAAACAAATAGCACTGTTTCATAAAACCTAGCTTTTAAAGCCAAGAAGGCAAAATCAGCATCACATACCTTGTACCTGGCAGGTTATATAAAAGAAAGAGAATTAACTGCATAGTACTATTTCCATGGACACCACATTATTTAAAATTAAATACAACGTCAAACAGTCATCATCTCACCTCATCTGCAGCATTCTGAGACTATTACAAAGGGTCTGACAGCAGTCCTATTAATCATATCCACTTTTTTTTATGGGTGTTAACCACCAATATATCTTTATGTGTTGCTCAGGTAAAAAAGAAAACAATATGCAAGATTGCATAAAAAGATAATCAACTTGCTTATAATAGCCATACACCCATCGGCTGGGTACTGCAGTGGTAACTAAGTAACAGATAAGGAAACCTTAAAAAAATTACTTTTCCATTAACAAATATTTACTGTGGATTAGGTTAGTGAATCCTAGAGTCATGAATTTACTCCTAGAAAAAATGGTCAGTTTTATGTAGTGCTTAATTTCTAAGAGTGTTCCAAAACGTGTCCAGTTAGACTTTTAGGCCTCGTGGAATGAGCAGTAGTTTTCAGCTTATCATGTTCTATATGACATACATTAACAGCACTTAGAAGCCTGCATTTCTGTGTTTATTTGTAAGCAGACTCAGTATGACCCTTAATGTCCTGAATATCCAGTCAATGCAAAATAGTAGTTCAGTGCATTTAAGACATTACTGAACTCACCTTACAACCCCCAAAAAGCAACAAAATACACTTGTTTTTGGAGTATGTACTTGTTTCCCAATGGCATTCTTTTATATTGAAAATCATTAACCCCTTAAGTCTTTTTTTTTTATAATTTAAATATTTATTAATTTTTCATTTTAAATACATTTCATCATCACAATATAAATATATATACAGTATATAAAAATATATTCTATAATATTATATTATCCAACATTTCTACTTTATTTACTCTATGCTACCTTTCCCTCCCACCTCCGCCCCCACCCCATATCCCCTCTGCCTATTCTACCTTTTCTCTGCGTCTTCTTATATCAGCAAGTGAAATTTTTCTGTTATTTTCTTTATTCTTTCCTATACTTCATATATAATCTAGCTTTTTCCCAGTTCTCCCATTTCCCATAGTAAACCTCCATCTTATCTTCTTGGATATGACACAACCTTTCCATCTTTTTGATCTGCTCAACTCTTTCAATCCAGTCCTCTTCCCTTGGTGCCTCTATTCGCCGCCAGAACTTGGATATCAGGGCTTTTGCAGCATTTATATAGTACCATATCCCTGATTTTTTATATTTATTTACTGTTATATCCATGTTATGCAAAATACATACTTCTGGGTCTAGATCTATGTCTATTTTCTGTCAATTTTCTTATTAAGTGGATTATTGTTTTCCAGAATATCTGGATTTTTGGGCATCCCCACCATATATGGTATATATTGTGCCTATTTCTCCACATCCCCTCCAACACAACGGTGAACTCTCTCCACACATCTTATTTTCTACTTTTGGTGAAATGTGCCATCTTGTCAAACACTTATAGTTCATCTCTACTTCTCTCATAGAAACGTTCTCGTGAGTTAATCTATACATTCTCCTCTGCTTTTCCTCATCTATCACAACTCCCATATCCATTTCCCATTTTGTTATATATGTTGGCTTTGTGTTTGTGTCTAATTCAGTGAGTATTTTATAAACTCTAGCAATCCCGTGTTTCCCATCACCTTGTGTTCCCAATACCTTTTCGAACAAGTTCCAATTGTCTCTTGTCCTTAAAGGTCTTGGCAAACTTCCAACAAAACACCTCAATTGGAAATACCGCCATTCATCTAGTTTAGTGAAGATCTCTCCCTTTTTTTTTTCAATTCGCCAAATGATCCTATTTCATCTCCCACCAAAATATCTCCTCATTGCACCTTGTCTTTTTTAAATCACCTCCCTCCTATTTCTTCTCTGCCTGGGGGAAAAAACTCGGTGTTTTTTAGTGGAATCAGTGTGGAATTAAAAGTCCATTTCATACTTCTGTGTAGATTATCCCAAATCTTTAAAACATTCAAAGTGTATGTATTTACATTATCATTTAAACCCCTATACTGTGTTGGCACCCATATCATTCTTCCCAAGTCTATTCCACTGAGTTCATTCTCTATTCTCACCCAGCTTTTTTTATAATTAAATATCCAATCTATGGTTCTTGCCAATATTACCGCTTTGTAATATCTTTTAAAGTCTGGGAGCCCTAAACCACCTCTTTCTTTCCTCCTACTTAACAGTTCGTATGACAGTCTTGGTTTTTTATTCCTCCATATGTATTTTGTTATCAGTTTCTTAATTATTTTAAAAAAGATCTCTGGGAGTTTAATTGGGATCATTTGGTATCTATATATAATTTTTGTACTATTACCATTTTTACCAGATTAATACGGCCCATCCATGTCGGGGTTCCTCCCTCCAATCTTTTTAACTCATCTCTAATCTCATTAATCAATGAAATATAGTTTAATTTATATAGATGTTTGTGTGAGGCTGTAAGTTTTACTCCTAGATATTTTATATCCCTATCTTTCCTTTCAAAGGGAAATTCCTTTTGTATCTTTTCTTTTTCATTTTTTAAGATGTTTATATTTAGAATCTCTGTTTTTGTTGGATTTATCTTTAAATTTGATAGTTCTCCATACTCCTTTAATGACTTCATTAAATTTGGAAGTGTTATCCTGGGATTTGCTACGTAGAACAGCAAGTTGTCTGCGAAAGCAGCAACTTTATGTTCTGTATCTCCTATCAGGATTCCCTTTACATCTCTATTCAGCCTTATTGTTGACAATAGTGGTTTCTAATGATATAACATACAACAATGGGGACAATGGGCATCCCTGTCTTGTTCCGTTTGACATCTCAATGGGTTCTGACCTCTCCCCATTTACCCCAATAACCACAGAGGGGTATCTGTACAGCTTTCCTATCCACTCTCTCATCCTAGGCCCAATTCCCAAGGCTTCCAGAGTATCCATCATGAATCTCCTGTTAAACACTTTTTCAGCATCTATAGAGAGTAACACCGCCGGTTCTTTTCCCTTTTTACTCTTTTGGGTTAGCATCAGTGATCGTACCCCATTGTCTTTACCCTCCCTCCCTGGAACAAAGCCCACCTGATCCTCATGTATCCATTCAGGCATTAGCTCTTTCAATCTATTTGATAGGACCTTTGCATACAACTTAGTGTCTGTATTCAATAGTGAAATAGGTCTATAGCTCGAACACTGAGAGGGATCTTTTCCCTCTTTTTGAATGAGCACGACTTGGGCTTGTAATGATTCTCTTCTTACTTCCATCCCTCCACCTAGTGCATTCATGTAATTTTTAAGTTTTGGTACTAAAATTTCACAAAATTTTTTATAATATCTCACTGTATATCCATCTGGTCCTGGACTTTTCCCCGACACTGTCCCCTTCAATGCTAATTTTATTTCGTCCTGTGAGATATCTGCATCTAGGGAGTTTAGTTGATCCTCACTTAATTTTAGTAACCCAGCCGTTTCCAAATATTTCTTTCTTTTTTGGTTCTTCTCACTGTCTATAGTTTCTGAACCTTCCAGGGGGCTTATATTGTACAGTTTCCTGTAATATTATATGAAGGCTTTGATGATATCTTTATTTGAATGCATCAGGTTTCCTTTAGCATCTTTTATTTTTTCTATATAATTTCTATTTTTCTTTTTCCTCAGGGCTTTCATCAGATACTTTCCAGGTCTTTCTCCCCATCTATATCTCTCACTCAAAACTCTATTATATACTTTTCTCCTCTCCTCTTCTATCATTTCTTTCAATTCTTCTTTCTTTTTTTTTAACTTCAGCTCTATTTCTTTTGTTATTCTATTCTTATGTATTTGTTCTAATTTACCTATTTCTTCTAAGAGCTCATTCATTTTCTCCCTTCTTTCTTTTTTCTTTCTTGCCCCAATTGCCATTAATATTCCTCTTATATAAGCTTTATGAGACTCCCACACTGTGGCCGTTGACACCTCCCCTGTCTCATTCTCCTTAAAAAAAGCATTCGATCTCCTCCCCTATTTTCTGAGCTATTTCCTTTTCCACTAAGAGTGTCTCATTCAATTTCCATCCCAGCCCTCCGATTTTCCTCCTTCCCCATTCCATTTTCATAATAACTGGGGCGTGATCTGATAAAGATATTGTCTCTATTTCTACCTGGATCAGATGGTCAATTAATTGATGTTCTATTAATATATGATCTAATCTTGAATATCTCTTATGCATATTTGAGAAGAAAGTATAATCTCTATCCTACATATGTGTAATTCTCCAGGCATCTACCAATTGACTTATGTGTAATTCTTTTTTCAATAATTTCAGGGCCCTACTTCCTTCTGTCTTTATATGGGAGGTGGCGTCCCTTTGTGGGTCCATACAAAAGTTAAAATCCCCTGCCAGGATCAGACGTCCTTTTTTAAAGTCCATCAACTTCCTCAACACTTTTTTTCAGATACTCCTCCGGTTTTTTATTAGGACAGTAGATATTGGCCAGTGTACACTCAATCTCCTGTAACTTGCCCTTTAAAAACAAAAAATCTACCATCTGGATCTGTTTTTTTCTATCTTCCAACTCAAACCTAATATTCTTTGCCAAACCTATTGCCACCCCTTTTGCTCTTTTAACCGGGGAATCTGCATAGTACCATGTTGGGTGATTTCTAGACCTCAGCCTAACATTTGATTTTATCTCAAGATGTGTCTCCTGTAGAAATATCACTGAGGCAGCTCTATGGTGTAGTTCTTTAAATAATCTATATCTTTTCCCAGGGAAGTTCAACCCATTTATATTATATGTTTATAAACTGAATCTCTTCCATCTTCCTTAAATTTCCTCTTTTCTCCTCCATCTATATTTTTCATTTCTCTCTCCTTTTCTCATTTCCTCTTCTCCTCCCTTCTTCTCCTCTCCTCCTTCTCCCTTCTCACTTGCTTTTATATCGTCTTTTATCTTGCAGAAAAAACAACCCCCCTCTCCCATTTCCCACCCTTCCAACCTTCCAACCCCCTCCCTCCCCCCTCCCCTCCCCCCTCTTTTTAGGCCTAACATTTGCCTACTAATCATTTATGGATTATAAAGTCCACTTTTGATTTGATCCTTAGGCTAAGACTCCGTCCATGGACGACTTTCCCCTTGTCTAACCTCCCCATAACCCCTCAAGTCCCACCCAGATTTATCACAGGCACAAAAAAAAAAACGAGGTAGGGTGAGGATAGAAAAAGATAAAGGAGAAAAAAGAAAAAAAACCCTATTTCTCTTCCTCCATCCCCCCCCCTCCCCTCCCCTCCTCCCCTCCTCCCCCCCACATATTGCCAGTCCTCTTTTCTCTTCGTTCTATTTTCCCATTGTTCTTCTTCCCAGCCAGGGATTTCCATTCTTTGGATTTTTAAACTGTCACAGAAATTTTTCAAATCTTCTGGAAACCTGAGGTATGCTGTAGTCCCATTTTTCCATCCTATTAAGCATTCGGGAGTCCCCCATCTATATTGCACATTTTGTTCTTTCAACCTTTCCAATAGGGGTCTCAAAGTTCTCCTTCTCCACAAAGTCTCTGGAGCCAGATCCGCATATATCTGTATGTCTCCTCCTTCATACTTAATTACTGATTTTCCCTTGGTCTTCTTCCAGATTTTTTCTTTATCCCGAAGTTCATAGAATTTAACCAGTATATCTCTCGGCCTTTCTTTCCCCAGATTTCTCTGAATTTTTCCTTTTCTAAAGGTTCCTTCTATTTTAGACCTTTCCATTTCAGAGCTGTCTGTTATAGTGTTAAATATTTTACAAACCACCTCTTGCAGACTTTTTCCCTTTGAGTTTTCTGGGACCCCACGTATCAAGATGTTTCTCTTCCTGTCTTTGTTTTCTTGTATCTCAACCTTATATAACAGTTTTTCTTGGGCTTTCCCTATATTAGTTAATTCTTTTTCAAGTTCAGAGATAGCCTGGGTCTGACCTTTAACTTTCTCCTCCGTTTCCTCAACTCTCTCCAACAGGTGTCCCAGATCACTGCGGATATTTACCATTTCTTGTTTTATTGGATTCTCCAGTTCTTTAAACATTTCTGCCATTTCTTTTTTATTAGGTATTTGTAGATCTTTTTCCATCTCTATATTGCCTGATATTTGCTGATTACTAGTATCAAGGCCTAATGATACTCTAGGACTTCTTTCCATACTAAGATCTGCTTCTCCTTTTTCAGTCCTACTCTGGGGTCTTTCTGGGGTTACGTTTCCTTGGGATGTGTATTTTTTAATTGTACCAGTCTGGGACCCTTTAAGCCCACTTCCTTTTACATTTTTAGTTTTCATTTTTCTCTGTGACACTTATCCTTCTTATACTCCTTTATAAATTCGTGGGTAGGGAGGGGAAATAATTCTTTAAACTTTCAAGTCTCTGCCCTGTCCCCCTGCTGGTTTTCTTTTTTCTTTTTTTTTTTCCTCTTCTTCCTTCCCTCCTCTCCCTCTCCTTCCCCTTAAGCCTCTCTTCTTCTTTCTGCGAGCCTCTTCCACCTTTTGTACAGTCTCCAGGGGTCCCCCCTTTCACTTACACTCTATTTCTTAGGGGTCAGCACACAATAGTTCCTCAAATGCAAGTCAAAGTTCATTCATAATCACTCACCCTCCTCCTATGTCCTCTTCCAGTGAGTGCCTTCTCGCTCAGTTCCTCTGAGGGTCCATTCATGGGGGGGGAACTCCCCAGGATCTCTTCAGACTCCTTGTCCAGGTCTCAGTAGTTCTCCTTCCTTCCGCTTTATTTTAGGCTCAAGGGGTATCAGGGGGATAGGGGGAGAATGTGTCGGCCACCAGCAAACAGGTCGGCGTTGCTCTCTCACTGCAAAACGATCTCCCAGTGGTGCCTTGCGGCCGGTCACGTGATCGCGCCGGCCCCCTTCGTCTCCCAGCATCCAGGGACTCTCTCTCTGCCAGTCTCCAGCCGATCCTCTCTCTCCGCTCGCCCGCATCAACCCCTCCTCCACCGGGGGCCGCCAGGCCAGGTAAGTCCCACACCGCAGAGCTCTAACATGCCTAAGGGGATAGGACTGGAGGCTTGGGGAGGTCAGACAATGGAGCTCCGTCCACGAGCTCCTACATTGAGCTCTCCCCTGCCGCCATGTTCAGGCCCCGCCCTCTCGCCTAACCCCTTAAGTCTTGTATTATAAATGTTATCCCCAATAAATCCCTAAAATGCAATAATGACAGCATCCACTGTGAATGTATCATAAAGTGATGACTGAGACAAATAGGCAATAACCAGGTTCATATGAATAAAGTATATGTTATATATTATTTAGAAAATGGCACCCACTATCAATTAAAAGGCATACAGTCTATAAAAAGGTTAATTAGGATTCATGAATCTGGAACTCACCTTGCCACCTGAGGTTCCAGGAGCGCCAACTTCACCTTTAGGTCCCTACAAGTAACATAGATTGTATATATTTATTACGGAGCAGTTTATTCAGTATATATAAAATATATGAATACATACATTTAAGGAAATAGTTTCATAGGGTACACACGTATCAGACATTATAAGGAAGTTTAAGGGTAACTTACTGCTTCACCAGGTTTTCCATTCTCTCCGGCAGGTCCAGGAGTTCCTGGCAGACCCTGTCAAAATAGTACATAATTCATATTATTCCAAAGACATTTTTCTAAAGGAAAAGATTCTAAAGTGTGCAGTTTGTTTTGTTCTGAATTGAAATTTGGACAAAATTTTAGTTATTCAGAAATTTGAATGTATCTGAATTTCCAAATACAACAGTAACGAACTTCAACAAATCCAAAATAAACATTACAGAAGTAATGATTTTCATTTGTTTCATTTAGATGTTAGAAGCATCCAAATTAAATTAAATGAATGATCCGAATTTCTTACCAGGCCCTTTGGGTCTTGTATGGATTTTAAGAGGAACCTCGCACCAAAATTAAAATAAAAATGGTATAGGGCCCACCCCCAAATCCATACCAGACCCTTATCTGAGCATGTAGCCCAGCAGGTCAGGATAGGGGCATGAGCAAGAGGCCCCCTCCTGAACTATACTAGGTCACATGTCCACAACAAGGGGGGGCTTTGGGGCAGGGGGTTCCCCCCAAAACACCTTGCCCCCATGTTGATGGAGACAAGGGTCTCTTCCCAAAAACCCTGCGCTGTGGTTGTGGGGGGGGGGGGACTGCAGGCTGGGGGCTTATCATAATCTGGAAGCCCATTTAATAAGTGGGCCCCCAGATCCCACCCCCATGCCATGCGAATTGTACCCCTACTCATTCACCAAAAAAAGTGTCAAAAATATCCCATACCATTTTTTTTTAATTTGTTGTGGGGTTTCCCTTAAAATCCATACCAGACTCAAAGAAACTGGTATGGATTGGAGGTGGGGACACCATGCCAAAATGTAAAAGACCCTTTACAAGACCCTTATCCAAGCATGTAGCTGGGTGTCCTGCTCCTTAACAACCAAATATTCTCAATGAATTCAAATTGATTCAATATTTTCAAGGGGACCTCCATGCCGTTTTTTTTTTTACATTTTGGCATGGGGTTCCCCTCAAAATCCATACCAGACTCAAAGAAACTGGTATGGATTGGGGGGGGACATCACGCCAAAATGTAAGAGACCCTTACCAGACCTTTATCCTAGCATGCAGCCAGGTGTCCCTTACAACTGGCTATTCTTCACAATGAATTTGAATGGTTTAATATTTTAATGTCAGAAACTCTAAATCCATTGGAAAAAATTTGAATCCGGTTGAAAATGAATAAACGAAACAAAATGAAACATATTTTGTTATTAATGCAACAAAACAAAATTAGAGATTTACTGAATCCATCTGAAATGAATTTTTTTCATTCTGCACGTTTAATGGATTCACACTATATTTTTGCCTAATGCAAGTTTTAGTACCTAGTTTGAAATTAATGACATATATGAACACACGTTTTTCTGAATTCTGATATAATAGAAAAAATGCTTTTTAAGAGGAACTGGAATATCCATTGTAGTGATTGCACAAATGAGTCCCATCTTAATATCCAATGCCTGATTCAAAATATCAAGAATTGTTGGATGGCCTGACTAATTAAAGAAAATTATGTGTGTGCTTTATATATATATATATTTTTTTACAAACTAGTGTAGCTAGATGCAAAAATGTGCCTATACTAGCTATATTATGTAATATACACACTATGCTAATAAATCCAAGATATAACAGTATAATTGATTTTACGCTCATTTGTGTTTTAACAAAATATATACAGTCATGGCCGAAATTGTTGGCACCCTTGATATTTTTCCTGAAAATCAAGTATTTCACACAAAAAAGGTAAAACACATGTTTTGCTATACACATGTTTATTCCTTTGTATGTATTGGAACAAATATAAAACAGAGGCAGAAAAGCACATAATGTCACACAAAACAAAAATGGACAAAAGTATTTGCACCCTTTTAATATTTGGTTGCACACCCTTTGGAAAACATAACTGAAATCAGTCGCTTCCTATAACCATCAAATAAGCTTCTGACACCTCTCACCCGGAATTTTGGACCACTCTTCCTTTGCAAACAGCTCCAGGTCTCTCTTATTGGAAGGACACCTTTTCCCAACAGCAATTTTAAGATCTCTCCACAGGTGTTCAATGGGATTTAGATCTGGGCTCATTGCTGGCCACTTCAGAACTCTCCAGCGCTTCTTTGCCATCCATTTCTGAGTGCTTTTTGACGTATGTTTGGGGTCATTGTCCTGCTGGAAGACCCAGGATCTTGGACGCAAACCCAGCTTTTGACACTGGGCCCTACAGTGCGACCCAAAATCCTTTGGTAATCCTCAGATTTCATGATGCCTTGCACACAGTCAAGGCACCCAGTGCCAGAGGCAGCAAAACAACCCCAAAACATCATTGAACCTCCACCATATTTTACCGTAGGTACTGTGTTTTGTTCTTTGTAGGCCTCATTCCGTTTTCGGTAAACAGTAGAATGATGTGCTTTACCGAAAAGCTCTATCTTGGTCTCATCTGTCCACAAGACGTTTTCCCAGAAGGCTTTTGGCTTACTCAAGTACATTTTGGCAAACTGTAGTCTTGCTTTTTTTATGTCTCTGTGTCAGCAGTGGGGTCCTCCTGGTCCTGCCATAGCGTTTCATTTCATTTAAATGTCGACGGATAGTTCGCGCTGACACTGATGCTCCCTGAGCCTTAAGCTTGAATGTCTTTGGAACATGTTTGGGGCTGCTTATCCACCATCCGGACTATTCTGCGTTGCAATCTTTCATCAATTTTCCTCATGGCCACGACCAGGGAGATTAGCTACAAGCCATGGGTTGCAAACTTCTTGATAATGTTGCGCACTGTGGACAAAGGCAAATCTTGGAGATGGACTTGTAACCTTGAGATTTTTTGATATTTTGCCACAATTTTGGTTCTCAGGTCCTCAGACAGTTCTCGTCTCCTCTTTCTGTTGTCCATGCTTAGTGTGGCACAGACAGACACACAATGCAAAGGTTAAGTGAACGTCTCTCCTTTTTATCTGCTTTCAGGTGTGATTTCTATATTGCCCACACCTGTTACTTGCCCCAGGTGATTTTACAGGAGCATCACATGCTTGTAACATTCTTATTTATCCGCAGTTGTGAAAGGGTGCCAATACTTTTGTCCAGCCCATTTTTGGAGGTTTGTGTGACATTATGTCGAATTTGCTTTCTTTCCTCCCTTTTTTTTGTTTTGTATACACACAAAGGGAATAAACATGTGTATAGCAAAACATGTGTTAATGCAATACGTTTTGAAAATACATGATTTCCTGGAGAAATATCAACAAAATATATATATTACTTAAAAGGCAGAGTTAGCATCAGACTGGAGAATTAATTGTATTTATAGGGAGGTAAAACAAAATCTGGCTATTACCTGGAAGCCTGGTGGTCCAGTTCCTCCTGCTTCTCCTCGCTCACCTGGAGGTCCCTACAAAAGACAAATTGTATATTAGTAATAGCCAATGGCATTCGTGTTTTGAACTAGTTATTAGTTTGTTATCTTCTAGGTATCTTCAAGTATTTTTAGTTTTTTACTACAATATCACTAATGTTGTTAGTTCACCACCTGTATGCTTAAAGGATAAGTTTACCTTTCGCAACATGTTACGTTACACCCATATTCAGGGCGTAACATGTAATGACAGGATCGGACCCCACTCTCCCTGCTTCCCCCGATCTCCCGCTTTGACAGCTAGCGGGGGATCTTCTCTCCCTGCTAGCTCCGCTCATCCAACCACAGTACTCATTCACAGTATTCTGTGAATGGGACAACTAAAAGTTCTGACAGCCTTTGTGGCTGTTGCTTTTAGATCTCAATGAGTACTGTGGTAGTTCATTGATTCTTCCTGTTAGTGAATATCTGCTTGCCCAGGTACGAGGTACGAGCAAACAGATACACTGACAGGTCTGCAGGAGTCTTGCATGGCACCAGCGATCAGCAGATGCTCTAGAGGCTTCAGAAACAAGAAATATTAAATGCACATTTTTTTTACCTGCAGAAAAATGTGCAGTTATTTTTTTGTTAAAAGGTGAACTTTATCTTTTCCTATTTGTATATAATATTAGTAATACCAAAGCTTAAATAACATTTTATAACAGGGATAGCATGTCATGTCCCCTTCTAGTTAGCTAGATCTAGATAAATCAGTTTTAACTTTCCCAGTAGCAATATAACAGAGCTCATCATGCACATTATTGTGAATAAAGCTACACAGATAAATTCATTTTATTTTCAAAGCTAGTCACTTTACTGTGAAACTGTTTTGCTCTATTTCAATTACTCTTAAGAACCAAAACGTGCTCTGTGAAAGTCACAAGAACTAAGTTTGAAATTTTATAGGGTTGTAAGTGATAGTTGGCTTGGATATTTTAAACTATATACAGTAGTATTTTAGTCCAAGACCAAAGTACAAAATTTAGGCAGCAGAACCGATGCACATTACAACCCTGTTAAACTTCAAACATAATTTATTTAAAGCTACAAAATAACCTTTATTTTGTATATATACCAAACGTTATTCTGCCTCCTTGCCCTTTAAAAACATTAATCATTAAAGAAACTTTGTGATATTTTTGTTAAGCAGTTATTGCACACTTTTTGTGCAGTATTTTCTTATTCCAAAAAAGGTTTAACAAAAATGTAACTGCAAAGTGTGTGATATTATTTGAACCTTTTCTGAAAAAGTTCTATACACTGATCACAGTACTTACTGCTGCACTTACTGCTGCACCCGGAGGACCCTGGGATCCTTGGTCACCACTCTTTCCAGGAAGACCCTGATAAACAAATAAAAGCATATTAGATTATAGGAATTAAAACATTGTAAATAGAATTAATATAAAAAGCACAACACTCACCTGTGGTCCAGAAGATCCAGGACCACCCCTTTCTCCATTTTTACCAGGTTGACCCTAAAATAAGACACATAGAGTTACAATGAAGTCATATTATATGTTAATGGACAATGATCAAAAATAGAAGGTCACTAATGGGTTCAATAACCCACTAACATTTTAAATCTCTCAGAGAATTCAGTTGCAAGTTTTCCCACTGTAGTTTGTGCTCTCTCTTCATAGAAAGAGAGATAGTTCATTATAATTGTGTTTTCCAGCAGTACAGTAATTTATTACTATTATACAGGATTTATATGCCAACAGTTTGCACAGTGCACAATGCTTTACAGCATGAGGGCAGATGGCACAGTTTATTTCAATCTGTAACCACCATGGTGGCTAGGCAAAACTGGGAATTTTAGTGAGGATATCCTGCCACTTGGGATGCTAAAGCAAATATTTGGCTAGTTATTCAACTTGCCAAAAGCAATGCAAATGTTAAATATCATTTCGTTTTTAGTGTTTATATAATTTACAATATGCATGTATTTTTTTAAATGTTAGAAAGTACTAACCTCACTACCCTTTGGACCAGGAAAACCCATGACTCCAGGTGAACCTCTTGGCCCTGGTGGACCAGGGTTGCCAGATCGTCCAGATTCTCCAGAAGGACCCTTACATAGAAGATTGGACATTTTAAATGGAAAATATAATAGCAATAATATTTCTAAACAGGCAATTAAATGGTTCCAGGTTATTATGATTCCACAACACTGCTAATTTTTATAAAATAACAGAACATGCATTAATATATAAAACAGCAATCTACTTTTTTCTATAAACCTACTATTAATTAACAATATTTATCCATGTATGATTATTTGTATTTACTATGACTGAAAATGTTTTGTAACTGATGTTATACTGTTTGAAAACTTACTTGGGGTCCTGGTTTTCCATCAGATCCAGGACCACCTGGACTGCCAGTAGAACCCTTTAAATGTAGAAGAAGGCAATGGTTACCATCCAAAACAAGTAATGAAACAAAAGTGATAGTTCCATCCCCCACCATTTTAAATTAATGTCAACCACATTCTAAGCAAGATTACTATCAGAAATCTTACATAACAAACAAAATTATTCATAAATTGATTGATAAACATTCAAGCTTGAAATTTATTCTTGCTGAATAATTATATTTCTATGTGCACAGCTACATCATAACAGAAGAGATCTTCAACGATAATGTGCCTGCTATCAGTATTATACATAAAATCGTGATGTGTGTGTTCCTCCAAAACTAGTTTCGCTTTGTTACTAGGTGCTTGATATCCCTAATTTTAAGATGGCGTTCTACCAACTGCCACCCCTTATCGAATGAAAGTGTTTTTTTTCAATTGCTTCAGCACTCTCAATGAGCAAGGTGGAACCACTTAAATCATTTAATTCTCTAGCCAAAGAATTGAATTGCATAGTAAAAATGATGAACTAGTTTTAGTGGGGCATTCAAATGATAACAATGGTGATAGTTAAATCAGTTTAAAAACATTAACTTTTCTCCCCATCAAAAGCAAAAAGCTAAATTTAAATAATAAAATGTGTTATTCATACTTTTAAAACAACCCTTAACCTTCACCTAAGCATGGTCAGCAAAGTTTGAAATTGTTTCCATTTTGTTATAATTTTAGTTACACTTGAGTGTGTTTTGAAGATCCAGGTGGTAGGCAGCAAACAGCTAGGAAGTGAATGCGTTTACATCCAACTAACATTTACATTGACAGTCCATTTTGACCATGCAGATTTCCAATCAATGAAAAAAGTAACATTTTACAGATTCTAGTTAGATAGGTTCCTAAGCTTTTTCAGCCATAGGAGTAAAAGAAGTTATATCTGCATAAGTATAAACCACCATTCATGTTTATAGTATTTCCTTATATTTGACCTTTGTACGCCAAAATAAAAAAAAGGTATTTACGCATATATTTCATATATTATACAATTCAAAATGCTATGGTAATATATAATAGATGCTAATTATGATTATAAATACATAGAAGAGGGGACGGCGTGGCCGGCCACGGAGGGAGATGGCTGCTCATTGACGGAAAGCTCCGGGAGAAGCCGAGATCCGCAGCACAGCTGAGCGACAGGTGTCAGTGGGGAAACCCGCCACCCACACAGTAAGCCCTCGGAAGCAGGGGGGCACCCGGAGAACATAATGGGGAAGCGTAAAAATAAGGAGGGGCCCCGCAAATTGACGGATTTTTTCACTCCGGCAGGAGGCCTCTCTCCTCAAGATGGCGCAGTTCTCTGTCCCTCTCCGGGGATCCGGAGACATGTGTGAGAGGGGATGTCAGCCCCTCTCCACTGCACTCCTCTAGCCCAGCACAGACTACAGGCTCTGCACAGTCCTCCCCCCAACAGCAGTCCACAAAAACAAAAGCAACGCTGCTCCCCAGAGGCACAGCATGGGAATGATAGTCTGCAAAATGCATCCCTACATAATTCCACTACTGAGTTTGTGGAACATCTGGAGGATTATCCTTCAGAATCCTTGCCCCTTACGACTGCAGTAATGAAAGATATGTTAATTTCACTTAAAGGCTCCCTGCATAAAGATATGATGGGCTTTGTATCGCAAGTTAACAAGGATATTGAATGTATGGGCGAACGAGTACCTCACGTGGAAACTAAAAATGGGGGAACTCACCAAAGCCCATAACGAATTAGTGGACGCACATAATGACGTTGAAGATGACTTATCAGCACTAAAGGCGATATTGGTGGATCTAGAAGACCGATCCCGCAGAAATAATATTAAATTCAGGGGTATCGGCGAAAACATCTCTAATGCTGAACTACGCAAATACATTCATCAAATGATTTCTGCTCTGCTGCCTCATACTCCGAATAAAGAAGTAGTAGTAGACAGGGCCCACAGACTGCCAAAGCCCTCTTTTCTTCCAGCTCATGTCCCAAGAGATACGATAGCGAGAATCCACTTCTACCACGTTAAAGAGGAACTCATGCTATTCGCCCAAAAAAACAACCCGCTCCCAGACCCCTACACTGGGATCTCCCTGTTCAGTGACCTCTCTCAACATACCATACTAGCCTGCAAAAAGTTACTATCTTTTACGAAATTGCTGCGCAACAATGAAATCAAATAGCATAGGGGCTTCCCTACCAAACTACTTATCACTAAAGAGAACCGTGTGATAACGGTCAAATCTGAGGCGGAGGGGTTCCAACTAGCCAAAAAGTGGGACCTCCTACCGGTGGATGACATCCCAATTCCTACCAAAAGTTCTCCCAGCAAAATACCTCCTAAATGGGAACAAATAGCGGGATGAGATTCCTCGCTGTGCTTTCTCCTGTGCCTTATAATTCTTTGTTGCCTACCTGCTGTACACCTAGACATCCATTATTATGCTGCATCTCTCGGCTCTGAACCCCTACCCGTTGAAGTGATTAAGTTCACACAAAGTTTCTCGTTGACTGTTATTTTTGTTTTCTTCCACTTTTTTCTCTTCTTTTGTTAATTTCCACCTTTCAGAGCAACGGAAGTGGCCGAGTATGGAAATAAATACATAGAAGAAGGGACTTTTATATTTACCCTCATTCCTGGTGACCCCGGCAGTCCATCTCTACCAGATTCACCAGAATTTCCCCTTGGTCCAGTGCTGCCTGGGGCTCCACGTTCTCCAGCAGGTCCCTAATTAATACATGGATAGTTGTAATGGCTTAAAAACTATAACATCATTTCATAATTAATAGAATAGTGATTGAGAAGGATCTCTGCAAATACCTTTTCACCTGGAATTCCATTGCTACCTGGGGGACCCCGGAAACCTGGTGTACCCTAAAACGTCACAAAAGAATTGTAAATTGGACATCTATATAAAATGTTTACTCATTAATGAAATGCATTTCTGTTAGTATTTTTCAACTAATTAGTATTGTCCCCTATAAGGTGCATTTGTGTGTTTTTATGTGTATGATTGTCTTGTGCTGTAAAACAATGCTACACTATCTAAATTTATATTATTTAGTTCACATTTTCGAAATGAAATCATTTTGAGCAAAATGTTCAAACTATTTCTGTATTTCAGCAATGTACATTTACAGAGTCACAAATAAAAAGAATTTCAAAATATGTTCAAGATTTGTCACATAGTGGTTTGTATTTTTATGTCTACTAAAATGCTAAAATGTACACATATGTGCAGAGACATGTGTTTTATGCACCTGTCTCTGCATGGGCACATCACAACACTGGAATCATCTGTGTATTTATGCTGCACAGAAGAAAAACTCCCATGACATGAACATTGTGTGAACAGGATACATAGAAAACAAAGGTTTTCTTTGTGCCCTTTCAGAGAACTTATATTGCATCTGTGCAGAGAAAAAAAAACTTGCATGACAGCAGTGTTAGGGTGTCATGTACTTGACAAGAAAAACACACTTCTCTGCGTACAGTACAGTAAGTCAAATCTATGTGTTTTTCCATCAGTTTCTATGCACATATGATGTTAACAAAACCTTAGACTTGTAGTGCAGGTTACAGAATTTCTGCATGAAGCATTGGCAGGCCTACAACCCACCCAGCAATGTAGGTGAGCAATTCACATATGATTGCAAGTATTGTGAAAAAATGTAATGATGCTATCACATGTATCTATCACTGTGATAATATACATTTGACCTGACTTTACTTGACTTCAAAGTTAATAAGGGCTCATTCACACTTCACTAATTTCTAACTCTTACCAAATGCCCCTATAGCATTTGACAAGCAGGCGTTTGAGAAGCACTTTTAACGCTCTCCAAATGCTCCCTAAACTCCCCATGCGCATTTTTGAGGTGTTTTACAAATGCCTATAATGAAGTTTAATGGTATTAATGCTCCGCAAACACCTCGTAACCACCTTGCAAATGCCCCACAAACGCCTGCCAGGCTTGGCAGTCACCATAGACTTAAATGGGAGCCTTGAACTCCTCCTGACTGGACATCAGGTGTCAATTTTGCAGTGATGCAACCCTAACACTTCAGTGTGAACAGCACTGTGTGCTGCTATGTGTAGAATTTGCATAGGCATTTGGGGAGCGTTAAAAACACTTCTCAAATGCCTGTCTAGAGCCTGCTAACAAAGCTAGTATAAACTTAGCCTTAGGATATAGGCTCAAACAACTTTTAGGGGTTAGAGTCAAGCATTGGTTAGGCAGATGGATAAGGCTTATGTTAAAGGTTGGATTTAGAGGTTCAATTACAGTTAAGGATTAAAAAGTGACCAATATTTATTAAGGTGTGATTAATTATTTTTGATGAAGGTGAGCTCATATGCAGTACATTTTATTTGGGTCTCAAGCTAATGTTCTAATATTTCTGGCAATAAAACCTCACATGCCAAAAACAACCAAGCCAGTTTTTAAAAACTGGAAACTAGTGTTGTCTAAATCCAATAACAAACATATTAAATATTTCAATTTACAAGTCCTTAGATATTGTGGCAGCATTATTTTTCTTTTTTTTCTCATTCTCACATTGCACAGAGAGGAGGGGCTTTATATTTCATACAAGATAGCTCATTTCAGTTAAGTACACTTGGGTTTTTTTACTAAAGCTGGAGAATGCAAAATCAAGTGCACTTCTGCATGGAAACCCATCAAATTCCAGGTTTTATTGCCAAAGCCTGATTGAACAAGCTGAGGTTAGAAGCTGATTGGCTACCATGCACAGCTGCACCAGATTCTGAGTGAACCAGCTTTAGTAAATCTCCCCTACAGTATATTACAAGGATACTGGATATCAGGATCAATTGGTATACTTCTGTACTTGCAAAACATGTGCATAGTCAAGAAAAGAAAACAAATACACCACCACATCTTGGGAACTAGTAAAATTATTTACTAAAGGAAACTGAGCTGTTAAATTTGCAATTAAATGTGTCCTTACCTTAGTGAATGTGGTGAAAATGCATACTGCAAAAAATACCCAATCAGGTGCAAGAAGAAGGAAAAATATTATTTTTGCTTGCAAATGATTTGATGATGGAAGTCAGCAGAGCTTCACCTATCTTCACTACATAAGGGAAAATTAATTTGCAAAGTAAACAGACTATTAACCTTTAGTTAATGATCACCAATATATTATTTTTTGTTACTGGATTTATGTATACAATATGTTAAGTGTGCACAAGTGGTTTGGTGCCTGGGATCATTCTATAGTGTTAGCCTTTTAGGTTTAGGACCTGTGAATAATACTTTAATATTTATTTCAACTTATATTTGAAATCTATATATTGCATTTGTAAATATGATAAAATATGAAAGTACTCAAATGGTATGGTTTAACAATATAGTGAGCATTAAAATATCACATTTTTGGGATACAACTTACTCTTTCTCCTGGTGTCCCTGGTAGACCATTAGTACCTGGTTCACCATTACCCCCCTTTTTGCCTTCTTCTCCAGCAGGTCCCGGAGCACCAGCAGGTCCAGCTTCACCCTAAAACAAAATAGGATTAATTTAGGAAAATATATATATATATTCCCTTTTTTTCAGCCTAGGGGGAGGTTTGGTGTGGATGGCAATCCTCAGGCCCTTGATTCCAAGCCTTAATGCATTTATTTTACAACATAAGTTATTAAGAAATAGATAAAACTTGTTTAAGTATAAATTTATAACATTTGTTGATATGGATTATGACTGTTATCTATAGTTTTTACAAACCTAAGGAAGTGGGGATGGAGACCCACAAAACGAGTCATGATTCAACTAATTGATTTCCCCGATTTGACTCTGATTAAATCTGGAAGCCAAATTGTGTTAAAAGGAGGGGAATGTATAATGATTTCACTGTAAAACATATGTAAAGGATTTTTATATACTTATGTTATGCAATATATGGCTGTGAAACTAGTATTCTCAAATCAAAATCAGTTATGTTTTACTGATTTTACAATAAATGATTGGATTTTAACAGTGTAGCATATATAATGCATTATTTGGCACCCATTCCAATATCTGTAAGAAATTGATTTTGAGCTATTAGTGATTTCCATGCAATCCTGGCATCTGGCACGTCTAAGGATTGTGATATAGACTCATACTTACACGTTCTCCTCTTGGACCAGCCTCTCCTTTCCCACCATCTTTGCCACTTTCTCCCTAAAATAATAACAAGAAACAAAAATGTTGTTCTACAGTATAATCATTTCTCTATACAGTATATATATATATATATATATATATATATATATATATATATATATATATAGTCTTTGACAGTTGTCACCTAAACAGGTGTTCTCTTTGGAGTATTTCCCTTCATCTCCTGCTCTGTTGACAACTGTAAATCTTTGGATTTCCCATTACTTTTTGTCTCTGTGACAATGGCCACTCCAGTTTGTGGGTGGTCTCTTACCATCCTCACATATATGCAGGGTTATTGGCCCTGCATTGTACCTGATGACTTAATTGCGTGGCCATGACTTGGAGCATCTTATAGAAGAGGATTGAAGGGAGCGGTTCCAGAGAGAAGGAGTCTGCCACCAGATTTTTCCTGATCTCTTAGACCCAAGGAGCCTTTGACTCTTGTAGTGTGTGTGTTGGGGGGGGGGGGGGGGGGGGCACTGCAAGGGCATTTTTTTTAATTCCCAGAGTATAGTAAGTATGAGTGCTGAGAATTAGTATTCCTAATGCCAACTTTGAAATACTTAGGGAAATATTTTTAAAGCAATAAATCTCACATTCATCAATCATTCACTGCAGTTGACTTCTCCAGGAGCAGGTGCTTCAAATACAGTGACTAATTTACCACTGGTAAATATTAATTGAAGGATGCATTTACTGCTATAAAAAAATATGTTCTATAGTCAATTGGGCTTCATGTCCTGGGATATTCTAATAAACCTTCATAATATTATGAATGCATGAATGGATAGGGTTACTTTAACACCCCTTGGCCCATCCTATGAGCAGTTTTTGCAATATTTCCCACTAAAACCTTATCAGGCTTAGTAAATAATTGTACAATTCAAACTTTAGTAAGAAGATACCTTTCAGAAAAATCTGCATATCTTAAAATGTATTCCAAACCTTTTCTATAGAATGGCAATGTTACTGATAATGTAGAGTATTCACTATTAGCATTACTTACCCCAGGACCTCTTAAACCAGGTGCTCCATTAGTACCAGGGGGACCTGGAGGTCCACGAGCACCAGCCAAACCAGGAGCACCAGGAATACCAGCAGGACCCTTTAAAAATAAAGTCAATAAGTCAATCAATTACATCTTAACAGGTCTGTCAATTTATATTGTTCAGCCCCATAACAAAACTATTAAAGAATTGCCTTGCTCATTACATTTATTCTTAAGGGCCCATTCACACTACTGCATTGCAGTAATGCACACGGTGGCACACTGTGCATTAATTAGTGCGCCCCTGCGCCATTCATTTAAAATGGCATTACAATGTACTTCCAGAACACTGCAGTATGCTACAACATGTAATCAGCGCTGCTTTGAATTTGCAGCAAGACCTACATTTTTTGTTTTGAGATGCGTTACAGCCCATTAGTTTTGAACAGGCTGTCTAATGTGTCTCAATACACTTAAATATGGGCACTGTAGTGCATGGAGTTTAGGTGTGAATGGGCCCCACAGGTAACCATACTATTTAGACCTATGACATATGAGCTTACAATTAACACTATGCATACTATTTATTATGTAAATAATACATAAAGTTAGTGCCTTGAAACCTAGCAAGGTTAATTTTATAATGAGACTACAATGAAGCTGTTGTTCACTTCACTCATCCAATCCAAGGTGAATCCCTATTTTCCTAATTTCCTGACACATGATTAGAATATTGAAGATTACATATCTTCACTAAGTGGAGAGAACATTGCACTCCTTTAGCTTGTCAACTTTAATGTGTACAATGTACAAACACATTTCTTCTTATTTGACAAAGAGCGCTGATAAAGTTTAATCTTTTCTTTTTGTTGCTACTTTTGATAGTCTTAAATAGATAATATACATGATTTACAATTCTTTAAAAAATTTAATTAAAAAGGTAAGTAAAACATGTTACTAACAGCTTTTGAAATGTTGAAATGAATAACCTTACAGGTTTTAGTACAAATTAAAAAAAGAAAAGTAATGTAATATTTAAGAGATGCCCTTGTCTTAGTTATGCAGTCCATTGTATTATTTAGACTAATGGGGCAGAGAAGCAGTCACCCCTTTAAATGGCATTGCTTTTTAGTTAAGATATAATGACACTTACAATTTCACCTTTACCGCCAGCATTTCCATCTCTGCCAGGAGGACCCTAAAATATTATTGAATAAATACATTGTTATATATTTTTTTTTATAATACCAAACTAAATTACATGAAATATTTTCATTGAAATTTTTCTTACAGCAGAGCCTGTTAATCCAGCTGGGCCTTGGGGTCCTTGTTCACCTCTAGATCCTGCAGCACCATCAGAACCACGAGAACCAGGAGATCCAGCTTTGCCCTGCAAGATAACATAAAAGGGAGTTCTAGTTTCAAATCAGGATCATTTTGGGGCTATAATAGCCCTGACATATAAAGTGCATTAGACCACTTCTGTCTAAGAGACTAAACATTTTCATCCTTAGTGGTATATTACTGTAAATTTACTGCGGGTACTGCAATGTTGAAATGGATTAAGTGACCCATGTGTAGACAAAGACATGCTAGTGAGGATGCATTAAACTGGCTAACCTGCAACCCACAGAAGCTCACAACATCAGCCTATAAAGAAATAGACAAACCACCCCTTCTAGAGAAGGGAAAATTGATGGAATGACATTCTGCAAAACAGAGCTTTTACATTTTTCTTTTATCTTTTTTTTTTAATTTTAAAGTATGTAATCATGGTTGGGATTTTTTAACATTTCGCTTTTTCATAACATTCCAGAGATTTAAGAGAAGGTCCATAAAAAGTCACATGAACTTTCAGTTTAAATCAGCTAAATACATTCCAGGAGAATAAAAATAAAAGGTGAGGTGTGCTGTCATAAGTTTTTTCTTTAGAAAGAAGCCTCGGCCTGAGCAGAAAAGCCTGTCCTGTGCCAGCATGCTTTAGAGAAGGACCCTTGCTCTTTGTTTGAAAGAAGCACTCTCTCTGCAGAGGTCTGACATGCTCCTATGCTTAATCAAAGCTAGAGCTCTCCAGTCAGTAGGGATTATAAGATTTGCTGATTGCAAAAGTACAACTCAGGCAGGGGCGGACTGACAACTCATGGGGCCCCCGGGCAATAGGGGATCATGGGGCCCCTGTGTCCTTGCCCAAACTCAAAAAAGCCTATGAAAAAGGTACCAGGGGCATCTCATGGGGCCCCCTACTGACCCCGGACCATCGGGCAGTGCCCGAGTTTCCAAATGGTCAGTCCGCCCCTGGATTCAGGAAGGGTCACGTTGGACCTCTGCAGAAACACCACTACTTCCATACAGAAAGCAAGGCTCCCACTCTTCTGAATGTTAACAGGGAACATACTTTTCAGGCTGTGGCTGCTTTAAAACAAAAAAAACTATAAGTCTTTTCACACTTTTTGTTTTAAATCATTTACAAACTAAAAAGTTCATATGAGCTTTGAAAAAAAATCATCCTTTCATACTATAAAAAAAGTAAGTCGCTCCATAAAAATGAATCAGGTGGGGCAGCACAGTAGTTCAGAGAGTAGCACTCCTGTCTGCCTAGAATTAGGGTCCCTGGTTCAGATCCCTGTCACAATGCTATCTTCGTGGAATTTGCATGCACTCCCTTTACCCTAGGCACTCTAGATTCCTCCAACACTCCAAAAACATGATGGTAGGTTATTTCACCCTAATATGCATATGCATGTGAGATAGGTACCTCAGATTATAAATCCCTTGAGGGCAAGGACTGATGTGTATGTAAAATAATGATATGTTAACCACAGTGCCCAGGTCAATTTTCAGCGCTGTCACACTTTGAATGACAATTACGCGGTCATGCAACACTGTACCCATATGACATTTTTACCATTTTTTTCACACAAATAGAGATTTCTTTTGGTGATATGTAATCGCCACTGGGCATTTTATTTTTTGCACTATAAACAAAAAAAACAAAAATTTTGTAAAAAATGTTTTTCTTTGTTTCTATTATAAAAATTTTGCAAATGGGTAATTTTTCTCCTTCACTGATGTGCGTTGATGAGGCTGCACTGATAGGCAGCACTAATGGGCACTGATGTGCGTTGATGAGGCTGCATTGATAGGCAGCACTGATGGGCACTGATGAGGTGGCACGGATAGGCAGCACTGATGGGCACTGATAGGCTGCACTGATGAGGCTGCACTGGTGGACATTGAAGAGGAGGCACTGATGATGCTGCACTGATATGCAGCAATGATGGACACTGATAGGCAGAACTGATGGGCATTGATAGGCGGCACTAATGGGCGACACTGACTGGCGGCACTGACTGACAGCACTGACTGGTGACACTGCTGGGCGGGACTGCTGGACACCGATGGCAACTGCTGGGCAGCACTGGTGGGTGGCACTGCTGGGCACTGATCATCAGTGCAGATGTCCTCTGTGACATTTGCCGGTTATCGGCAGTACTGTCACAGAGTTAGTGCTGCCAATAACCAGCAACTGTATTTACTTGGTGATCTGCTGTGTCATTGGACACAGCTGATCACGTGATAAAAGGCCGCTGTGATTGGCCTTTTACCTCATCATGTGAACAGCTGTGTCCATAGGACACAGCGATCATGGACAGCACCGGATGCGCACCACTGGAGGCGCGTTCTGGGAGGGTGTCATATGACACCCTCCCAGAACTGAAAATCGCACTGTAGCCATCATTCGGCTATAGCGCAGTTGTGAAGTGGTTAAATAAATGGTAAGGAGCAGTAAAATGCTTGGTTCATTCATAAGATTTGGATTGCTGCATTTTTCCAATTAAAAAAAAATAAATAAAAACAACAATCCCTATGCTTAGATATTATTCTTTTTTTAATGAGTTGGTGAAATATTCTACCTACATGTTTACACCCATATTTAGGGTGTCACAAGTTCATCATCTGCCTGCTTTCCTTCCTGAACCTCCCTCTTTGTGACAGAGGAGGAGGGATCCTCTCCCTGCAACCACTGTCACAATTCAAAAAGAGCGGGGCTCTGCCCACCAGGTTGCGTGATTAATTCCCAGAGTTCTGTGAATTAATGAACTCAAGTGCCATTAAACTTTGCAAGCTGACAGCTTGTTGTTCTTACTTCATTGATCTGCCTGTCATTCAGTAACTGCCTGCCCGTTTGGGAGGTAGGGGTAGACAGCTCTACTGACAGTCTGCAGGAACCTAACTGCACCCATGATCTGCTGATCGTGGGTGCAATGCTTTTCATGCTCCAAAAAAAATAATAAATACATATTTTTTTAACCTCAAAAATAAGGTGAATTTATTAATTTTTTGTAAAAGTGAACTTTTCCTTTAACATACACTAAAAAAACAGAAATGACTATTCTATTCCATTTAAAAACGTAGCTGAAATGAAGTAAAATGATGCAGAACAGTTGAATACATTGTTAAAATGTTTTATTATAATGTTTTATTTGTCTATTTGTCTATTGGTTTATTATTGTGACCAGCCAACCTTGCCACACTACAGATTCAGGCAGGTGACCCATTTACCTCCTGATTCAGAAATGCAGCTTTTGAAGAAGCAGTAAGGCTGACCCATGAAGCATAGGTAGGGGAGTGAGCTTTAGGACTAACAGAATTTTGTGTATCACAAAAATGACTGGTCAAAACGACAAATTATATGGCAGGTAAAAAGTTAAATGTATATGTATTTGAACTCTGTATTTATAGGACACGGTGGTGATGTAAGGGTTGGCTGGAAGAACCAAAGCATTGCACTTTCACTGGGTTTTCCAGTCTTACCTCTGGCAGCTACTGACGGTTGCTTTGGGAATTCATAAATATTTGAATCAAGCCCTGTACCAAGCCCCTCCATGTGCACTTTACTCTAAATCGAGTTATGAATTGGGGCAGCTACCATTTTTATTTCACTTAATGCCATTTCAGGTTTGCTTTATGCACACAAAAGGCATTTGTAAAATAAACTGAGTACCTTAATATACAGCTCCCATAAACAAAAATTCACAGAAGCTTTATCTCAGAGTAAACCATCATCTCCAAGTATATATACACTCATCAATTCTAGGAAAGATAATCCTCGCTAAATGTTTTAGTGTCATCATGTTGTCTTCTTGTTTTCTTTAATCTAAATTCTGCTTTTCTACTTGCCCTTTAAATCATGTAAACAAAATTAAATGGCTTTTGTAGAAACAGCTAGGGCTCTGTCTTGTAGTGATTATTAAAAAACACAGTGGGGTTGGTTTGCTAAAGGAGCAGATCATGCTTACTTTCAAAGTGAATTTTCCCTTATCTTAGTAAATGAAGTGAAATAAAGAAAACAATTCACTTAGTAATGAATACCCATTCATTTTCAAAGGGGAAAAAAAGATTTTTGCTTGAACAGGATATGATGTGGAAGTCAATAAAACATCACTTTATTCACTAAGCTAAATTAATTTTCTATTTGCAAAATGGATTTTGACTTAGCTTAAATAATTAGGCAATGTTATGTTGACTATAATCTTCCAATCATACCCCACATGGAAGAAAAATATATTTTAAAAATATTCTGCATAAATATATTGACATATATTTGAAATACTACAATTTTGGCTATATTCAATATATTTCAAAATATATTTCAACAAATATATATATATATATATATATATATATATATATATATATATATATATATATACTGCATGTTAAAATGTGTTTCTATTACAAAATGTATGAAAATATTTTTAAAAATACATTTCAAATATACTGTATGTCTTTAAAAATACAAATCTCCATTTTTGGAATGCACTTACAAATATATGTACAAATATATGTTAAAATTACTCTTTTTATATGTTAACAATAATCTTAAAAAAATATATATTTTGTAAATGCATTCCAAAAATGTAGATTTGTATTTTTAAGGACATACAGTATATTTGAAATGTATTTTTAAAAATATTTTTCATATATTTTGTAATAAAAACGCATGCAGTATATATATATATATATATATATATATATATATATATATTATAAATATATTATATATATGGCCAAAATTGTAGCATTTCAAATATATGTCAATATACTTGGGCAGAATATGTTTAAAATATATTTCAAATATATTTTTCTTTCATATGGGATATGGAAGCCCAAATCTTATTTTTTAAAATTTTCCTCGCACATGATTGGATATTATTCTCACTTTGCTTCATATTGTTCGTTAAGTCTAGTGTAAAGTCACACTGAAGGTAAAAATGCTCTACTAATTTAGTAAGTCAATGTTAGTGCTTGATATCAGTGAAACTAAGGAAAAGATGATAGGTAACTGAGGGCACTATCTATCATCTTGTTTGTTATTTTACTGATATGCCTAGAAGGAAGGGTGTCCACTGAATCTTTATCTGAGGAATATATATACAAGAGGATATTCATGTTTGATATCACTCTCCATAATAAGCATGTAAGATACCATTTCTACAAAAAAAAAAAAACTTGTAAGCACATTTTGTGTTTCTGTTCAGCAGCTTTAAAACTACTGCCATCTTTAGATCAATATAATTTTGTATTATACCCATCTTCAAAATGACTGTATAGTTTGATCCTTTTATAGAAGCCATTTCTTTGTATTTGAAAATATACAATATAACCACTAGTCTAGATTTATTCTCTTGTCCTTTAGATGACTTTTATATCACAGTTACCTTGGGGCCTGGACCACCAGGGAACCCGGCATTACCAGGGGGGCCGGGAGAACCCTGTCAAGAAAAAAGGTTATGCTTTTAAATAATGCATTATTAAGCAGTAAAATGGCAATATAATAAATAATAAAGTAATGCAAACATAAAATAATGTAAAATCATCTTACAGGTTGACCAGAACTTCCAGGAGCTCCATCATTGCCACGGGCCCCCTGAAATACACAAAAATGTACTTGAAAATTAATATGACTTATTTGTCAATCTGAACTGCAGTTGCAATGCAAAAACAACATTCTTACATTGTTTCAATTAATATTACTTTTAAACTTTAAAAACTTTTTTTATTAGCTTTACCCGCCTGTACACTCAATTCTTAATACTCTCCTTGCCCCAGTGTATAAAAAGACAAATGTCTTTATTCACAATGTTTTTTTACAAAAATATTGCATACTAGTAATTACACAGTCTTCTATCCAGCCAGTCCCCTTTTCACATCTAGCTATTTCAGGTTTCAGTTTTGCTAAAAACACAATGTTTACAGAGCATGAATGAGTTACTGTATCAGCGCAATGACTATAATTGAATGGACCTCGGCATACATTTTGTTTGTGATTTCACATATATTTTACTGTACAAAATATGCATATGTGGCCTAATTGATAACACTACCCATATTACCTTTATATACCATATTGTGTTAGGACTAAACTGATATTCATTATGCAAAATTGCCCAGGCCAATGGGATTTATAGATTTGTAGAGGTTAACCCCTTCGCGCTGGTACCTCCCAGCCCTTTAAAGGGTTTCTGATGCAGGGAGGCGGGGGCGCGAGGTTTAGGGTCATGTGACTGTCATGATTGGCTGTTACAGCGGTCACATGATCGTAAAGATTCGAATCACAAGGAGAGATCAGGACCTTTCCGTGGGACACCAACATGTGCTGGGAGTGCGCAGGGCATGCGCTCTCAGCACATGTTTGTCTACAAATGGTACGCAAATATGCAGCCTCTTGACGTCAAGGCCCAGCCACCGAGAGGCTGCATATTTGCGTATGCTTGGCGTGAAGAGGTTAAGATTGTAATATGTACAGCATGAGAATTTTTCTTAATTTTTATTTTTCTTAATAAGTCTTTACTGAGCTTATCTGCTTGGATAGCACAACAAATAATAGGTTTATTCATTTTAGTATTCTATAAATGTAAATCACTTCAGTAAACCGTGTGTCAGGTATAACTTGCAGTGCCACTCTAAGCTGAGATAAAGATCTGCCCTCTGGTTTTAGTGAAGGGAGCAGGTTCCTATGCATCATTCAGGGATGTAGAAGCATCATCAGAGAAAACAAGGAACACCCCAGCCCCAGTGTGCGGGGCGAAACGTGTAGGGGGCATGGCTGGAGCGACACTGGCTGAGGCCACACTCATCAACATATTCATGCACTGGGTTGGTGAGTGGTGCTCCTTCTTTTCTTTGATGATAACATGTGTGTCAGGCAGAAACTCCTGCAGGAGAATGGATAAAGCACCTGACGATGTCTAAGAAAGCTGTGAACAATGATATCACCTATAGACTCCCATGGTGCAGGCATGGTCAGCTATATATAAGTATATACATCTATTTTACACAGATTAGTCAGTATAGGTGTTAGAAGGGAGGGAATATTTTTAAGACTAGTTAGGCAATAGCTGGAATTCTACTTGAATGTTTTATTTTAGGAATGTTGCTTTTTCTTCATGAATTATCAGTAGGAGTGTTTATGTTGTATTTGCTATGTATGGTGCTTTATTTTTTTTAATCTCTAGCAAAGGCCAAACTACCAGTGTAGGGTTATTTGGAATCAGACATGTAACTGTGTATGATATAAATTACAAACTTATGCAGGCCATAGATGGGTCGTTAATCGTCCGATTTTTCGGCCGAAAGAAAAATCGCCCGATTTTCGTACCGTTAGTGGATTAGTTCATCGGCCGTTTTTCGTGTATTTTGCACTTTCAGATTATCGGTTATGTTGGGAAATTTGCTGCGATCGGCCGATTTTCCCAGCAATGATGGCCAAATCGGACGATCGTTTTAACGATAAAAAATCTGCGCATGAGCTGTGACCTGCAAGGGACAGAGGTTATGGGGTGAACTTTATGATTTAGTCGGACGATTTTTTTAATCGTTGGTGGTAACGTCGGCCGAACGAACAACCGATTTTTTGTTTATTGTTCGAAAAATCAGCCGATGTTCGACCCATCTATGGCCTGCATAAGACAAATAAAAGAAACAATTAAAATGTATATTTTTGAAAATTTTCCATTTAAGATTCAATTCTCCACTGTCTTTACTGCTGACTGAAATCCTGACTTGTAAAATTCTTCCACCCATACCCTGCTCATACCTATGATTTCAGTGACCCAAATGAGTCCTTTTTTTTAAGTTGCATTTTATTTAATAATTACAAGGTGATTTTTCGTGGGAGGCCAGTAGTAAAGAATTCTTGAAAATTGTTTCTAGCTAAATAGTTTTTAAATGACCTACGTGAATGCCCTATACAGAGACTGCAATTCCCTGCAACAATATTATTTCCTTCCTTTAAGTGCACCCATCAGATACATTAAGATACAATTAATTTTAGACCATTTAAATTAATGGAAATATTAATGGAAGAGGTAAAAAAACACATAGAAGTGTGAGTGTTTTCCTGTGAAATGTAATTCCTATTTTTATTGGCAGAGGCAGAGCTTATCTAGTAGTAAATATAGGAGGCTACAGTTGATTCTGAATATAATGTATAGGAGAATTTAGGTTCCACTTTATATGGTTCACTGGCAAATCACTGGGTACAATACAATTAAATAGTGTTTACAAACAATGATATATGTTGGATTGGTACTAATACATTTGCAACTGTTGGGAATAAAAGATTGAAACCTGTCTTGTATTGATATTCTAGGAAAATATGTTAGGGATTTCTGGATATATTATCCTGGAAAAAAAAGTGCAGAACAAATGCAAATGTATTTTTGCTTAGTGTATTTAAGGTAAAACTCTGAGTTTGATGGGCAAGATCCTCCTAAATATAAATGTTATCTTTGGACCTCTTGGAAAGATTTCTCTTTTTCTGTTCTGGTGACCCTTTTCAGGAGAACAGGGAGTGACACAAAATTGCCTTAATGAACAAAACACAGACAGAGATACAGACCTGATTTAGCATCTAACTTTTACTACATAATGTATTTTAACCTCCCTAGTGGTCTGATTATGTCCATATTTCTGTGCTCAAGCGGTACATCTTTTTGCATGGAAATATGTATTTTTTTTATTGTAGGCCTGTAATTTTTAGGAATAACTCACTGAAATGTGTCCGAACAAGAGTCTAGTAAACATCATGGGTATGATAAAACTTGAAACACGAAATCCTAAATTATAATTTAATAAATAATCATAAAAAAAATAATAATATAATAATAATAAATTTAATTCAATAATATAATCAAACCAAAAACACTGAAATTTGAAATAGAGCGCCAAGTTCGCACATCACTGAGCAAAATCGCAAAATCGTTTTCAGTGTCTGATGACAAATTTCCCCACAAATCATTATCACTCAATTCTGGAAGTGGTTCTGATTTACTATCGCTGTTCTCTAGCTGGTCTAAAACCGATTTTGACCTAAAGGGACGCTTTTTGGACACCATGGACATTTCTCAGTTTCCAGGCAGAAAGAACAGTAAAAATGTAGGCAGGGCACAGGACAAAGTACTAGGGACAAAATGTATGTGAAATGGTTTGATACAGTAATGTTATACTATGTGATTTTAGTGTATTTAGTGAATGTCACTGTTTGTCATTTTCAAATTTCCCGCCAGTTCCGTCCCCCGTACGTCCCGACGTCGCAGGGGACGGAACCCAGATGACAGATGCCGGCATCTGCCGGATTACATTGCCGGTGACACTGCAGGAGGGACATCGTGGGAGTGCAGGACAAGGTAAGTGAACAGATGCCGGAGCAGCGCCGCATGGTAAGCCCGAGTGTAGCTCGGGGTTACCGCTTTTGGTACTGAAACTTTACCCCGAGCTACACTCGGGAATACCGCCAAGGAGGCTATGGCCTCATGCACACTGGACATTTTGCTAATCTCTCCTAGATGTCTTTCGTCCTGGCAGCAGTATTTTGGCAGAAAAAACACTTGTAAACGTGTGTAACACATATAGGCACATCAAGCACTTGGGAATTAATTAATTTCAGTGGCCAAAATAATAATTTATTCTGCCCATTGAAATGAAATAATGCTCAAGCGCTTGAGTCCTAAAACGCCACACACACCTAACAGCCACCTTAAAAACATTCAGTGCACATGAGGCCTAATGCTGTTTGTGTCCCCCCTTTAAATGAGTTCTTGACATATGTTACTGGTGCTTAGGACAGTATGTAAGGGGTAATTATTCCTCTGGATACAGAATAAGCAATAAGAGCCTAATACAAGTTCTAACATTTCCGTACTCTATGCAAAAATGACCTTTAGTTTAATTTAAAACACCTACTAGCACTACTTTCTAAATTACTTCAAAATTTCACTATGACTCATAAATAGAAGGAAAAGGCATGCTCACTCCTTGTATTAAGATGGCCACACTCCTTAAAAATACATTGGCATTATTTCAAATTAACAACCTAATTAAGTTTACTTATGTTTGAACTTTATTTCAAGCAAAGGTAACATACAGCTGTTCCAGGAGATCCGGGACGACCCCTTTCACCAGGTTGACCTCTTGGACCCTAAAAAGAAACGGAACATTATTTAAGTGTATGATGGTAACAATATTCTTGTTTCATTTCTCTGTTTGTAAAGACACACAAGCACGCAAAAATAATGTTATTGGCATTATATTAATAATATTATATTATGAAATATATATTCTATTATAAAATAACTAACTAATATTTTGATATATTTATTCATATTAAATGTGATTGAATATTAATATCAAATGTGTGGTGTAATGTTTTTGTCTTTAGTCAATTTGTAAATTAATTGGTGTGTATTCTCTACTCTGTATGTATGTAACAAAAACAAAATTATGAACGATGTCAAGGCTAAATTGCTACTAAACTTGAGATGTGATATACAGTATTATTATTACACAGTATTTATATAGCGCCAACAGTTTGCTCAGCGCTGTACATTACAATGGGAGACAATACATGAGACAGTACAGTAACAATACAATAAAATACACGAGGGGTTTGAGGGCCCTGCTCCTTGGAGCTTACAATCTAGGAGGGAGGGGAGAGTGGTACAGGAGGAAATAGCTGTGGGGGATGGAGTGGTGGAGGGAGCGGAGGAGATCAGCAGTTAGGTGAGGGCGGGTAGGCTTCTCTGAAGAGATGGGTTTTCAGGGTGCGACTAAAGGTGAGGAGGGTAGGTGACAGTCTGATGGATTGGGGTAGTGAGTTCCAGAGGATGGGGGAAGCCCTGGAGAAGTCCTTGAGGCGGGCATGGGGGGTATTTATTTAATACAAAAATCAAAATGACTTACTGCACTGCCAGGTAACCCATTGTCTCCAGGACCACCAGATTCTCCCTAAAAGAAAAAAAAAACATTCAATGACAGTCAAATACTATTTTTATGATTTGGTTTCCTTTTTTATTTATTCACCTTATAGAATGAGAACTTTGTCCTGTAGGCATTTGGAAACCTTGCAGTTTTATTGCATGAAATAATATGAATGTATGTTTTAATAAAATTGTGGTGCCTACAATACACATCGTAGCAAGTCATATTGTGTGTTGCATTGGAACCAGCCTTAAAATACACATCTGCGATGGTAAAAAAAACTTTAGAAAAAATATCCTTGAACTCTCTAGCTTCTTATACTGTTAGGTAGTAAGGAATGAGATTCAGGTTTGCCACTGCAATGAGTTTGAAATGTTTGGTCCAGGCACATTTTTGTGCAGGTTCACCAAGGAGAATTTTTTAAAAACCATAATGCACTGTATAGACTTTGAACTATAGCTAGCAAGCTTGGAAGGGCCAATGAAAAAGACAGGCCCCTCACTATAAAAAAGGGGACACAGATCAGTCATCATTGTCAAGGTACTGGAAACTGCTGTAGGGAAAGGAAACAGGGAGATATTAGGGCCAGTTTTGCTTTAAATAACTGTATTTTGAAGTTGATTTTAGGTCAGCAGTTACTGTTAGCTGTTGTCCCATCCATAGTAAACTTTCTTCTTTGCTGCAAGGCTTCCCTTTTGCGTTTTCCAGTTATTTTAGGGCTACATTGTACATTACTTTCTGTTGATATGGCCTTTATTTTAGTTTGACCTTTATTTTTTTCAGCACACCTTTGCTTTAACATGAGGGGCAATCAAAGGGTTAACTGTGTGATGGGGGTGTTTTACTAGGGGGAGGGGGGTGTGCCTGTAAGCACACTGCTCTGGATGGCTCTGCTCAGCCATCCAGAGCAGTGTGCCCAAATTGACAGGGAGGAGGGCTGTTGGTAAACAATGCAGCCCTCCTCCCTGTCGGTGATTTCCAGTAATCACTGAGCGCCGGTGGGTAATCACTGGCCGGGACCTGGTGATTGACACTCGGGGTCGCGATTAGCAGCGCAGGTAGGGCACGAGTGTGGCTCGTGCACACCCCCTACCCAGAAATGCAGAATCACGTATATATATGTGATCTTGCACACAGGGGTATATTGGTTGGCAGTATTTTGGTTTCTATTGTATGCCTGACTCAACCTTTTTAAGTAAAGCCTTTGCAGGAGTGGTATTTAAAGGTTTTCTCTTTTTTTAAGTTACATTGAAATAGCCTTTTTAAGTTTGGGGTGCTCAAACGGCATGATTCACTTATTACTTGTAAGCATGTGCTGACAGGGTGCCTGTGAATTTTTTAGCCCTGTCTGCACTGAATTATTTATGCAGACAGTGAGTTTACAGGCTGCCCAAGATGGGAAAGGGTCAACTGGATCTCTTGCTTTGGTGCACTTTTGTTGGGCTCTGCCCCTTCCCTGTACATATAAATTCAGGAGGGAGACTCTGCCTACGGGATTTCCGACCCCGTGGGAAGGCTGCAATCTACGATGTAATCCAATTCTCCAGCAATCACTCGCCTGAAAGGGCCCTTCTCATCTCTCCTTCAGATACCTTCAAGTCCAGCTGTCATCACTAAAGATTGTCTGCCTGAGGATATGCGTCAACATTTCTGGGACTGCTGAGACCTATAGTCCTCCCTGCAGAACACCAGCTCTGGAGATCTGCCACTGTGGACTCTGCTGTTTATAGACTCTTGTCTGTGCAGGTATCCTGGGGTAGCCACAAGCCTGAGTTAGGAACTTTATGTTGACTTTTATCTTGTGAATCTCATCATGCTGCAAGTAAAATGTTTAAAGCTTTTTCATGCCTGTTCTGAAGTTACTGAAAAGGGTGCATGGTGGTAATGGTGTATAGAAGAACATGGCTGCAATGCACACACATGGGCAAAGTGGTACCATGCTGTTGCTAGGGGCAACAAGCACAAGAGGAGGCTGATATGACAGCCAGACAGCAGGAAAGTGGTTCCAGCAGGGGTAAAAGGTCTCATGTGTAGTTAAGGGAGTGGTTCAAAGCCTACCTACCGAACGGTTGGTGCCCCAGTAACTGGGACCAGATCCGTGTGCTGGAAACTCTAGGTGTATGGTATGGAAGAGTTAATGAAGCACATACATGGTTTCCGCGCTGGTTTCTTGTTGGACCTGCTCTGTCAATTGGAGATACAGTAGGTGGCAGAGTCAAGCTGGACTGGTGGAATGGGACCCTGAAATGTAAAGCCTCCTTCACAATGTCCCATCCTGAACAGGTGTATGTATTGTGTGACCAGAAGGCACCTGTATGACAACTTCAGGTTATGATAGATAGACACCGGGGTGTACAGCTCACTTCAAAGTAAGGGTGCCACCATAATGTGAAGTCACATGAACGCAGCCTGCCTGGTCCCAAGTGTTAGGGAGCGCGTGCACTGGAAAGTCCAGAGGAAGGAGAAAAGTGAGAGAGAACAAAAAGACCTCATATGCACCGGGCAAGTCAGCCCACCCAAATATTGACCATCTGTTTTTAGAGCTGCCTTTGTTTGCAGTATGCTACCATATTATTTAAGGGGAATAAACTCTGTACACCTAAACCTCCACACATTATTATCATTCACATTCACTGCCCCCATCCACATAGATCAAAAAAAAAGTTTGGTATACACATTTTAGGCCTAATATCCCTGATTAAAAAGAAAAAAAAACCTCTGCTATTCAAGTGTCCAGCTGTTTTTAAACATGTTTTCTAACTGCTATGTCTTCTTCAGTCTGCTATGAAGGAGAGTTTGATAGAAATTGCCTAGTAGCAGTAGAGTTTGTCATCAATGAGATCAGGGAGAACCTAAGTGAATGATTGGATGATTTCAATTTGATGTTCAAAGCAGGCCTATTATCGCTTAATGAAACAGCATGTGTCATTGCTAAATCTACCTAAAAAGCCAATAGGGGTACTGCTGTTTTTTTTTTATGTAAGCCAAACTAATTGTAAAACAAACAGACAAATTTCACAGCAATGCTGCTGCAGCAGTGCCTATGGCATGCTTTTATTTCTATATGTAAGATAGTTATACACATTTTCTTTTAGTGGCTGTGGAAATAAATGGTGAATGGAATGTGGGAACATCAGAATAAAGCCTTGTTCAGGAACACTACTGTTACTATCAGTCTCAGTTTTGCTATAGTCTGTATATTCCTTATGAACTACTTTACATACTGTGCATTACATTAAGTACATATTAAACATTTATTTACCCTAAGTCCAGGAGCACCGGTATCTCCCTTTGCACCATCCCTTCCATCAATGCCCTGTAGAATGGAAGAAAGTTAATGCAACCCGTGATGTATTAGTCCAGTCTACTAAAACTACAGCATTTAGACAGAAGTTTAACTAAAGGACTTTATGTATAAATATATTTGCATGATGTGATTAGTGTGCACACTTACTCTGTGGCCTTTCATACCAGGAAAACCAGACATGCCAGGTGGTCCTCTGTTGCCCTGTAAACAATAAAAAAAGAAAAGAAAGCTTTAGTTCTCCTACCTGCACATTATACTTGTGCTGGGTTCTGTTTCTGCTATAGAATGACTACAACCTAGAAAAGCATAATCACTTACAGGGGCTCCAGCCACTCCACGTTCTCCAGGTCTGCCGGATCTGCCTGACTCACCCTAAAAAAAATAAAACATGCCTTTATTTACTTCTAAAATGATATATTGTGTGTTATATGAAGTTAATCTAGTACAGATAGCATTTATATTCATTGATGCTAACAATGATTAAAAAACAAGTAAAACGTACAGCATGTGTAGAGGTTATTTTAGGACTTAATGTGAATGACTGCTAAAAGTGCTATCCAAGGGGCTATGTAAAGGCTGCACGTACCTTCTTGGACACTATCCCCTTTCTTTCTTCCCACAGAGATGCCAAATATAGAAAGTGTATAATCTTGTGCACACAAGTGCTAAAAAGGTACTTTGCAGGCATTTGCATCACTGGCTAAGCATACCTGCCCACAAGGTGAATATCTTACTTGGCCACGTATGACTCCACACTGACAAGGACATTGAAGACAGAGCTGCCAATATGGTTTTATGGAGCTTAAAACAATATTCAACTAACCCTTTCAGTGGATATGTATGTGCGTGTCTTCCTGGGAAGACATGATGGCTAAGTGTGGCATGTACGCATGAGTTCTCCAGTTTCTTTCCACAGTCTAAACACATACTGGTAGGTGAAATGGTGTCTCCAATATCTAAAACAGCCCACAGATTATGCAATTTATTTTCTTTCCACCACAGGTAGAAGAAAAAGAAAATTGTTTGATTCCTCCTTTAGCACAGTCAGTGTTGGTGGGGGAATCCCTCCTGCAGCGCTGTTGTGTTCTGCCGGTGGGAAGCCTTCATTGCCATCAGCAAGTGTACAATCCAAACGCACACGTTCCTGTGTTAAAAATGGCTGTGTGTATAAGTGGGTGCTGCAGCGACCGTTGGCTGGAACTGAACAGAATCAGCAAGGCAGAATGTCACCAGCACACCAAGGATCACCAATATTGGTCCAAAAGTTTTAATGAACAATCACATAGTTACAGCAAGAAAATGTTTTGGAGTTTCACAGGACCCCTTCATCAGTCCTGATCACATGCCTGATGAAGGGGTACTGTGAGACTCCGAAACGTTGCCTTGCTGTAACTATGTGATCGTTTATTAAAACTTTTGGACCCATATTAGTGATCCTCGGTGTGCTGGTGACATTTCCCCTTGCTGTTTTTGTTTAGTTCCAGCTGATGGTCGCTGCAGCAACGTTCATTTAAAACTTTTGGACCCATATTGATGATCCTCGTGATGTTGACATTCTCCCTTGCTTCATTGCCGGCAGAACACAATGATCACTGCTGGCAGCTATAGCTGCTGGAAGTGATTGCATGAAAAAAAAAACAGGACAGGTTAGTTGTAATGAAATCGAACAACGGATTGATTTCAGTACAACCAACTTGCCCATAGATGGATCAAATCTTGTCCGGTCCTTGCTGAACAGGCCAAGATTTGATCCACCTATGGTTGGCTTTGATCCATCTATGGCTGGCTTTAGGCTAAAACTAGATACTGTTACTACCTCATGTGTGTGGCTGGGGTGGGAATTTTGGATTACAAGCTCCTTTTGGGGCAAAGCCACATTTTCTGTAAAGCACTGTGGAATATATTGGAGCTATATACATATCTTCAAGCCAATGTGGTGAGAGCAGAGTGACTAAATGTCATTGCAATGATGCAGTGGGACGTTTGCTGGTATTAACTGCGAAAGTGGCATTTTCATACTGTGAAAAGTGGCACGAAAAAACACATTATACCTTCTCCAAAACAACAGTCCTCCCCCCATACATTTGTATAACATGTTCTAAGAAGTTGAACACAACAGTGCCCTATGAGCCTGAGCTTCTCAGCCAATGGTAAGTAATCCTCAAAAGTAAATGATTTTTAGTAAATAATGAAAGATCTATAAAACAAATGCAGTAAGCATTTTTGGATATTTAAAAACAATTAGGATTTTTTGTAGGTAGCTGATAGTGGTAAAAAGTGTATATATTTAGAGCAGCCTTATAATTATAAAACAGAAAGCAATCTTTTTGTTTGTAAATATTGAGCACATTGATTTTTTTTTTTTAAAGGAAAGAGTCTGCTGGAATACATACAGTACCTTTTCAGTTTAAAATAAAACAGGCAAATCATAAATAAATAGTTAGATCACATAAAATCAACTCAAAAATCAAAAGATAATAAATGCTAAACTTTTTCATATATTATTAGAGATGTTCTGATGATTTATTAAAACTGCTGCATCGTTCTGTAATGTTCGAGCGTTCCATTTGAACTAAAGCATGTACCAAAAAATAAAACACATCTTGAAGAAAATCCCTGGTAAAACTGATGTGAAAGTCAACACTGCCATCTGCTGGGCTTTTGGTTTAATGACAGTTACTCAAAAATGGCTTTTGTAGATCCATTCTCTTCTTTCAAAAAGATATCTTTGAAGATATAACTACATATACATGTATACATGTGTTTTTTTTTTTAAAATACATGCTGCAAGTTGTCATTTTTTTGTGAATTAAGGATTTAAGGGTAGTTACGGATGCACATAGTTTATATTTATTACTACTAAAAGAAACCAACAATGAGAAAATATGCATAGTGCTGACTGTCTTCTGAAAATCCTAATTGCCTGGTTGTCATACATTCTCTGGCTTCAGTTCTCACTAAGCCACCAATCCAAAACAAGTATGCAAACGACAAGTTCTCATTTCATTTGCTGCAAAAACTAGCTCTGAGTCATTGACTCAATATGCACTGAATCAGCATTACAGCCAAGCAACTAGGATCTTCATGGTAGGTCAGAAATGGCAATCTCCGGTATTCAAGCATTTGGGGGCACCTTATTTTCACGACATGTTAAAAATCAAATACTTTATTCTGGCTTGTATCTAGGGAAACAATAGCAGGAAGAGTTGTCCTTTCGATGGGGGGTAAGCTGCTAAATTCTGGTACAGCATCCTGTGAACTGATTATTGTACAAAGTGGGACTGTGAGAGATTTCTGGCTTGTTGCAGATTGAAATATATAACTGTGTATCTCAACGCCATGCTTAGATGCCCGAGCAGGCTCCCCTAAAAGGACAAACAAAAGTGCACCAACCTAGTGCACTACTTAAAACACCATTTATTAGGGATTAAAATAAGTGACTATACTCATAAACAACATAAGCAAAAAGACTCTTTACACATGACTGAATAAAGAACAACCAGATCCACTATGCATGCCTTTTAATATGTTGGGAAGATGCCATGGGAGCTGCAGACACTGACAAGTTCCCTCTTATTCAAAGCTTGCTTATTTTAATTTCTATTAACCACTTGCCCTCCAGAGGATTTACCCCCCTTCCTGACAAGGGCATTTTTTGCAATACGGCACTGCGTTACTTGACTGACAATTACACGGTCATGCAACGCTGCACCTAAATGAAATTTATGTCCTTTTTCCACAAATTGAGCTTTCTTTTGGTGGTATTTGATCGCCTCTGCATTTTTTATTTTTTGCACTATAATATAAAAAAAGACCGCCAATATTGAGAAAAAAACAATGTTTTTGACTTTTTGCTAATAAACATGTCCAGTAAAAAAATGTTAAAAATCAAATATGGGCATAAATTTAGGCCAAAATGTATTCTGCTACATGTCTTTGCTAAAAAAAAATATCCAAATACGTGTAAATTAATTGGTTTACGTGAAAATTATAGCATCTACAAATGGCAGTATACAGTATATACTGTACTGGGTTTTTTTTTATATTAGTAATGGCAGTGACTTATAGTGGGGCTGTGGGACTGTGGGACTGCGGCAGGCATTCTGACACTGGGAGGGAACTGACTAACTGTCACTGACATTCTCAGTGACACCAATACAGTGATCAGTGCTAATAAAAAGCACTGACACTCTACTAATGGCACTGGGCAGGAAGGGGTTAACATGTGAGGTGATCAAAGGGTTAACTGTGTACTGTTTTACTGTGTGCGTGCTTTACACTGTAAGCACACTGCTAAGCAGAGCCATACAAAGCAGTGTGTAGGAGCTGACAGGGAGAGATCTGTATTGTTTACATACAGGTCTCTCACCCATCCGTGATACATGGTGATTGCCGGGTGCCGGCAGGGAATTACCGGCCGGGACCTGGTGATCGACAGGTGAGGTCACCAATAGTGGTGCGGGTAGGGCGTGTGTGCGGCTCGTGCATGCCCCCCTACCCAGAAATGCAAAATAACGTATATATACACGTGATTTTTTTGCGCACCAGTGCCTCCCTGTAGCAGTATTTCTGCTATAGGGTGGTGGGAAAGCGGTTAAATGGTGTTTTAAGTTAATGCACTAGGCCAGTGCGCTCTCTGCTTGTTCTTTTATACTTAGTGTCTATGGAACACCCCTGTCTGAGAAGGGCAGCAAGACGTGCTAAATGTTTGTAATCTGAAGCTGTCTGGATGGAATCAGGATACTTGAAACTAAGAGTGTCCATCTGTGAGAAGACTAATAGAGTGCAGGAGATTGTATATTGTTCCCCTAAATCCTTTTCCTGATAATTCCTTGGCTTCTTGGACACACTCAGGAAATATAAACTTCCCGTTTTGTGCAGTCATCTACCTGATAAAACAGAGGTGTGATCTCCAGTCAGGTGTAGGGTGCCTCACTGTTAGTCTTGGTGTACTGGCAGCTGGGCATGCATCTTCCATGGAAGACTCAGTCACTGGGCAGAACATTCTCCAACTGCTAAAGTGTGCCTAAAGTGGGGTGGCCCTGTGTCTCCAGCCATTCACTTGTGTTACCAGACCTAGCCTGGACTTTGCTATGAGGGATACTGTCTGTGAGGTTAAGTGCAAGCAGCTGTTTGAGAACTGCGCTGTTTGCTGAAGTAGTGATTCCTCTCTGGTCACTGTTATTATAGTGCCTTAGGACTCATTTACATGGCCGCAGGGGACCTTACACCATCTATAGGCTTTATGTGAACAATTGTGCACCATACTGTGCCTGAGTACAGATGTGTGAATACATTCACAGGCAGCAGCCTGTACAAATCAATGTTGGGCTGCAGCTGTACAATGGTAACTGCACATGCAGGCATTGAAATGCAGACATGGATGAACAACCCTGGATACAAACTGTTTGCATCCAAGGGAACATTTACAGTACATCCCCGTAGCATTTAAACACTTGGATCTGGCGTTACACATGTACAGCCGCAGCCGGTATTTGATTTGTACAGACCAAAGTACACAAATGCCTGTCACTCCTAGGCTCCGAAATATGCTTGTCTTATTGTATACAGTTCTCTGCGCCCATGACTGAGCCACCTTGACATTGAAGAATTCCTGCTTGCACAGCTTCAATATCTGTTTATCATTATACTGTACTGTACGTATATTGTTTGCCATTCTGACTTCATGTCGCAATACCTTCTGCCTGATTATTCAGTCAGTAACGTATCCAGTAACAAACAGATAGAGTGCACTGGAGGAAGCTTCTCCTGCTGTTACTCTTCTTCATATACAAACCAGAGAAATGATTAGAGAAGAGCAATAATATGGACAATCACTATGTAAATACTGAACTAGTTGGCCCACATAAGCCAGAACTTGAGCAAGCAAAATTTAAAATGTTCAGGTCTCCTTCTTATAATATATAATCAAATTTTGCTCCCATGTGAGGTTGAAACAATAAAATATTCTAACATTAATGTTTAATTTCATAAAAATAACAAAGATAAAGACCTGCTGCTGTAAGAGATGGAGAATATACTTACATCTTTTCCTGGTTGACCGGGAGGCCCTGTAAGTCCAGCTGGACCTGAAGGTCCCTACAATTACAGAAATACATCAGAGTGAATACAAAACAGGCATAAATCCAAATGTAAACACCAATCCCAGTTCTCTGGCTACGATGCCAGTGTGCAAAATTAATAAAATATTCCTGACTGCCTGGTCCATTTTTCATCCAGATATTGCTGGTCCACACCACTCCCTTAATCAGAAATCTGGTGATATGTGAACCTGTGATCCAAATAAAGGTGAACTGCTCTTAAATACTGTATACCCAGTGCAGGCTCCTTAATGCAGCCTTCTCAACCTTTTAACCCCAGAGGAACCCTTGAAATACATTTCAGGTGTCAGGGAACAGGGAGTCAACTGAAAAGATCACTTGTGTCATGCTACTTGTTCTGTCAAATAGTTTCGGACCTGGAACTATGAAGGAATCATCAAGAAGGTCAATTAGCGACAGCTCAAGAAAACCCTAGCAACCTCTAGAGGAACCCTAAGTTTCCATGGAAACCTGGCTGAAAATGGCTGCCTAGTGCCTTTTCTATACAAAACGCCATATGTACAAATGTCACAGGATTCTCAGATTCAAAGCCAAAGGGGTTGATTTACTAAAACTGGAGAGTGCAAAATTGGGTGCAGCTATGCATGGTAGCCATTCAGCTTCTATGCAGAGCTGCTCCAGATTATGCACTCTCCAGTTTTAGTAAATAAACCCCAAAGTGTGATTGTGTTTGGTGATACTGGAGGAGTAGTGAGGAATTTACACAGCAGTCATTGCAAACATACAAATGTTATTATTTGGTCCTGAACCATTTTAACCATTTGCCTACATGGCACTTTTCTCCACTTCCTGCCCAGGCCAATTTTTAGCTTTCAGCGCAGTTGCACTTTGAATGACAATTGTGTGGTCAATTTTATAATTTTTTTATTATTTTTTGAGACAAATAAAGCTTTCTTGTTGGTATTTAATCACCACTGGGGTTTTTATTTTTTGCTAAACAAACAAAAAAAGACCAAAACATTTGAAAAAAAAAATGTATCTTAGTTTTTGTTTCAAAGTTCTGTAAATAAGTGATGTTTCTCCTTCACTGATGTGCGCTGATGAGGCTGCACTGATGGGCACTGGTAGGCTACACTGATGGGCAATGATAGGCTGAAACTGATGAGGCGGAACTGACGAGGAGGCACTGATGAGGCTATACCAATATGCGGCACTGAAGGGCACTGATATTCAGCACTGATGGGCATTGATAGGTGGCACTTATGGGCACTGATAGGTGGCACTGATGAGCATTGATAGCCAGCACTGATGGGCACTATTAGCCAGCACTGGAGGGGACTATTAGCCAGCACTGATGGGCACTGATGGAGCTACACTGATAATCAGGACACTGATGATTAGTGCCCTGATGATCAGTGTAGATGTCCCCTCTGAGGAATGCCGCTTACCGACTCTCCTCCCCTCACGCACTGTCAGTGTGAGGAGAGGACTGACGATAACTGTAATCTCCTGTTTACACTGTGATCAGCTGTGACTGGACACAGCTGATCACATGGTAAACGAACACCCTGATTGGCCCTTTACTTCGATCTGTGATCAGATGTGTCTGAAAGACACCATGCTCAAAGATCGCGCCCAGTGAGCGCCCAAGGGGGCGCTCGGGGCATGGTTTTGGGATGACATCCATGGACGCCCTCCTAGAACTAGTTGACCGTGCTGTAGCTGTCTTTTGGTTATAGTGTGGATGGGAACTGGTTAATGGACGTCCAATGTACTTATGAAAGAAAAAAATCAGCAACCCGGTGTGACAGCTGGCTGCTCCTTTTAAACCTCAGCAGTTAAAATGCCAGCTTTATTTAATGAAGTAATGCACAGTGCCATGAGTATGTGAAAAATCCTGTAACCTATAGCAGAAATAATATTTCTTTTTACTCTATTCCCATGAAGAAACAAATGTTTGAGGGCACACAGGGTCACTATTAAAAATGAGGTTTGGGTTCAGATCTGTTTGTTTTCATTGTATAGGGCCTGTTTGTAAATTAAACTTTTAAGTAAGCTTCAGGGGTGGAATTTTGAGGTTTTTTTTGTTTTTTTGGGGTATCTTAATTTTTAATTTACATTTACTGGGCCATTTGTAGGTTTTGGGTAATGCCACTCTGTTCTGGGGGCTGCCTTTTGTTGAAACCCCCCTCACAAAACTAAGAGCAAAATCAGCGTGCACCAAATGCACCTTACACTATCACCCTATGCACTGCTCCCCATAGTAAAAATGAAGGTTAGGCATACACTGGTTAGACCTATTGTCCCTGAATAAAATTGTCCTGCTGATGGCCACTTATACCCAACTATATCCTCTCCTGCTTTTTGTCTCTACTACATTTCAGCCAATTTTCCCTGTTTAAAAATGTCCTGCTGTTGTTCAATTTCACACTGCTGTATCAACCATGGTCTCATAATGCTCAAGGGAAGTTTACATTTGTCAACAGCAGGACAGTTTTGCATTATTAAGAACAGGCCTCACTGAACTAATGGCTAAGTTCAATCTGCTGGTCAACAGTCTTCCTGATCACAGGAGTTCTAATAGCAGCAACATTATGCATCATTAATGTATATTAATAGTGTAAAAAATAAAGTTTAATCCCAGAGTCAAATACTGTTTCAAAATAAAAGTGACAGTACACATTTAATAATGGCCATTTATTATATCCACACCTGCCGTGCTACCCAACACCAGTCTTGATAATGGTCTGTTGGAATAATAAGGTGAACCCTACACTGTTTTTTCCCATTTTTTTCTCATTTTAATTACTAAATTCGGACTGAATTAAACCATACTGAGGTGGTGCTGTATGTAAGATAAGATCAATAAATTATTTGGAGTAATATTTGCAGCCAGTGTAGGCTGAAGCTAAGGCTACCCATGAAAATTGTACTGTTCTGTAACACCACATACTGGTTTATGGCATCCCCAAGCATGTTATTTAAAGGATTTGTTTTTTTCAATGTTAACCCTTGAAGACACATGAAAAGAACCTCTCACCTCTGCACAGTATTTTTCTACAATTTATTTTGCATTTTCCCAGTGGCAGTACCCAGCTCCTATTTGTACTCACTGTATTAAACAAATAAGTTTACTGTATAAAAAATGCAACAAAATTAAATGTAAATGCTCAAAAGTGTTTTCTATTTTATGAACTAGTTGAAATAATCTATGTACTGCAATGGGCAGTAGTCACATAAAACTCTTATTTGATAGTTTACTATATTTAGGACATTAATGTACAGTATCTTTCTGTACTACACTAAGGTATGCTTGGTGAACTGGCTGCACAAAAGCTTGGAAGAGTTCTGTTTCTTAAATGTCAACTATCTCTAAAAAGTAATTTTTGTGCACAATGTACATACAAAATATTTACCATATAATGTTTAAGCTTTTTATTTAAGTTTTCTTTAAATCTTTAAATTAAATTGTAAAGGCCTTAACCATGTACCATGCCTAAAGGTCTTAACCATGCAGGCAGTAGGTTCAGGGTTTCCTTGTACAACCTGGGGTCAAAGCTCACTTTTCAGGCAGTTACAACTTTTAGGGAAGCTGTTGCATACGTGCGTGTCATTAGAGATGTGAGCCCAAAAACCTGATATGGCGAGGGGAATATGTGATGAGGATTGAACTTCCTTCCAGAGTTCATTTAATTTGTGGCTTTTAGGTAAGCATCCCTCTTCCATAGGCAATGCCATCAATTTTGTGTAAAAAACAACAAAAAGAAAGCTTAAAAAAAATAAATCACATGGATAACAATAACAATTGTTATGAGAAATATAACATGCATTAGAATTTAGTGTGTGTTTTATGTTACTGACATACTGATTATTATTAGATAATAGGTAAAGGTAAATGTTTGTGTTTGCATGTATTAAATACAGGTACTTACAGGTGGTCCAGGCTGTCCAGATTCACCAGCGGGTCCTTGATAGCCATGAGGTCCCTAAAGCAAATTGACATTTTACTTCAAAATCAAGTAAATTTCCAAAAACATTTGTTTTTTTTTTTTTGTCAATATTTGTATAAATGCAGCCATGACTAAGCATAAACAGAATGCCAAAGGAGTGATTGTTGTCGGACCCATTAGTCTTTCTACCTAATTTTGTGTCTATGCTCCACATCTTCTATGACCTCTTGGGCTCAGGGGTGATTCTTTCCAAATGCACAGCTCTGCCAATCAATATACCACAATTGTTGATCACTGGCATATGGGATAAGTTCAAGTTTTCCTGGTGTGATGATCAATTTCTGTATATGGGGATTTGTTTAGCCACCTCTCTCTGCCATACGTATCAGGTAAACTATCCACAGGTGTTCTCTTGCTTTAGACAATGGCTACAAATATGGTCTACATACCATATTTTGTTTCCTGTGAGAGTGCAAATGGTGAATATTTCAATTCTACCGAAACTATTGTACTATTTTCGAGCTCTACCTCTCTGTCTCTCAATCAATGATTGATGCCATAGAAGCTGAGGGGAATAAATTACTTGTGTTAGCAAACTGGTAGCTCATAGAACCCAAGCGCTAGAAAGATTGGGCTTACCCAACCTCTGAAAATATTATTTAGCTATTTAGCAGCCCATTTAGTGCAACTGGCACAATGGCATGATCCATCTGCTCAAATACCTTTCTTTACGGTTTGAATTCAACTCAATTGAGCCCTATTACCTCCAGGGCCTTATATGTTCACAATTTATTTGCCCCAGAGCTATAGCGCCCTTTAATTCTGTGGCTTACCAGTCTCTTTATTTTTTGTCCCTTTAAAAGGATACATTTGATCTGATTCCCTCATCCCCTTGGTTGGCCTCCTTCTTGATCCATTCTTTCCACTGGCCTTTACGACCAAACAGTCTTTGCCAGATGGACAGAACATGGCATAGTGATGTGGGAGTCATTACAAGAACCCCATTTTAGTTTGGTTCAATTTCTTCAACACAACTCTAACCTTCCCCACTCAGAATTCTTTAGATACAAATTAGATATTTCTACCCCTCAACTTATGGCCAAAGCCAGGGGGCCTTAGCTTGGTGTTTTAACAAATGTGCAGCTCTACCTCTAGAGACAAGGGTTCTGTCTCTAATCTGTATCAACTCTTAAGTGAACAAGGCCTCCCATCTAAATCATCTGCAGTGACCAGCTGGCAAACAGAGGCTGGCCACAAATTCTCTACAGAAGATTGGCTTGAGATGCTCTCCAATATGCATAAGTGCACTCGTTCAATGACCGTAAAAGAAACAGTATTAAAAGAACCTACTTGTTGGTATTTTACCCCAGCCAAATTGCATATACTTTACCCACTGGTTCCAGAGACCTGCTTTAGGGGCTTCTCCAACAGAGGGACACACCTCCACATATGTTGGAGCTGTGGAGCCCTTAGACCTCTCTGGCAACAAGTCTCCACCAAAGTTTCCCAGATTACTGGCACTCAATTGATATATACCTACTCAATGTGCTTATTATTTGCTGGGCTTCCGGAGGTTTCTCCTCCCTGTCAGAGACTAGCACATACATTATTTAGTGCTATAGACTTGGTGATAGCACTGAAATGGCAATCCCCTAGGGTCCCAGGTATCAAAATACGTGGAAGCGAAAAAGTTGATGGAGTGGATGGATCATACCTTCATGGATTCAATGCACATCTTTAATCGCAAATGGGAATCACTGTCTGTCTATTGACCTGTAGGTAAATACTTTTCCACCTACCAGTTCAGCTCACCCTTTCTTAGTCCCTTTTATGGTCTCCTGAATGCTCTATACTTATTCACAAGTCTATTGATTTTTAATTACTCAAGATTAGATTATAAGGCTGTTTAAAGTTACACTTACTCTTTGATAGGCTTTATTTCTTGTTGTTTTGTTTTTTTTAATTTTGTTGAGTTTGTAATGGATACAATATGGTTATTGGTGCCTTGTACTTATGTTTCAAGCTGATTGCACTTTTTTCTGTATCCTGTTTGAATTTTCAATAAAAGCATTTGTAAACAAAAAAATGTCCACTGCTAGTAAGATACAAGAGAGGAATTTTAGGCTAACTAGATGGTACTGCTATCCTGCTAGATTACATGCTATTTTTCTCTCAAATATCGAATGTTTGCTGGAGATGTCAAAACCATCCAGGTTCGATGTTTCATTTATAGTAGGCATGCCTCTGTATCACACTTTTTTTGGTCAGATATATTTAATACATACATTTATGTACTAGTTATTAAGATAACTTATAAATTGCTTTGCTGTCAATTATTCTGGGTTCTATAAACAGTGCTAAAAAGGGTCTTTCGATTTTTTTTTTCAGATGGCTACCAAATGTATTATACCTAGACACTGGAAATCCTCTTCTCCCCATCTCTTTATGAATGGGTTGATGGAATGCAATATCTGCAAAGACTAAAGATTTTAACTGCTACTATATACAATGATTATTTTACATTTTTGGAAGCCTTGTCTCCTTGGATTAATTTTTGAGATTAGAGAATTGTTGACAACTAGTGCTTCTTGGGCATAAGATCTAGAGGGTTATGACATGTTTTCTTCACTTTCCTTTTTCTTTCTCTTTTTGAATGGATTATGGCTGTACAGGAAACATGTGAATTTAACAATAGTTTATAGATCAAGGGCTACTTTTTATGGATAAAACCATACATTAATACACCCTGATATTTAGGGCTGTGTATGTGTGTTTTTCCTTTTTTTGTATTTAGAAGACATATACTCTTTGTAATTCATTATGTAATAGCTCCTTTTAGAAGAAAAGTCTATATTGAATTTTGTTGTTGTTTTTCTTTTTTTCTTAAAAAAATCTTAAAATCTTAAAAATCTTTAAAACAATGTATCATCCTTTTTCCCTTGTCACATTTGGTGGGCATGACCACTGCCAAACCTGACTAATTAAGCAAATAATCTATTAGATTGTAAACTCTTATGAGCAGGGCCCTCTTAATCCTCCTGTTTTTTATTGTATTGTAACTGTACTGTAAATTGTAAAGCGATGCACCAACTGTTGAGGCTATATAAATCCTGTATAATAATAATGACAATTTACAACTGCCCCGCACATGTGCAGCATTTAAGAGGTAATAACAGGCCCCAAGGAGGCATCATATTACCTCCTCACTACCTGTCAAATGCCTTTGAAAGGCATTCTAAGTATAATTCATGTTTCAGAGGCACAACAATTTAGCAGCACATATACACGTAGCCTAAGTCTTTTACACTCTAAAATAAAAGTGTCTTTTTTGCTGTCTATGTACCAACAGGGGATACTTCCCCTCACCTTTTGCTTTGTCTGAAACTCAAACAGCAAAGAACAGATGAGAAATATCTCCAAAACGAACCCAGAATGCAATTAAAAATGGTAAAATATTTTCTTTGGTTACATGTTAAGAAGATGTGCATTCATTATTAAACTCATTAAACTGGATGTCAACACTATAAAAATGGTAAACAAAGGTAAAGATTACATTCTAATGATAAAGCAGTCATTATACTTACAGGCTGTCCAGAAGGGCCAGATGGTCCAGGTGGGCCAGGAGGTCCAGGATGACCCTATGCAGTAAAAGAGAAGTATATTCCATTAATTTGTAGTTTATTACCATTAGACTTGAAATACAGCTCTATAACTGAGATTCTACATTGCTTGACAATGCACAATAGGAACTGTTTGTATTGTTTTTTTTTATTTGTCTTAGTTTGATGTTTGGCAGATAAGGCTAAATAATCTTAAACCAATAAAATAGTTTGTAGTTTAAGTATATTTTATGGCTACATATTATATTAATATAAAAAAAAGTGGGATTCATACAAGCCTAATAGTGTTGTCTCTCTGGGTTGGAATATGTGGTTTTTAATATATACTATGTATAAATAGTATGTACTATAAGGGAGATTTTAGACAATATCAATGAGATCTGACTACAAGTGAACGGATTAGTGACTTAACTACTACGAATCAAGCTTCAGATGTAAAGCCAATCACTCTATAGACTGTAACCTAGAAGGGATGGCGTGGTTAGGTCTTGTACTAGATCTTAGCTGCTAAGCTATATGTTGATGTGCAATACTCTGCAACAATTACAATAAGAAAAAAACATATCTACAGGCATGTTATTGCTCAGATGTTCTTTAAATGCGTATCAGTGTCAAGTGTAAAAAGGATTGACTTCTACGAAGACTGTTTTCGCATGTCAGCTTAGTCAGACCCATGAGTAAACTTGATGAAATAGTGGAATCAGGTGGAACTATTCATGTGTTGTTCATTAACATACAGTTTCAATATGGAAGGTTCTTCTGTGGGTGGTTGCAGCGTAAGCACTCCTTATGTGAGCATAATCAAGAATATCATCTTTTTATGGAATGGCTACATGAAAAAGTATTGTGCTTGAGCTTTTCTGTACCAAGGGGGAATTGACAACTCATGGGGCCCCCGGGAAATAGGGGATCATGGGGCCCCTGTGTCCTTGCCCAAACTCAAAAAAAGCCTATGAAAAAGGTACCAGGGGCATCACATGGGGCCCCCTACTGACCCCGGGCCCTCGGGCACTGCCCAAGTTTCCAAATGGTCAGTCCGCCCCTGTTCTGTACTGCAAAGTACAGAAGAAGCAGACTGCATGGGCAGCACAGTGGCTATAGGCAGCACAGTGGCTAAATGTTTTGCACTTCTGCTTGGCAGTACTAGGGTCATTGGTTCGAATCCCAACCACGGCACCACCTGCCTGGAGTTTGCATGTTCTCCCTGTTCCTGCGTGGGTTTTTTCTGGGTACTCCAGTTTCTTTCCACACTTCAAAGACGTGCTGGTAGGTTAATTGGATTCAGTCTAAACTGGCCCTAACATGTGTATATATGAATGTGAGTTAGGGACCTTAGATTGTACACCCCTTGAGGGTTGGGGATTGATGTGAATGTACAATATATGTAAAGCACTGCATAAATTGACAGCTATACAAGTATCTGAAATGAATTGTATATGAAAGTCATCCAAAAATTACCTTTCAGTAATCATGCTTTATTCAGTAAATAAGATATAGACATAAGCATACAATAAAAAAATGTTGAAAATGAATAAATATGTAAATTATTTAAGTCTGAGTGAGAGCCTGGTCTAAGTTCCCTGGGGTACGTAATGCTATTGGTAGCATTGATTTGCATGTGTATATAAGGAATGCGGGTCATTTTTAGTCTTGATGTACTGATTAGGACTGTATTCTCCCTGTAGCTTCCCCACAGATAACTAGATCACAGCAGCACCTCCCTTTGATAGAAGTAGAGGATCTGATACTGATGCCATCTGGGATGTGCATGCTGCAACTTACCCTTTAAAGTTTTTTAGTTGTTAATGTTAGGTCTGGAATTCATGTTTGACTTGGAGTAATAATGGCAAGCTTATAATTGGCTTATTAGGAAAACACATTGGCAGAACCACTGCTTGAACAATGGGCATACCAGCTGATGCCACCCACGACTGTCCTGCTATCTAAGACCCATGCCCTTGTGGACTACACAAAAGTTTGGTCAAGTTTAGTTAATAATCAGAGTATGTTGTCCCTTGGGTCCTATAAAATTACAGATACACGCAAGGTAGACTTCATCACTCTTTTGAGCCAGTAAAAAGTAAGCATTAAAAACTTTTTTTTTTGTACTTGGAAAGAATCCTGAGTGGTATATATTTCATTGTGCAATGCCTGTATTCCAAAATTGGGTATAGCCAAGCCTTTAGGTATAGCCAGTAGCAAAGATATTAGGGCTGGGAATATGCATGTGTACCACAAATTTCAAAAGACTATATCTAAAGATCATAGTTTGAATATTTCAAATGTTTTCAGTGGAATTAATTATCTTCTGTCCATTCAATCGAATCAATGATAAAATGTGTTTGGAAATAAACTCAACCGTGTCCATATTTGATGAGGAATGTAAATATTAATGCTTTTTGCATGTTATTTGTACTTTAATGAAAAGCTTTGTACAAACGTCATTTATAAACAGATGTCATTGGTAAATTAGCACTGTGAAAGCTCACCAGAAGGACACACTTTTTTTTAGTCCAACGGTCTTATGAAAATTCTTTGCCAGTTCTTAGCTTAATCCATTTACTGTCTGCAGATAAATTAGCTCCTTTGAAGCACAAATTCTAAGCAATAAATTATTGTGCTGAAATGCAAGTTATACTTCTCCATGTCTTTTTATAGTACATAGATCAGCATTTCCTAATGTAGGAATGTTTTTTATGGTAAGCAAACAAATCGATTGTACGCCTGCCCATATTTACTACCGTATATGAAGTATGCCATTTAAAATAAAATAAAATGCATTTATACTGTTTGAAATTATAAGTCCTTATTTCAGCTTTTGGGAGATCATTGTGTGTTAAATCATATGGAGGAGATCATTATGTCTTAAAAGCTAAGTTCACCTTTGAAAAAAAATAATAACTACAGCCTTTTTTGCAGAAAAAAATGTGCATTTATTTATTTATTTTTTCACTGGATCCTGCAGAGTATTGACCTGCTATCAGTGGATTGCGGGTGCAATGTCAGACCTCTGCAAACACTGCCTACAACTCTGTATGGGCTGTCAGTTCTGGAGCTGTAGGAAGTGGCATTGTTCTTTAGGCGCACTGATTAGCACTCTCACAGTACATTGAGAAGGAAGGAGGAACCCCCGCAGCCCCATTAGATAAATAGGCTGTTCACTTTGCAACTGAATTTTCCCTAGCTTGTTAAATGTGGTGAAAATTCACTTTGAATTGAATGCCCAATCAATGCAAAGAAAATTTTTAAAAAAGCTTCATCTCATTCGGTATGCCAAGGGAACATTTCTTGCAAAGTGAACAGACTATTTTCCTTTAATAAGTCACCTCCAAAGACTCTAATGACAAGCTGCGCACTTGTGTTTTTAGCCTACAAACAGGTTGTGGCCATTGAAAGAAGGTGACACTCTCTCTGATGAATTTGTATTGTATTTACAGTATATACATTAATGTGCGTGGAAACACCTGATGATAGATGGTGAGAAGCAAAAGCATGAGTTTGGTGGGAATAGAACAAATCACTATGCTAGGCTTCACCTATAATTAAAATATTAGTTTTGGGTAAGCTGTCTGTTTAACCACTTGCCCTGCTGAGGATTTACCCCCCTTCCTGACAAGGGCATTTTTTGCGATACAGCGTTGCATTATTTTAACTGACAATTGCACAGGCATGCAACACTGCACCCAAATGAAATTTATGTCCTTTTTTTCCCATAAATGGAGCTTTCTTTTGATGGCATTTGTTCGCATCTGCGTTTTTAATTTTTTGTGCTATAAATAAAAAAATACTGACAATTTAAAAAAAAAAACAATATTTTTGACTTTTTGCTATGAAACATATCCAGTAAAAAAATTTAAAAAATCTAATTTCATCAGAAATTTAGGGTAAAATGTATTCTGCTACATGTCTTTGCTAAAAAAAAAACTCAATATGTGTAAATTAATTGGTTTACGCGAAAGTTATAGCACCTACAAATGGCGGTATACAGTATATATTGTTTTTTTTTTATAATAGTAATGACGGCGATCAAGGACTTATAGTGGGACTGCGGGACTGTGGCGGACATTCTGACACTGGGGGGGAACTGACTGTCACTGCCAACCGCAGTGACACTAATACAGTGATCAGTGCTAATAAAAAGCACTGACACTGTACTAAGGACACTGGGCAGGAAGGGGTTTAACATGTGAAGTAATCAAAAGGTTAACTGAGTGCTGTGTGTGTTTTACTGTGTGCTGTGTTTTACTGTTTTTTTCTCTTTATCGTTCCAATTTTAGTATATGTCCAGCTGAAGCGAGGACTACTGTTTTTACTGCTATGCACAGCAGTGCTGGAGCTGACAGGGGAGAGATCTGTATTGTTTACATACAGACCTCTCCCCCGTCAGTGTTCCTCGGCGATCGCTGGGCCCGATGATCGACAGTTGTAGCTGCCACTGTCGGCACAGGTAAGGTGTGTGCATGCCCTCTACCCGGAAATACAAAATCACATATATATGCGTGATTTTGCGCAGCCCTGCCACCCTATAGCAATAATTCTGCTTTAGGGCGGTCAGGAAGTGGTTCTTTCATATATCTTAATTGATTTGGGAAAAATGGTCACATCCTACTTGATTAACCCAGTGCTCCAACTTTTTTTGCGATACATATATTAGTCTATACGTGTGTTTAAAGTTTATATTACGCCTACTGTACAATGTCAAGCAATATTTATGAAAAGCATGTAAAACAGAGGCAGTATTTCTTTAATAACTAAAATATATGCAGATCCATAATGGTAAAGGTAATCGGCAGGAGTATGAAGAATCTAAGAAGTGTCACCAAATTCTTCTGTCAGGTCCAGCTAACGTAGATTGCAGACAAAAAATAAATGCTGTAATGGAATGTAGATCAGTACCACATAATGAGACATATTATGTTATATGACATGTTAGGAAAAACACCTCCTCCAGACTGTGGATTAGATGAGTTTGATTTAGTAGGAATGAATGTCATAGTTAGGCAAAATAAAAAGTACTTGTTAAAAACTTTCATGCAACACATACGTATATCTAATAAAGAAGAGTTAATAGAGAAGTTAAACATTTACGTAACCTGCCTGTAAATAAATTAGAATGAATTGAAATAACGAATATCTGTACCTATGTAGAGATTTACTTTTCTTGCAAGGGCTTCTACTTTTTGTTACATGTGTACTTAATGGAAACACTGCTTACTTCTTTTTTCCATCATTTAACCCATGACAGTATAACTTGAAACAATAATAGGTCTACATAGTAATTGCATTGCTTGTTAAAATGGCTCCTTGGCCCAACCAGGACCTGAATGGAGTGTACATGTTTTACCATTTCTTGCATGTTTCCTCCCACACTCTTTAAGACAAGCTGGTAAGTTAACTGGTTCCTTTCTAAATTGGCCCAGTATGTGTGTGCATATATGTATGCAGGGTAGGGGTTTTAGATCAAACACAGCAAATTCTGCGCTAGGGATGAACTCAGCAGAGGCTAGGATGACAATGTAAATGTTCTGGAATATGCACTGCTTGCTGCCCTGAACGGACCGGGGTAGTCCAAAGTCACTAAATGCAAATGAAAAAACGAAAAGAGGGCGCACCGAACTAGTGCACCGAACTAGTGCGTTATCATTTAAAATATTTATTAAAAGAATAAAAAAGTAGGTATCATACTCACAATGGACATATAAAACATAGGCACATCACAATGAACAAATGGTGTTCAATCCATATAGCATCTGAGTCCACAACTATGGAACCCTGGATGACCAACTGGCTCTGATAAAGAGGCTGAGTCCTCAAAATGCATCAGCCAGTTGGTCATTCAGGGTTCCATTGTTGTGGATTCAGATGCTATATGGATTGAACACTATTTGTTCATTATGATGTGCCTATGTTTTATGTGTCCATTGTGAGTATGATACCTACTTTTTTATTCTTTCAATAAATATTTTAAACGATAATGCACTAGGCCGCCCTCTTTTTGTTTTTTCATTTGCATTTAGGGATTTTAGATGACAGGTCCCTGAGGACAGAAACATAGCACCTCTAAGTGTGTACTGTGAAGGTATTTAATAGAACGATAAGTAGTAACTCACATGTTAGAATTTAAAAACAGGCTCATGGGTAAGAGGGTGAGACATCTGTAGCAGATGTTGTTGTGTGACTGATCCAGAGAGGAGATCGATTGAGTCCGCCAGCAGGTACATGTACAACATGGATGGTAAGCCTGGTGGTATCTCCAAGGTGTCTGCCAGCAGATGGTGCTGTGCATATGCAGCACGGATGGCGGAGCCTGGCAGAGTCTCCAAGATGTCCGGGATCAGCACATGTGGCGTCTGACGTCATCAAAACGCTACACGTTTCTGAGCATGTGCAGGACGAGATGAGTCCAGGCGCGCTCTTCATCAGGCAGCATAAGTAGTAACATGTGAGTTACTACTTATCTTTCTATTAAATACCTTCACAGTACACACTTAGCAGTGCTATGTTACTTTGTTTCCCTTCTGCAGAGTTATGCTTCACTCCTACGCAGCTTGCCCTTAGTGCCTACTGGAATACCCTTACCCCTGCCCATTTGGAACTCATCAAACATACATGGACTGCCACACCATGTGCCTGTTATACCTTTTGTATCCCTGAGGACAGAGACTGATATAAATGTGCTATATGAAAAGCACTGCGTAAATTGTCAATGCTATAAAAAAAATGATAATAACACTGGCATTATGGTTGCTTGTTGCAGGAAATGCTCAAAGGAAGTATAACACTTCAGGGTGTGAACAATTAAAGGAGAAGTATGGCCAAAGCAAAGACCCGCACTCCTGTGACCCAGAATAAGCCAACATATTAAATCCCACTTGCACTTGCTTGTTTCTTTTGCCCACACTTCTCTTTTAAGCTCTAATTAAAGTGAAAAGCTTTAGATGGAGAAGTCTTGTGGGATGTGACTAGCATGTTAATGAATACAGTGAATAATCCATGGGAGCAGATGGTGTGATAACTTCATTTGCTGGAATGAGTTCTCTGTATGTGTGTTGGGCAAAGCCAGGAAGACTTACTGGCAACTTTATTTTGAACATACATGTCAATTCAAAAAGGTTATCACTCCTAACTGTGTGGTGTCAGTCGAGGAGAACAGGAACAGGAGCCATTTGAAGTGGTGATCAAATAACCATTCTGAAGAAATTATAAAAAATTTTTTTTCCAAAAGTTAAAAACTTTGCAAAAAAAACTATTTCCCTTATAAAAAATGTATACGCACCGGCCACTTTATTAGGTACACCTGTTCAATTGCTTGGTAACAAAAATTGCTGATCAATCAATCACATGGCAGCAATTCAATGCATTTAAGCATCTGCATGTGGTGAAGACGACTTGCTGAAGTTCAAACCCACCATCAGAATGGGGAAGAAAGGGGATATAAGTGACTTTGAATGTGGCATGGTTGTTGGTGCCAGACGGGATTGTCTGAGAATTTCAAAAATTGCTGATCTACTGGGATTTTCATGCACAACCATCTCTAGCGTTTACAGAGAATGGTCCGAAAAAAAGAAAATGTACAGTGAAAGGCAGTTGTGTGGATAAAAATGCTTTGCTGATATCAGAGGTAAGAGGAGAATGGGCAGACTGGTTCGAGATGATAATAAGGCAACAGTAACTCATGTCAATATAGACCAAAATCTCTGAGGAATATTTCCATCACCTTGTTAAGCCTATGCCTCGAAGAATTAAGGCAGTTGTGAAGGCAAAAAGGGGTCCAACCCGGTACTAGCAAGGTGTACCTATTAAAGTGGCCAGTGAGTATATATATATATATATATATAATTTGTCAATTGCCAATATTTAGGAGAGCGTTATAGTATGCCATAATAAACTAAATGAGTTGAAATAACTCATCCATCTCAGTGAATTGTTTCTTGTGTAACCTTGTATAGAAATACAGTGAGTGCATGTTCACTGGCCCTAAAAACCTTTAATAAATCACTATGTTTGGCAAACTATCTTGGACAGAATTGCAAGTGCTGACATATTTACACTCCTGAAATGTGTGTTACTTCCATCTGATAATTGGATTAGAGAAAATGTTTATTATATGTTAGTCGACATGTAAACTCTTGTTATTCTTCCATGCTTTGATTGATGATGAAATTATGTTTTGATACAAAAGTATACAGTATGTTAAAATTAGTCACTGTGGTTAAGCAATGTAACAAACCTTGTCAATGTATTAGCAATGAGTGAAGTAAACAGTTAATCAATCATTTATACATGTGATTTGTCACATCATTTATATTGTTTGGAGTCAATGTACTAAGCCAACAAAGCACTTTTGCTACACCCAGACAGGTTAAGGTGTAAAATTCTTGTTGTTTAATTTTCCCTTAAAGCTGAACTCCAGGAATATTCGGATCTCTATTGCTTCCAACAGTGATGTCAGTCTGGACAGTAAACATGGTTACAGGGAGGTAGATTGCCCATCAGTGTTGTCTGCAAAGAGGTAGAGGACCAACTTGTTCTGCCTGACAGGATTGTCTAGCTCACAGGACTGGCTGAAAAGAACTACAAATCCATTGGTAGGTGAAAAAGTTCACATATTTGTATTTCAGCTCTGTTTGACTGCTTGCCTGGAGTTCACCCTTATCTGGCTGTAAGTATTTTGATGGTCCTATGGCTCTATTAGCCTTCGGTACGATGAAAAGAATACCTTCTCGCATGAAACACCTGAATATGAAATGGTGAATCTATCGGGTAAGGAAACATACAGGACAATTTCTAGTCAATTTGAATATAATTTCTTTGGACAATCTTTTGGACAGAAGTGTGTCAATCAACAATGACATTTGTTGAACATACTTCTTGAAGTCATTACTGTATCCATTCTTCATACCGAACAACATATTACAATGTATTAAAATATGCTTATACAAAATCATTTTCTGCAAGTTGCACACATTTGGACTTAATAGCAAAATGAAAAAATTTGATGTTGGCACAATGGGCCTGTGTTCATTTCAAACACCCAAACAACCTCAGGGGAATTTTAGACAATCACCCTGAACGTGATTGGGTATTTGAAGGGCATACAGGTTCACTGCATCATTCAATTACCCCTTGACTAAATTTGTCCCGTGGAGTATGGTTTAAGTATTTATTTCCAGATCAAAAATCTGTTACAGTCCTCACTATCACATCTCTGAAAAAAGAAAAGTTAAGTGGGATGGAATAAAGATTAGAGTCTTACAGGCATTACTTGACCCCCCATGTGACCTGCGCCAGATTTGAAATCATATCCAGATTTGGAGTCATATTGAGGACTGTAGTTCTGTAAAAAAGACAGTATTGTAAAAAAGTTATTGATTAAAATACAGACATATTTCCTTTACAGGTATCTGTCTAAGTTTTGGAAAGTGATGTGTTTTAGTATTACAAAAAAAATGTGAATACCAATATTTGCAGTATATAACTTAAACTTTACTGGGTTTTTAAAGCTGCTAACAAGTTGTCCCACGGAAATGCCCTTTTTAATTTTGAACATTTCAAACTGGGTGGTATTTACCATGATACTTTATGTCTACAGTATATAAAATATAAAAAGCTATAGACAATATGGTCAGTGTCTATTGCCTTTTTAATGTACTACATATGCAATCAACCACAGATTTCTGCATGTTTGAGGTTGACTTACTTATAGCAAATAGGCTGTTTACTTTGCAAGTAAAATTTCACTTTGCCATGGATTTTTCCCTAATCTTAATTAATACGGTAAGAAATAACTTAGGAGCAAAAGTCTGCAATGACATAGCAACCAATCAATAACCACTTTGATGATGTCAGAAGAGTAGAAGATGGATGATTGTCTGCTATGGGCACTGCGATATGAATTTCAAACTACCCTTTCAGCAAAAAAAAAAAAAATCTGTTAGCAAGTATAAAGTGGAAATTGCAAGAACCTAGGGGTAGCATCACGGTAATGCAGCAGCTTTGATACCACCCAGCTACAACCAAATGCCAGGTCATTTTCCTTGGAGAAACATCTGGCACTTTCTAGAAGTATTGAAGCTTGCTTTCTCCCTCCTGCCCACCACATATTCCTAATGGCCATTGAGGTAGCCTATCTCAGTGATAAGCAAATAAGGAGGTATAGGGGTGTGAGTACATTGAAGATTTTGACACTACCTGTAAGGGCCAGGGCTTTGTCCTATTATAATGTCCTGCTATTTGGGTGCAGCAGGAGGCTAAAAGCGTTTGCATGCATGTTGAGGAACCTCTAGGTTTAAGTGTTTGGTTGAAGTGGCAGAGTGACTTTAATGTTTTTCTCCCATTTTTTAATTGAATAAGCCAAACAGAAAGCTATAAAGTCTGGTTTATTTTACATTGGGTAACTATGTTTATTGTCAGTTACCAACAGAAAATATACAAAATCTATACAGGTTCATATTCCAAGTAGCAGTTTAACACAAGAGACCATTCAAAAATTAACAAACTCACACAGATGCAAAAAGACTGCTGGTTTGACTTGGAAATTACATCTATAAATCTAAATAGAAAGAGTTTTTTATAGAATATGTATAAGTCAGTTATGCAGGCTGCTGAATTTTGCTTTACTGGATCGTTTTCTTCCTAGGATACAGTCTGAAAATGCTATACTATGGGGAGTTCAGCAGTGCCCAAAGGTTAGTCCCATTTTGAACATGTTTGACTTCCAAAATGCAGTGCCTCACTGAATCACTTCAAGCCTCGTAACGTATTGCCTATTGTTTGCAACCGGTTGCTCTCTTATGGATAGGAACAAGGGGTGCTAAGAAAGCTACCCCGCCCATTATTATTGCAGCTCTGCACTGGAAACACAGTAATGGTTTCAAACAAGTCCTGATATAAGTAAGGCCTGACTGTGTTAATGGGGGAATCCCATCCTCCAGCGTGATTGTGTTCTATAGGGAGCCCTCCCTGCCGGAGGACCACGATGATTAGTGCTGCTGATTATAGCCTGTAACACTAATTGTTCAGGAAAAAACTCAACAGTCTGGTTGTGTACAAACAGGGTGACCATACATTGATCAAAATTAGGCAGGTCCCTGGTGAACTATCTGTCTGATTTCAATCCATGTATGACTGACTCATATGTCATTATGTCCCTCCTCCCAATCTATCCTGATTGATGCATGTTATCCTCAAGCAAAATGTAACACCTAAAAAGTATGGCTATGTATGGACAGCTTTTGTAATCTTAAACTAGAAGATTTATCCAATTCAGGTATTTCAGTATTGGCTTCTTTTTTGCTTTGAAGTATAAAAAAAGGGAAAAATACATTATCTGAACTGTGATTCAGTGAGACAACATGCTATTCTACTCACCATCAGAATGTGATGGGCTCCCCAGATAATGTGAAATTCAGACAGTATGTCAGGAATAAAGAATTCCATGAGATGCTATCTCCCCAGAAACAAAATCACTTATAGAATATTCTAAAACCAAACAGCCTGCTTCTGAAATTTTTAGTGAAGTGTATTTAAAGTCAAAACTTTTGTTTTAGTTTTGGGTGAATAGACAGAGGGAAAAGGTCAAAACTCCTGTCAAGTTTTATTGCTGTCTGTGTTCCCATTAGGGAGAGTGACTTTCTTAATTTTTTTCTGTGATCACTATCACTGGGACTGAAAGTAAGAGAAAATCAAAAATGTTAAGCATTGCAGAACAGAATTGTAGAAAGGAAATCTTCCAATTGAGACACTTGTTTTCATGAAAACTGTCCAAACTTAGATTGTATGCCCCTGGAGGGTTAGGGACTGATGTGAATGTACAATATATATGTAAAGGGCTGCTTACATTGACAGTGCTATATAAGTACCTGTAATAAATAAATAAATAAGCAGATTGATATTTTCTCCTATGTCCTATTTTGTCTAAAGGTAATTCTCCTCAATGACATATCGATGGCAAAAAAAATTATGTAGGGATTTTAATAATCTCTTACTCTTTTCAAAGTTAAAACCTTTTGTATAGAGATCTTTTAGAGAGGCATGTTGCTTTTTCACAATGCAGTTATATAGTGGAATTGATTTACTAAAGACAAATACACTGTGCACTTTACAAGTGCAGTTCGATTAGTTTTCCCTAGAGCTTAGTGCATGTGGTGGAGCTTTGCCGATTTCTATCATCCAATCATGCTTTTTTTTATTTTTATTACACCTGATTGAGTATTCTTTACAAAGTGAAGCTTCACCACGTTCACCATGTTCTGGGGAAAATGAGTGCAACGGCACTTGCAAAATGCATGGTCTAGATGCCTTTTGTAAATCAACCGCTGTATGTTGTATGGTATTCTAGAAATACAGGAAGAGAGGGTCATGAGTAATGTGTCCAAATGTATATAAATTAGAAGCTATAATGGTACTTTAGATTTACTATCAGATGCTCACTTAATAGCAGAAATCGTCTAAGCCCATTCAGATTTGTTTCTTCTGCTGAAATTAATATAATAACGTGTATGAAAAGATTAATGCACACAGTATTTTTTATAGATCCTGCTCATGAAATGTGAAAATGAAAACAGAGGTTACATACCGGCTCTCCTCCAATATTTAGGGAACCACAGCCTTCGCAAATTCCAGGAGGGCCAGGAGGACCTGGAGGACCTGGTTGACCAGGACCGCCATTCTCACCATTTCTGCCAGGAATGCCAGGAGTGCCCTGATAAGAAATAGAAATAATGTGTTTTATACAGCAAAGCTTCCACAATTGCATCTGCGATTCTTCACTAATATTTATACGTTTTTAAGAAGCATGTTTGTTTGTGCATCTGCTTAAACATCTATTTGCTGGTTTGGCTAAAGTGAATTTTGTTTTCGTTCCATTTGAATTGAACGAATGGTTTTGCCACTGGCATGATCTTGCTGAAGAAGAAGCCCCTAATTGCTTTCCAAAAAACTATTTTTTTAAATTTAGGATAAATCATGGTAGTTTAGTTTATTTCAGTCAGTGTTGTTTGTATGTGTGTTTCTTTAATTTTTGTATATGTATTTGATGCTTATTTGTGTACTGTCTATTTTTACTGCCTGTTTTGAAACAAGAACAGGTCCAGGATAGTTGTAAAGACATTCTGTAACCCACATGAGAAAATTAAAGCCTGTTGTAGCCTAGAAACCACCAAATTCATCGTAATATTGTCTTCTTCAAATACGTTTCACCAAAATGGTGAATTTTCAACAAAATCATCTGGCTTCTGCAGAAATTTTAGCGATATGAAACACTCAATTTTACTAATCCTTACAGTTGACTAGTGAAGTTAATGATTCTCTAGTTTAAATAATAAAATGAGTATAAAACATATTTAGTGGACTGGATTTCTACCTCTGGGGTCTCTAAGCACACAAGCCTCTCAAGACAATATCTTTCTGCTAGGGTTTACCTCAAATGCACTGATCATTTGCTTTGTTTCTTGTCCAAACATGGCCGAACAACGTGTAAATAATCTAACTTGAGAAGACTGTGCTCTCTAGCATGGACTTGTGTCTGGACAGAAGGTTCTGGAATAAACAGGCTAGACACTGCTATTTAATATGTCTTTGTAGATATGGTCCCCTTTGGTCTGTTCAATATACAATTTTAGGCATTGTGTTATATTGGTTCAAAAAGTGAAAAACAAAAAAAACAAAAACAAATCATGTCAGAAACCCATAGCTGTTCTGTGCCATGCTCACTTTACCTGTGTTTTCTCAAAGAATCAAAACCAGCCCTCCCAGTTCTTTACTTGATCTAAAACACATCTCCCTTTATGTTGTGAGGATGAGAAGAGGAAGATACATTCTGAAGTTTAACAAAAAGACAGCTGGGCATGACTGACACCATTTTTGGTGATTTAAGTCTAGAGTGCTGTCAACCCACAGCAGGACATGTGTAGCGGAGTTCATTTTTGGGTAGATCTACAAGTATTTCTTCGGGATATGCAGAGTCTTTAAAGGGCTAAACATGGGAACATGTGTTTGTGCTTTTTTATTTTGTCCCTATATTCATAATATTACCTCATATTGCTGATACAAAAGCCTCCTTTGTCATGAATTCAGGTATGTTTACTAAAAAACTACTAGAGGGTTAGTCCTGGACTCCTAAAACTCATAAACGTTTAAACCAATGTAGTTACTGGAGATGTATAGTGGGTTTTGTACATAATTCCTTATTACAGCCAGGACTAAGAAAATAAACATTATATATATATATATTTGTTTTTATTTGTTAATTTTAGTCAGGTAAATAGGATATATTGATTATTAATACTATAATACTATGCACTTTAATCTAACCAGCAGGTGGAGATCTAGTCTTCCTTTTACATAATTAGGTATTTTAGCTGCCAGAGGCCCATCAAAGTAGTGGCCCATCCTTTATCAGAGGGCTCAGTATCAGGTAATAGTCAAAGTTAGCGGTAAAGCTTAATTTCCTCTGTTGTTTCTTTAGCTACAGTAAATCATCATACTCTGGAAATGCTTTGCTATGATTCAAATATTTATTTGAAATACAGAATATATTTCCCCACTGTCACAAAATTAGGAATTGCTGTGTAAATACAACAGCTATTAGCCCACATTCAAACTAGTGTAGCACCTGAAGATGCACAAAATAAAGTGATTCTGTATGCATTCACACAGTGGATTATTTACTGAAACTGGAGAATGCAAAATCTGGTGCAATTCTGCAGAGAAACCAACCAGCGTCCAGGTTTTATTGTCAAAGCTTAACCTCTTCCATACAGGGCACTTTTACCCCCTTCCTGCCCAGGCCATTTTTCAGATTTTAGTGCTCTCACACTTTGTATGACAATTGCGCAGTCATACAACATTGTACCCAAACTAAAATTTTTAGCATTTTCTTCACACAACTAGAGCTTTCTTTTGGTGGTATTTAATCACCACTGGTGTTATTTTTTGCTAAATTAACCGAAAATTTGAAAAAAAAACCCCACATTTTTCTTTGTTTCTGTTATAAAAGTTTGCAAATAAATAATTGTTCTTCATAAATTTAGGCCAAGATGTATTCTGCTACATATCTTTGGTGAAAATAACCCAAATTAGGATGTATTTTTTAGTTTGTAGGAAATTTATAGAGTTCACAAACTATGGTATAGATCTGAATATTGATCAATCCTGAAGTACTGACAGCCAATCTAATTTCTTGAGGTCCAAGAATGTCAGAACAGTACAGATATCCCCCAAATGACATCTTTTTGCAGAGTAGACAGTCTGACATACTTCATAAAAGGCATGGCGAGTTTTTTGAAGTTGTATTTTTTTTGTCATAATTTTTTGGAAAATGAAAAAATAAAAAAAAAATACATACTGTCACCAGTGCAGTACAGAATCATCATATAACTGGCATGGCGGTGATCAGGGACACTGACTGGTGACAGTATGAAAAAAAAATGAATTTTTTTAAAATTTTTTAAAATTTTTTTTTTATTATTTTTAATTTTTTGTTACATTTTTTCTTTTTTTTAAGATTTTTTCTTCATATTTCACTATGACCAAAGTAGTACAATGTTACCATAGTAACATTGTACTACTTTGGGGAAGTGATCAGTATTTTTTTTTTTTTTACACAATTTGCTTATAGCAAAGAATTACTTTGCTATAAGCAAGCATTTACCTGAATGACATCGATTCATTCAGGGGTTTTTTTTTGTGCTTAGCTGTGATTTGGCCACGGCTAATCACATGACACAGCTGGGCTGTGATTGGCCCAGCTTGTGCATGTGATCACTGGGACCATTCACAGCTAGACACACTAGTATACAATGGATGCATGAATGAAGCCATCCATTGTATACAACTGTCATGTGACCTGCTGTGATTGGTCACAGCAGGTCACATGGTACCCGGCAATGGGGCTGGTACTCAGATCTGTCATCGGCCGTGTCCGAAGTACACGGCCGGTGACAGATCGCACCGCTGCGCGGCTCTGCAGGTGCTCAAAGTGCGCATGCCTGAAAGGACTCCATATGGTGTCCACCTGGAAAGGTGAGGGTTTTTGCCAGCCGCCCTTCGGCCATAGGCCGGGCAGGAGGAGGTTAATTGAACAAGCTGAAGTTAGAAGTTGATTGGCTACCATGCATAGCTACGCCAGATGCTGAATACACCAGTTTTAGTAAATTTCTCCCAGAGTGTGAATGACACACAAATGTAATTTTAAATAGGCAAATGATAGAACACATTTTTTAAAAACTAACACTTATCAAATAGAAAAATGGTGCTTTTTCGTTATGCTTTTTTCTTTGTAGAGCAGATGTTGATAATTTAAATAGTTTACATAATTTAAATGAGGTCATATATACATTATCAATGAAGAAACAATTACCTAATTTTATCTCTGTTTTTGTATTACAGGCTTGCTGTAGATAGACAGTACCCTTATTTGCAGAGATATAGTGTTCCTTTAGAAAAAATAACTTACATTGTCACCTTTGGATCCTTTTTGTCCTATGTTTCCATTTGCACTTTCAGCTGGGGTAGGCTGTGTATAAATAAAATTTAGAAAAGCATTACATCTTCTGTTATTGTTTACACTTTTGAACTATTCAAAGCTTTTGTGATATAGCTAGATATGTGGAAATATAGCATACGTCTAGGTGTGGAGCCAGGCTTACATTAGTATAATGTTTTCCTCATGCTTCATGCAAAAGGAAATAGCACTGGTGGGCTGGGGGACAGTAAGAAGTAAGGGGTGGTGAGTGCCATTTGTAAAATGTTCTTAAATTAAGTCCTAGCATGATCCATTCAGGAAAGCATTCTATATCTTTCCAAATGTTGGCCCTGTATAAGGCTATGGAAGATTTTCTGACGCCAACAGAGATGCAAAAGTTGACTGCAGGTCCAGGAAATAGATGTCGGATTTCAGGAGTATTGTCATTTACATTTTCCAATCACTTACCTTGATCTTCCACTCTTCTTTTTGTTATAAATATTGGAGCTGACCCTTAATTACTATTTTTTTTGTTGTCATATTTAATTGGCATGTATTTGTCCACCTATTGTAATTGCCCACACTTATATAGAGACTAATTCTCCAAGGAATTGAGAATCTTTGCACAACAAATCATATGAATATTCATTTCAGTTATCCAGTCATGTAAAAAATGAATCCCTGGTTACTTTTTTCATCTGCATGTGATTGGACACTTAAAGTGAATATTCACACGGCTTACTGTGTAAAGATTCTCAACCCTGTTAATAAATTGGCATAAATGAATCTCTGGCTTTACAGATTTATCCTTAAATAGTTAATGAAAAAGAATAATAAAAGCTATTGGGTACTCATTAGTCCCCTGGTGTTTGGCACAGTGCTGTTATGATTCAAGGTGGAAAGCAAGTCTAAATTTTTAGTTGTTAAAGTTAGGAGTTAGGTTAAGAGATGGATTAAGGGATAATGGAACCTTTCCATTTTCCAAGCATGCAACATAGATATCTTTATTGTCTATTCCATTAGCTGGTACAAATGCACTCCTCCTTTAGCCAAATCCTGCAGTCTTAGCAGAGTAAACAGCACAATTAACGATATGCAAATTTAGACTGTTTTCAAAAGTGAACAGCTACCCCCTCCATTTCATTTTTAACTCTAAAGCTGATCTCCATTACCGGTTGGAAGAAGTGTCTGTCTTTGGTGTGATAGGTGTAATTGACAGCCTGGATCACCTTCTCTATGCCACGCCAAACACAAATGGCAGCAACTGAAGGGAAAATAGTTAGATCCTAGGGGCCAGACATGAGTAGTAGTATTGTATTCTGGCAATGCACTGGTGAGTTGAGTCTGGTTATGTGCTGGCTATGAACAGGTGAATTTTTATAAGTACTTCATATTAGGCAATAATAAAATAATGGTATTAGTATTAAGGGCTTATGTTAGAGATTAGATTACATTTTAGGGTTCAGGATGGAGGAGATAAGTGTAAGGGTCAACCTACAAGTTATGTTTACCTCTTGCCAACCACATAACATATATGTGAGAAAGCAAGAAAGGCAGGCTTTAATGCCCACATGCTGTACACGTGTGTCCATGGCGGGTGAGGTTTTTGTGCTGACACACTCCCAGCACAATGACTGAGCTGTCACAAGTAGCTCCTGGTTATGATTGGGAGCTGGTAGGGGGAACTCCTGTTCATGTGACAGTCAATTTCAGTGATCATGTGACTGGAAAGTCAGTCTGGCCTCCCTCAGTAAAGAACCAGTTAAAGGCCCAGCGGGAGAGGAAGGGAGAACAATACAGGAAAACCGTACTGAGGAAAGCATGTTTTCATTAACTTTGGTTTGGTTTCTTGCAATGAATATGTTTTTTTTTTCAAAATATGCACGTGCAAAATTTCTATTCACCTATGAAACACATTCAATATGTTCTTACTGAGATCTTGCACTTACATTTCAGACGTGTGTGCTGAAAATGTTTTAGATAGGCTATTAAAGGCAACATTTTAAAAGCTATTAAAGATAGAAAATTCTGTCAAAAATATGACAGAAAAATTAAAACTGATTGGTTTAGGTTCTTTTAGGAGTATATGAAACCTAGGTAAGCAGAGCATTCACAAGTGAGCTGTAACTCTGACCATAATTTTTTTTACTGATCTTAAAAAAAATGATTAATCTTGGGTACATATTTATATATAACTGAAAAGCAGAAAGCCAGAATTAGGTGAACAGATGAAATGTAAAAGAACTAAAATAAACCTTACATGTGCAGATGTGCCATATATTCTTCTCAACTTGAGTTGGTCTTTGTACCTGTAAAATCTTATGTTTCATACTCTACAAACTTCAATGTACATTGATAGCTGACCTAGATAACAATACATTTAACAGTTGGTAGGTACAAACTGTTCTCACATTATTGGGGTGCTAAATTTGCCAATGTTATTTACAGCTGGGTCTACAAACTGGAGAAATATACGGAGGAATTGATGCATAGCTCAGTACACTATTTTTACAACTAGTAAGTCTTTATATGATTATGTATTGCAGAAATTGACTATTTAATCAAGTGATGGAGAAAGAGATATTGAAGAGATAATTAAACTATGACAATGACACTTTACTAGGCCAATCAGAAGCTTTTGCATAGGTAGCATAAGAGCTGTTGACTGGAGCATTGTGCAGAGTGCGTGTCGGAATTCTGGAGACCCAGAGTGCATTTGAAACAGCTGATGGAGTAGATTAATAAGTTACCATTATGTTTACCTGTATGGCTTCTTGGAAGGGTTACTTTAAAGAAAATGTGTGCATGAAAAAAGATGGAGGCCACCATTGATGACCTCCTAAAAAATTAATTTCCTGGCCTTCTCTGTTTTCATCACTTTTTGATTCAACAACCTGGAACAAGTATCCAGCAGCTAAACGCAGAATTAAAGCAGAGCTATATTCACTGACATTTTCGTGAGTCTGGCTATCAATTGTTGGCCAATTTCATTGCCAGGCCAAGATGACATCATTCCAGGGCATGCTGAGGAGTTCAGTCGTCTTGTCATTGCGAAATTTGTGCATGTGCAACTCACTGTACATGGGCAGACAAGCAGGTAACTTAAATGCAGAAGAGACATAGTATGCCTTTTCTGCATTAAAAATCCTGCCCATTCGTCCATGTTTTATTTTTTCATAAAATTCCACTTTAAGTCAAAATTCCTGTTCGTTATATTTTTTTCTTTGTAATTTGACAGGCAAGCAGCTAGTAGTTTCAGAAAGTCATCAATGAAGGTTTACCTGGTACTTTCAGTACAGATCTTCTTTGAATGATACTTACACTTGGAGGTGATGGACATATTGGGCAGCACTCTCCAAATGGAATCTCAGGGTTTTCACAATCTGGGTCGGTGTCATCACACAGGATTTCATCACACAAAACGGCCCCAGTGTCACAAACACAGATTTGGCAAGGTTCTGGTTTCCAGACATCCCTGTCGGCGTAAACTTGTCCAAGATGAGTACATGCTCCCAATTCTACTATAGGAAAGTAAATTGGGAACAAGTCAAGAAATTGGCAAGATTTTTTAATTATCAGACAGTGATTAAACATTCCCTTATTCCAAAATGCTTGATCTCAATAATTAACATTTTTTACCACCAGGAAAAACAGTATGGTAATTGCCTCTGATTTCACACCCTATTTCCATCTATAGTTACACACTTCAGTCAAATGTCTGTTTTAGGCCTCCTTTAAGCTGGAGAAAACACATAGAGATACATAGTCATATTGAATTACCATCTGCTAAAGATACATTGGCATTTTGCTCATCTGTCAAAGCTGGTTATTCAGTGAGGCAGAAGTGTGGCAATCACAAGACTGTACAGCACTCATCCACCCCTGTCTATAATATGTATCCACCAATAGCATTCAATAGTTTATACTCCAGTAGCATAGTAAACAGCACTGTGTAACCTCTGGTTATTCATATTGTTGATGGATTTGGATGAGGGCTGTGTACCACATGGCATATTATATATATATGACAAACTTGGCTAAATGTTGGAACACTGCAGCATTTCTTTTAGTCTTTGACAAATTTGAAGTATTGTTGAATAACTAGACTAGCTGAAAAGAATGACAGCTCTTTTGGGTGAACTTTCTGATAGTGACAAAGGTGTAACATGCGTGTGCAATAAAGCTCCATTATAGCCTCCACTGGAAGCACATATGACAGGCTGAAAAAAAAATGGAGAGCAATTGAGAGCCAGAGAAGACTTTGCCATCCCATAAAAGGATGTACCTGTACAAGGACCTTTGTGGCAGGATTACTATGTTTTATTTTAATGATAGTTGCATATCTAAAAATGTCATTTTTTTAACCCCTTGGCTTCGGCGCCTCACGGGCCTTTAAAGGGTTTGTGACGCCAGGAGGCAAGGGGGTGGTTTAGGGTCATGTGACCGCCATAATTGGCTGCCTGTACAGTGGTCACATGATCGCAAAAGTCCCCATCGCAAATAGTGATCGGGACCTTTTCATAAGGCTCTGCTAAATGTGCCCGGAGCTCGCAGGGTGTGCGCTCTCAGCACATGTTTGTTTACTTTTGGTATGCAAATATGTCGCCACTTGGCTTCAAGGCTGAGTGGCCACAAGACACTGAGATGCCGTTCAAGATTATATGAGAATTTAGCGGTTGGAGTTTGATCTATATCTAATAGCATCCACTCACAACTGACTCTGCTATAGTCACATCAGAACAAGATGATTTTTTTATGAGGTGTTAATAAAATACTGTAATAACAAATTGTACTCTTCATTGAATTACGGTGTTGCTTGTCAAAAAGCCAAAGGTAAATTTAACTATCCACAAAGCACATCAAATTATGCAATGGAATGTTTGTTAACAAAGGTATAAATAGCTCACTTTCTTAAAAAAAAAGAACTTGTTTTATTATATATTAAAATATGCGAATAAGAGAAACCATACATCAAACAGCCAGCAATCTAATTGTTCATTTCAAAGTTCTGCGTATGCTTTTGAGACCAGGGAATGCCATTCCTCATTTAGGAAGTATTTCTCATGAAAATAGCTCAATAGATCTAGAAATGACATATGCTGTCACAATTAAAGAGGTGTGAAAAAGGCTTAGAACCTCTGTCAGGTTTTTATCTCTGTCTGTGTCCTGGCTGGGAAGATTCTTCCTCACTATTTATCATGCTGATCATTGCCACTGGGATAGAAAGTGAGGGGGCATTCTCTATTTTTCAGTTGTCACCACACAGGCGTACAGGTGTTGGATTGCAATGGGGTCTCCTTTACCAAGGACAGCTGTCAAATGTGGGATTTTTGTCTCCTTGCTTTAGGAAGGGAATGCTCTGTAATGGAGAAATAGGATAATGTAATGCTGATTGGGGTACTAACCCATGTGTACTCTACTGTATATCAAAATACAAAATAGAACAAATTCTTGAATGGAGTTCTAGTCACATCCTATTTACGAAATAGCAAACAAATTGTAAGATAACCTCCAGTTAAAACGTTTTTTAGTTCTGGATACAGTGAAGAGTGGGTATTGTCATGCTGTCTGTTTATCTATTAGATATATTACCCTTTATTTAAAAGAGAAGTGTGGGATTTAAGAAATAAAAAAAAATCAAAGGTGGATGCTGCATCTGTCCCCTGCCACCTCTAAGACCACTGATCACTCTTTTCAGTCTTCACTGATCAGAGAATTGGTGACTTTCAATCACCAGCTCTCTGTTCTGCCCCTCCAGCACTCATTGGAGATCTGGCCTGTGGAGGGGGAAGGAGCAGCTGGCTCAGGCTCTCAGCAGTTCACTGAGAGGCTCAGGAAGCCCAGCTGCTGATTAGGCATGTGAGTGGATCCCGACATTAAAGTAGGGATCTCTCCAGATTCTGAATTGGCTGAGTGACATCAACTGACATCAGATTTTAGCCCGCCTTCAGCTAATTGCAGGAGACAATATGTAATAATTAACTCGCGCCTAGGTAATTAGGTAGGTAACTCGCACCCAACAATGAATACAAACATTAGGCAAACCTGCTAATAGGCTGCTGCCTCTATACAGATAAAAACCTGCTAAATTCTAATGATACATATAAGAACGCTGCCTAAATGTAATGAAACATTATGCATAAATGCAACTCAGCAAAAAATCTTAATAGTGAAAAAATAATGTCTTTAGTGCCAATAATAAGAGCAAGTGCAGGTGCTCAGAATGCACACCCGACAATGGATACAACCATTTAGATAAACCTATAAATAGGCTGCTGCTTCTATACAGGTGAAACCAGCTAAATTCAAATAATACACATAAGAGCGTTGCCTAAATGTGATGACGCAATATACATAAACGCAATTCAGCAAAAAAACGCTGGGCGCTGCAGGAACAACTTGCCCTCTGTGTACTGAGCACAGAAAAGTCGCTCACTCGGCACCACTGTTCAGAGAATGTATTTTTTTTTCACTGAATGTAAGATGTTCTCTGATTGGAAAAAAGTGGAGATCATGATGTCATCTGCTCTAATCTGAATGGTGGAGATGCTGACTGGGCGAATATCTGTGTTCATTATAGAGATGGCAAGGAGCAATCAGAAGAGATTGGCTCTGCCTGCATGAAGGCAAATAAAGTGAATTTCTGCATTCACAGTAGCCCTGCAAAGTTGAAATATGAATAATAAGATGTAGCCCAGTTGGACCATTTTAAGTTTAAAAAAAAAAATAATTCTTGGAGTTCAGCTTTAACCTACTCTCAGATCAAACAGGAGAAAATCCCTATTGTACTGGAACAACCTTTTGGATATCGCTAAGTGATAAATCTTGACAGAAAGAGTCATTTTGCCTGAAATTGCAACTTTTCGGTTTCAGAATTCACATAATGACTTCAAAGTCTAAGGCTTTGAAGAAGTGTTACTTAGCAATATGTTACCCTTGATATGTTTCTGTTCATGATTCCAATGAACTACAGCAAAGAATCCCTATTGGAGTGTTAGAAGCAGTTTATATGCTCTAATAGATGTTTCTTGTTATGGGACAACAAAATAAAATGGAACAATATTGGAAACAATATATTTTATATTAAACATTCCTTTGCCTCAAAAGCAATTTCCTATCATGCAGGGTTCCTCTGCATCCAGCAAATATGCTTGTTTACATTTTGGACTTAGTACAGCTCCCACTGGTTTTCTGGGCCGCTGGGATTAATGCAAACAACATTTTGGGCCTGCCACTCTCAAAACACATAGCCCAGGCTTCATTTTGTTAATGGCCAGGGGGGAGGGGTGCAAACACGTCCTTAGCACTAAGGCCGCTGAGATCTGCAATGTTTACATTTGAGCAACCCAGAATTATAGCAGGAACTGTACTAATCCCAGCATGTAAACTAATTTAAGTCCTAAAAGTAAGCAAGGTAAAAACTGGGATTACTGATAAACATAATTTAGTACCAATAAGAAACCAATGAAGTATGCGTGATACTCAGGGCTTTTTTTCAGCGGGAATGTGGGGGAACGCAGTTCTGGTACCTTTAGCACTGAATATATGTAATGGCAAGGGGGTGCTGGGAGGTCTGTTTATGCTGGCTGCTGTGGGTTTATTGTTGCTGGACGGGATCTATTATGTGGGGGAGGGGTCTATTGTGCTGAGGAGGTCTATTGATGCTGTTGACGGATCTATTGTTGCTGGAGTGGGTCTTATGTTGATGGGCGATGTCAATTGTTGATGGGAGGGATCTACTGTTGACGGTGGAGTCTATTGTTGCTGGCTGATGGGAGCTCCGTTGTTGCTGGGGAGGGTCTATTGTTTTATTTTACTGCTTTTATTGTTATTAACAAATTCCATATAAATTATTTAGCATAAAAAAATGATACTTGGTTCTGTATTCACTAAAAGGGCAGTACTGGAAGGTGGGTAGGGGGTGGAACTAAAGAACAGGTGGGTAGAAGCAGAGTCAAGGGGTGAGGTCCTTCACCTATTCTCTGAGAAAAAAAGCCCTGCTGATATTGAATAATTCCTCCTAGATCATGCACACACTGGATAAACAAACCCAATGACCTTGTGAACCACATTACTCCTATGGTCCGCCCTCGTTTTTGGGTTTGGTGGAGATAAACGGAGATGTGAACATGGACCACAGCTTTAGGCTGATGCTGCAATTCATATTCATTTTAATGCAACAGTGTACAAACCAAATGTTTCTCTAAATGATATTTTGGGTTGTATTACAATAGTCTCAGGACAATGTTTCTATACTGAATGGTGGTGAGAGTTCAATATGCATGAGACAAGTAGTCACTTATGCCACCTGACCAACATATTTTATGAGCGAGACTACTCCAAGATTTAAAATATGATTTCAACACACATTTACATTTAAAACATTAACATTTGTAGATCTTTTTATTATAATGTTTGCATACAAGAAAAAGATTGTAGCCTACTGGATTTGCTATGTGACTTTGGGATTTTTGAACCTGGAGCTTGATTTTTCATCAACTCTAGCATAAAAAAAACCCCC